TTTCTGTTCGTCCTGTTGTAAGGAGCTCACGTGCAAATGGAGCTGCATGCACAAATCAAAGTAAGTTTAATAATGCTATCCCAAACGTACAGGAATGTTCTGGTTTTGCTGGTTTAGTCAAGACTGCTGAAATCATGTGTTTCAGGAGACCAGCAAAACAAAAGATCCCTGTTATTACCAGCAATTACTCCCCAGCATCTGCTCACCTGTCTTTGTCTCTCTGCAGTGTTCCTACATGTCTGCAGAACCAAAACACGTAGAAACCATCATTATTTCCTGCACTTACCTTCAGCACCTGCCAGCCTGTCTATTTAAAACTCGTCTTCATGCTCACCTGTCAGCATGTAAATCTCAAAGACCTCATTTTCCTACCGTCATACACCTTCATTCTTTTGAAGGCAACAGGTCAGCCAGATGAAAGCCAGGAAAATTCAGGGACATCATGCAAATAGGAAGAATTCAAATTTCTTCTTTTGCTCTAGAATAGGGGTAGTAAACTACTTACCTAGTACTGTGCAACATTTTGATAGCAATCTTCACGTTAATTGGAGCCTTTTAATAAATATATATGTCGTTTTTTAGCAGGGAGTGTTTATACTCTGTTGGCTATAACCTACCTGGAGGTTTCTGTGTTTTTCAAATACAGACTGCAGCCTGTTTTTAAAATATCAAGACCTTCAATTTTGATGCCATCTGCCTCCTTAAATTTTGACCACATTGCCGTTCTGAGCTAAACAACCTCAGCTGACTCAACACACCCTCTATCAGGTTTAACTCTGGAGTACAGCGTACAATTTCCCTGCACAGGTTTCCGCTTACACAACAGCCAAGTCACCTGAAAATGCAGGTTAGATCACAGAGACAAATGAAGTTTCCAGTCCAGGAAACTGTCCATGTTTGAGGGGGAAGACTCAGTCCTTCTGTCTGTGATGATTTCAGTCATGTTGAAGGAATTCAAGAGGGCTGGAAGTCTCATGACAGTCGTTTTTACCAAACAGCAAAGTGTTTACAGTGTCCGATTATGAAAAGTTGATGCAAAGTGATGATGATCATTTGAATTTTGCACTGCAGCCTTTGACTGAAGCTTTTATAAAGTTGTACTTTATGACTTACTAAAAAAAAAAAAAACCCTGGCTGTTTGCTGTGTTACGGAAACAAACCAATGCAATGGATTAGTTTGATAATTGGAAAATTGTGTCATAAAATCTCTTGATAACAGTTCTGGACCATAAAATGTTTCTCAGCTGTAGCGGTGAAGTTTCATGCCTCCAAGGGTTTCTTTGATGATGAAAAGAAACAGTGTGGAAAAGGAAAGTCACAGTTGAACTGTTCATCCCTCCGCATAGCCTCTTATAGAGGTCATTAGTTGGCTCTGCTACATCTGAGGAGTCTATTTTAAGCTAAAACTTCAGTACTTAGAAAGCAGTGACTTCAAACCAGAGGTTCTTCTGCAGTTCAAGGGACCACCAGGAAAGACAGTGGAATAGTTTCACTCTATACATTGGTTTGTGTGTGGGTGAAGGATACACTCTGATGTTACAATCATCAAAATACTGATGTGTTTGACTAAAACTGTCATGATTAATTGTAAACTACAAGAGGACCATGTTTTAACAACATCAGTTTTTATATCGGGGTTACAGGTGGTCTTAACTCCAGAGGAAGCACATAGAAAGATAGATGGATAGATCTTTGAAGATTAGAGGAACTTTTGGTTTGTATCAATTTCAATGTCCCCTGTGGATGATGCACCCTTTGCTTACCTTGTCCTCTACATGCTCAAGTAGTGACATTCAACATAAAATCTCATCCTACTGACTTTTAACAGACATATAAAGCATTTAATGTAAATATACATGAGTGGAAATTTTTTCAGCTTCTTGGCTGACCTATCCCCTTACCCCAGTTTTAGGCATAAAAAAACACATAAAGATCACCAGTCTCATTGCTGATAGTCTTGTTTCCTTGGGGATATTAATATAATTTTCAGTTTATTTCATTGATATTAATAAATTCCTCATAGGAGCTTTAATAAACAAAGTGTTGAAGACCAAGCGGTGAGATACAACACAACAGTAATTTTAAAGAAAATGCTAGTTTATATTTTTAACTGAATCAAGAAAAACTAATTGTCAAAATAAGAACTGGGCCTTTAAAAGAGGTCAACTTAACATAATTTAAATTAACAAGACAAAGTATGAGGTGTAGATTTAACAAACAGACCAAATACAATAAGACGAAAGGGAACTTAAAATGGTTTGGCCAAGGAAATGGACACTAAGTTGAATTAAATTCAAGGTAAAACTAATTAAATCTTCACCTTATTTAAACATTGCAACATCAAACACAAAATAAACTAAACAAAATGTGTATTTTTATTGTGCGACTTACTGCAAATGGCAAAGGGAACTAATGAGGCGAGTGCAGCCGGAATGCCATGACTACCTCAGGATGATGGCTTGGGTTTATACCAATATAAACACGTCAGGTTCTTCTTTTCTTTGGTTTTCAGTGGAGCTAAAGTGATCTGATACATGGAGACAATACATGTCTGATTGATTACACGTCACTTTAATAAAAGAGTGGAATCGACAAGCTCGCACGTGTCCTTTATCCTGCAATCAAGAAGACCTGAGATGGTTTCACACAGCGCCAGTGTCTTGCAGCGGTCACATACATCTCACTCTGTAGCAGTGTGTTAAATGAAAGCTGACGGCGTGATCGTTTCTTGTCTTTTACTGTACACCTGCATGACAGGAGGAATCGGTGTAATTTTAGATTCCTGTCTTTGAACCGGTTTCTGTTAAAACAGCATTTTCTATCATACATGCTGGTTCATATAAAGGTGCACACAAACGTGCAGTTTCGCGGTGCAGACAGACGTTTCAAGGCTGCTGGTTTGAGTGATGAGAGCAGCTGATTGCATCAGTGTTGGGGCAGAGAGGTGAACATAAGCAGAGAGAGGGAGAGGGAGAGGGCTGAACGGACGTGGTGATGCAGGGTGGTGATGAATTCTGTTTAATCGTGTGGTCGGGGTGTCCCAGGTGGGAGGGGTCAGACCTTCTTCTCAGGGCTATCTCTTACAGGTCAATGGTTCAGCCCAGTGACTTCATCGGGTACAATAGCTGCATTTATTCATATCTGGCAAATATACAAGAATATGATAGGACATCAAAAACTGAGGGACAGATAGGGAATATGAATTAGCTTTACTTAAACTGGATAAACTTATTATACAAACAGAAATATTGGGCCAATAATGCTAACTATGAAGTGTTAAATTTCTCTTTTACTCCCTACTTTGTTTTAATAAGCAAATAAACACACACAAATAAGTCACTGATGATATAGGCAGATCAAATTACTTTAGATTGCTGCATGTCTTTTTTTTTTTCTCAAGGATTCCCACGACTGTTTGCTGTTATCTTCAACTAACGTCATTTCTGGCCCGCTCTTTGACCTGTCTTTGTAGGCCTTCAGAAAATAACAAGGTCAGCTGAGGGAATAACACACAGTCAGTGTGGTGGCTTTGGTTCTGTCTGTCTTAATTGTTATTTTCATAAGAGCACTGCAGTGTATCATTGCACCATCGCCACTCATTAGAGGTGAAATGACTTCTGTTTGCCATTGTCGTTGTTTCAAACATTGCTTAAGCCAGTTTTGCCCATCTCAAAGTAAACTAGTTGAGTTGGCATGAAGTAGCACAAGGATCAAGTGCTTTTTCTTGGATACCTTTGCACCAAATTTAAACCACGATTAGTGCTAAATATATGAGGTTTTCGCTCATTCATTCATCACTGGGGACTAAAGAAAAAGGAGGAGTGCAAACTTTTTTATCACATAAGTTAATGTTAGCTTTGTCAGCAAAAAATAAAAATTAAAAAAATGTATGAACCCTTTTTTTGATGGTCTCCCGTGTAGGTTTTTCATAATCAACCACATATGAAAAGGCACCCAAGGACCTTGTTGGTTGGCTGTTTGCCCTCCAGCTAAGCCCCACCCGACTAACACATGATGCTGCTGACTAACATGAAAAGTATTTATTAGTGCTATGATTTTGAAATAACATCTTTGGTCCCTCTGACATTTCACTATGAATTTTAGCTAACATTTAAAGCTCCTGTGAGGAACTTTCAGTTTGTGTCAGCTTTGGCGCCTCCTGTAGACAAAGCAGTCTTTGCTCATCTTGTCCTCCAAATGTTTGTGACTTTTAAAACAAAAAAATTGTCCCACTGACTTTTGATGGACAAGTGTAACATATATTGGGAAAATTATATGTAAATATTGAAAAAAAAAATCATTTTTTTAGCTGCTCCACTGACACCTACCCCCTCCCTGTGGTTTGGGGCTTTAAAAACGACAACAAATTGTCAGTCTTGTTCCTGATGAACTTGTGCCTTTTCGGATATCATGTAACGGCATCAGTATGAATTTTATTCTATCTCATGGACATCAAAAAACTTCTTATAGGAGCTTTAATTGCAAACGGACTTTGACTTTAACTGCTGGACTCTACATGTGGCATCCAGGGCTCGTTTTGAACATAGACTGCAGCATATATGGGAAAGTTTATACAGTATGTGTGGCTTAACCCACAGAATTGGACACAGTATAATCAGCTCGGTATCCTGTCCTGAACCGACATGTCACTTAAGGTCTTTGTTTTTACGCCATTTATCAGCAAGTTCTGCAGCCTCCACAACCCTCTCCGAATGACGTTAATCCCTCCCTGCTACATTTTCTGCATTCAGAGTCAATGACAGGTTACAGAATGTACCAAACACGGGCTACCACGCAGTGTATAACATGTCAGACCTCACATCGCCCTCATCTTCGGTAAACATTTAGTGTTGATGGGGTTTTTCCACTCTTCCCTCCCTTTCCATGTTCTCAACTTCTCCCTCACAGGCCACAAGTGTTTGATTCGCTGTCTCGCCGTGCATATTAATGAGAGAGGGACAGCGGGCTGCTTTTAAAAGAGCTGCTGCCTGCCTCTCCACGGAAAACCGGCCAGAAAAACGGAGTGAGAGAGAGACCTCAGTCATCTAGTGATTGGAGATTCATCCGGGCGCTCAGGGCGCACAGACGGAGTTGCACAATCAGCGCGCCAAAGGGACAGAGAGAGCAGAGAAAGCATCAGCGCTCCTCCAGCTCTGTCATCTAACAGCTGCTGCAAGGGGATATTAAACACAAGACGGAAAACTTTTCTTCACTGTTTTGATTTTTTTACGCAAAGAAACTGTTTGGAAAGCTCGCGTTGTGAGGAGAACATCTGATTTTTGGAGACATGCAGCGGTGCACGGCGGTGCTGCTTTTGTTAGTGGTGGCCTTATACTTCCTAAATGCAGAAGGTAAACTCAAAGGTCTGTTCCCTTTTTTAGTTTTTGCATGCAGTGTTAAAAAACTTTGTTGTGTTGTGTTGTGCGTAGACTCTGTAACAAAAGAGAAAAATATATGTTTAGACGCAGTCCTTGATAACTCCTCTGCATTATAACGTGTTTAAAGGGAGCAGCCAAAAAGTTAACTCCAAAATCCCTCTTCTGTCCACTTTGTTTGACATATAAGCGAAGTTGCTGCCAAACATCCACAAATTCCCATGCACAGGCTCTGGAAACTTAGTCCAAGTGGTCTGTCTGTTTGCATGCATGATTTTACATAACCAATGCACCACCTGCTGCATGCATCTGAATCCTAATCTGATAACAAAAAACCCAAACACTCTTAAACTACGAGATATATTTTACTCTTCAAGCTTTCTAACAACTTAAAACTGATAGAATAGAATGATGAATATGTCTGTAGTGAAAAATATGACTCAGGACTTCTCATCCGAAGAGTAAAATGGTCATTTCAAGCCTCTCTGCACCATGAACACCACTCAGTGTGATTCTGTGAATCTGGCAAGATGAGTGAAGTTCACCATATGTGGGTGAAATAATCCAAAGCCAGTATTCATGGGGGGAGTGACTGCTTTAGACAAAGAGTCTGCGTTTTTTCAGCTGTAGAAACTTCCAGTAAGCACACCTTGAAAATCCTTTAAGCACCATCGTGAGTCAAAAACTTAAATTTTTCATGTGATGTTTTTGGAAAGAAATATCCTCTAAAATGAGTTCATAGAGTCCTTTGTTATTTAATGCTTAGAAATGATAAAATATTTTTGCTCATATCAAGAGGCTCAAATCTTTAGATAGCTATGTCTTATTATGGGCTGCTCACTGAAGCCATCACTCCCTGCATGGATCCCTGGTCTATATGAATATTTTAACCTCACTGTTCACCTTTTTTATTGGACTTTATATGTGGTGAGTGCCAGCACCAGTGTGTGGATAGTGACAGATTTAGTGTCCGGCGAGGGTGAGGGTAGAGAGCTGGTGATGGATGAGGGAAACCTTGGGCTCTCCAGGTCATCACCTCCTATCAGAAATAAAAACAACCCTGCAGAACTCATTTCCTCTGCATTTCATACAGCAGCATAAAGTCACTGCAAATAGAAAACTGGGTTTCATGCTGGACAGAGTTGATAAGATATAAAGCTACTCGAAAAGTGTGACTGCATGTCGCCTTAATTGAAAACAGATGTGTGCATGCATCTGTTCAGAGTATCCAGTGTTGGAAGACTTAATTTTTTGTGTAGTTTTATGAAAACGTAGAAGCATGAGTGGACCAGGTTCTGCCTGACTTGAATGCATTTGATGTGAATCTATAAATCATGTTGGTTCTATGAGAAAACAGCAGATCTGTTTATTTTGTCATAGTGCACCAAGCTTGAAGTTGAATCTTCTCAAGGTGTTTTTTTCTAAACCGAATCTTCAGCAGCAATATAAAATTCTGGCAAACTGGACAAAAAAACATAACTTTTATTCATTTTTGAATGGATTTAAAGTCATCTGGGGTTATTTGTAACATTTTATGTGGCCTAATTGAAGTCCTGTTTTGAAAATCTTGTGATGTTTCAACAGCGAGATATCAGACTTAAATTCTGGCACTGCTAATCTCCTCTTGTCAGCGTGCGCTCCAAAGATAAACTGTTGGCTGATTTGGAGCCAATTTGCCGTCAGATCATGAAGCATTAACTTTTCTATCACTTAAATCGCTGTGTTCGTTTTCCTCGCTGGATGTAATTCAGAGGCGAACCTTTAATGATCTGTCACAAAGTAATGTTTACACATGATCAGCTAGCATTACTCCTGAATCATCTGTGTGTTTCTGTGTGGTGATGTCTTTTATTTGTTGTTTGAACAGCCTACAAGTGCAGGTGCACCAGGAAAGGACCAAAGATCAGATACATGGATATACAGAAGCTGGAGATCAAACCCAAACACCCGTACTGCCAAGAGAAGATGATATTGTGAGTCATTTTCAGTTTCTTCATCCTTCCTCTCACCTGCCAGGTATCGATCCCCTTCCCTCATCCTTTTCCCCAAAATACTCCTTTTACCTTGTTTCCTCTCCTTGTTTTCTTCACAACTTCTTCCTTTCTTCCTCTCTGTATTTGAAGAAGTCATAAAATCACATTATTTGTACCCTCCTCCTGACACACACACATATACACAGATGTCACTTTTTCACGACTATCCGCCTAAATACTATAAAAACTGTTTGGCAGGTTCATAGTAATTATCCAAACAACCCGCCGCATGTGCTCGAAGCTCTCAGGAGGATTTACAGTGTGTTGATAAACAGATGTTTGAATTTAGCTCACTATGAAGGGTGAGGAGTGATGTGATTGGTGGAAAAATGGGCTACTTTCCAGAAGGTACAAGTACTCTCAAATCTAACTTTATCAAATTCTTAAAACATATTTAAGATCTTAGTTTATGTGCAATTTATCACAAATCTGTGCATCCCAGCCTCCAGTTTTATTTGCCTTTGAACCTGTATTTTTATTTTTCTCTACAATGCACTATTTTTATCCCTCAGCCATCCATTCCTATAAAATCTGACCTGATCTTTAAGATGATCACCAGTCCTCATAGATTTCAGGAGTTAAAACAGACACAAAGCCGCCTGTGGTGCTCAGATACATCGAGTAACTTTAGATAAATACACTAAATTTCTATAGTCAGCATGCAGTATCTTTTCTCTAAGCTGTGATGTTGGATCAACTCTCACTCAAAACTGGAAATGTGAGCTGTGATTTTAGGGTTGAATCATGTAAAGTTTTCTGTCATGTGGCGAGAACAGATGGGGTGTTATGTCAGCCCTCCCTGGAGTCAGTTTGCAGAGTTCGAACTCTGCTGCCACCTGCTGGAAGATTGAAGTATTGCACACATGGTCAACAGCAGCAGTGACAGACACTGACCATGTGGTTGTGGCATACGTGTTGAATTCGTTTATGCAGTCATGTCTTTTGGAGAGGAAAACATAATATCTTGTAATGTTAGTAATTATATTCAAGCAATTGCAGCCAAGGTAAGAGTTAGGGTTAGTGATAAGGGAGGATAAGAAGGGGGCTTACACTGAATATACAGTATTTCCGATCAGATTTTTGACAGACCTGATAAAAGGTATAACTTCTAATCTAAAGATAACAAAGTATCTCAATAACTTTAAATCGTAAAATAATAATAATTGATAATAATTATACATAGAATACTTGATTCTGACTAGTTGAAATCCCACTACAATGGTAATTTATCAATTCAATCAACATGAAGGCACATCCGTCCCATTTTACCTCTGCATGATGAAACTAGGGCACAACGGTTAGTTTCCTCCAGCTCCAAGAGCTGACAGGATCAGCATCACATGGGGTTTCACTTGACCTGTCAGGATTGCAATTTGCATAACCACCTGCTCCCTATACATTACTGACTCACACCATTCGACAATGTGTTTACAGAGTGTGTCAATCACTGAATAAAAGGAAGTAAAAATTGAAAAATCTGCTGTGAGGGAAACAATCTGAGGTTCTGGATTTTGTTTATGTCCACTTACAGGTCCGTCACTGTGTGTTTTTGTGTCCCCCTGCTGACAGCCGTTATTTAAGGCCGCTCTATTAGCATGAGATGGGGGCCACCAGCCACTGGTGCCCGGTGAAAAATGAGTCCCAGCGGGCTCCGGAAAGCCACAAAGAGAAAGAGAGTAGGAGAGAAATGAGGGAGAGAGTCCCCCCTCTGGCCTTTGTTGTGACCGTTTGGCTTACGCTGCTCAGTTTGGCATTCAGGGCGACCACTACGGACTCCACACACAAGCTTTAAGCTTCAAAGTGTCCCTGTTTACCACTTCTTCCCTCTCTTTAGCATTAATTTCTCTCTCCCTGTTTTCATTTTATCTATATTTTATTTTATATAATTTTTTCTCAATGATATATACTGTATATAATGTATATCACCTCATCTGTGCATTTTTGTCTCTTTTTTTAGTTAAAACAAATAATTTACCCCAATTACAATACACATATATTTTCATTTAAATGTACATTTACTATCAAAGTTAAAGAAAAGGGCAAATTAAGATGTTAAAAAGTACCAGGCTTCATTATGAAATGAAAAGTAACTCATAAACGAATCTTAATGAGCTTTTCATCTTGTTTGTGGTTACTGAGCTCATTTTGGCCACTTTTAATCCTCCCTATATGATATTATTGTGTGTTTCTAATCCCAATTTAAATTGTTATAAAAGTAATAAAAAAGTTTCCAATCACTGGCATTAAAATAAAAAAGGATCATACTTTTGCCTTGAATATTGCAGGGTAGAAATTTAAAGTAGCCTAAAACAAAATGATATTTCCTCTTATTTCTTTTCTCCATAGCCACTAAAATCCTTCCTTTAGCCCCCTTACGGCCTATTTTCCCATCCTTTGCCCGTGCTTATGTAACATTTTACAAACAGTATTAGCCTTCAGAGCCAGTGGCTGCGCTGAGGCTGTTCAGGTGAATTAAAATAAGGAGAAACTAAAGCTCATATTAAAACAGAAATTAGGTTAAATTTCATCTCAACTGAGCAGTTGTGGATAAACATTCCGGGTGTGTGTATTTCAGCCATGCAGAGTCAATCTGCATTCATGCATACAAAGGCACTTTTGCTACCAAACGCACACACATTCAAGGATCAGTTCAAAGCAGATACAGCTGTCCAGTGAAACCTCAAACAGCCAAACAAAGTGACAACTGAATCAGCAGGAAAATAGCTGCAGAACTCTTTAATCTAATCTTTATATCTGGTGAATGCTGAGGTTTTTATTGAGAGTGAACTCTTTTCTCTGCCACTCAACTCATTTAACATTCATGGTTTGGTGAGTCTTTGAGTGTGTCACTGGCTGGAGAGGCCCCATAGCACCGTGGGAGTTTTTTCCCACATTTCTCTTGTTAAGCCTGAATATGCCACATGCAGGCAGACTGTCTCCACCGCTGCCTTAAGCAGAGGGTAACAGACAGGCCGATTGGTTCAATGAGCTTGGGTGTCAAATATTTAAGCGGCAGCACCATAATATTATTTCCCTGCCAAGTAACTGTCTCACTGCCCAGTGTGTGCTGATCCTTCTGAATGAAGAGGGCCTTTAACTACGGAAATCTTATTGAAGGCAGTTTAGAAGAGCAGAGTAGAGACAGAGAAGAATGGGGCAAAAAATGACCTGGAAAAACTCAGAAAACGTGTGTTTTCACTCTCTAAAGCTTTTTAAGTCGGTGAAAAAACATACTAAGAAGTGGGCTCATCTAATCTTCTTTGAAAGTGTCAAAGTTCTTTTCCACATTCATATTTTGCTGAAAGATGCACAATTTTTCTATCCTGTCTTGTCTTCATAATTTCTGAAAATTATTCAGCACAGAACTACTGAAGCAGTCAGCAAATCCACACATTAGGAGTTATCTTGCCAAATCGTGGTAGCATCAGTTATCAAAGTCAATATGACTACAAATGAATTTAGAATCTTTAACGGTCTTAACATTTTAAATTGTTTGTTTGTGTCCCCTGTCAGTGTGACGATGGAGAATGTGGCTCGGTTCAAAGGTCAGGAGTACTGTCTTCATCCCAAACTTCAGAGCACCAAGAATCTGGTCAAATGGTTCCGCATCTGGAAGGACAAGCACAGGTAAATATCCTGTTTTTTTTTTAAATTAATAAATCAAAATTCTTTTGACTCATGTATTTGACCTTTTTTAATTCACTGTGTGTAGTCATTTCTTATTGAGAATAAAAGCATTCATTGATAAGGCATTAATTTTAAGGCAATTCCACTGCATACTGACATTGTCCGTTCTTATTTTAGAAAATTTCAGCATTACTTTGAATCGCTGGATAATTTTAGGGCTCAGTATTTCCACCTGGTATTCACACTCTGTGAGGAGTTTAGCAGCTTAAGAGCCAAATATGACTTGAAGAGATTGGCATAGGCATGTCCAGACATGTCCAGACATGTTTGATGGGGTGCCTAACTAGGTAGTGACTTATACAGGGGTGCCATCAATATATACCTTTACCATCTTTTTCTCACATAAAAAAAAATATAGCAAAATTTAGCTTTTATTTACTTTGCCATCCCTTTTGGTGTACATGGGAGTAAATGTGGACCAAAAACAGAGCTCAAGACGGGTAGAAAATTCTACTTCAGGTCATTTTATAGCTAGAAACACAACAGGGGTCTCAATAAACGTGAGTGCTTTCCACATAAAGTGGGTGCTTTTACTAGACTACTTTTATCTTATTATTTTATCATTTAAAAAGCACCAGTGTTGTCTTATTAGCCTGTTTTCACTGTTCCCACTCTAGCAAAAATATTGGTAATGAGTTTTTACAAAAGATACGATGTGAACTGCTTTCACCTGATCTCCCAGAAAAAAACAACCTGTTATTAATACTGACCCTGACTCTTGGTATATTTTAGTGGTTTCTTTCAGATGACTTAGAAACTGCTGTTGTTGAATTTTCTCATTCATTATATATAACCACTGAAAAAAGCTTTGTGAAGTAGGAAGCAGAAATTATTATTATTATTTTTTTTTTTTGCTGAGTACAAAAGATCATATCCTGTTTTCTTCATTTATACTCCTTCCAACTACAAGGCTAACAAATGAAATTCAAGATAAATGTATGTGCTTGTGCAGAGACTTGTGTAAAATGAGTGAAGGCCAATGGTGCAGATAAACCAATTTTAACTTTTCAAAGTCATGAAAGTGTTGTAGTCACAAAGAAATGAACTCTTTTTTTTTCCACAGGGTGTATGAGGCCTAGAACTCGGCAACCAAGCACACAAGGCTCAAGTGAGACAAAACACCAGATGAAAAATACACCAGGACTGTTTTATTGGAAGTACAAGGTGTAATCTACAATCAAACAGTACTTCCTCCTCTTTTGCCTGAAATCTGTAAAGCACAGTAAGAGATATGTTTAGTTTGTATATAAAAAAGCTGGTGGGCTGGTTTTAGTCAGCCGTCTATCTAGTTAGAGTCACTCACCTCTTCTGTCTTTACAGCTGTAGTTATACTTTTTCAGTTACACAATGAGGCGCCACCATTTGTGTTCAGACGGTCATGAGTTTTGTTCAGTTTTTCGTAAAGGGACTTTGAGAGGTCACTGCAGAAACAGGTGGACTTTTATTTTTCTTTGAAAGTGCATTGTGGGTGTGTCAGTTAAGACTTTTACTTCTCTGTATTCATACTACAGACATCATATTTTGTACCATGCCAACATTTAAGATCTGTTTACCTGTTTTTATAGGGGGAATGACATGTACACAGCAGTGGCATATATGTAATCAGTTGCTATGGTTTCGTCATATTTGTCAAACACTCTGCACCTCAATACAAGGGAGTAGTTTCAGTAAGTATTTAATGACACAGATAGCTAATTCTCACCATCTCTTCATACATTACAGTCTGTAAATTGGAATTAATTACACTGAATCATATACAGTAACCTCTATCCTGATATTCAAGCCACTTTGCCACAGACTCGGCTGGTTTGATATGAGTGATTTAAAAAAAAAAAAAAGGCCATTATTCACTGAATTTAATGTGCTGTATTGAAAAGGCAGAAACATTTGGATTTAAGTCATCAATGTATTAAGGTTATAGTATTTGAGGTGAGTAATGAATTGAGAAGTCGGGCCATTTCCTGAATGAATCCTACATAATTAGGAAGAGTCATCCACTTTTGGCCATTTAACAGAAAGCAGCTAAAAAGCACTTAAGCAAAGCCAGGAATTGACCCAGAGGTTATGTCCACCTCTTTATACAGCCATAGCTATAGTTGAAGGAATATGTAGTAAAACATTGAATAAATATGAAGCAATACTTAGGAGAAACCAGCCTTATTACCTCTTTATTTCAGTATACATATAACATCCTGAAAGGATAAGGCTAGTAATATTCTTGATTTTATCTGCGTTTAGAAACATCACAATTTAAATCAAACCATGCTACTCCACTTCTCAATAAAATCTGTCTGGAGCCGTTTAATTCTTTTGTAAGACACAATCCTGAAAAACATATCAGAAATAAAAAAATTTAAAAAAGTTTTATAAGAGCTAAAACACACCTATGACTGCTTTGGGCATTGTAACACATCCATATAAATCTTAGAAACTTCACTCAGATAGGGCCAAATAGTGTGTCTTTCGGGGGCTGTTTAGGGCTGCAGATAAACAAAATTGGTGCTAATTGGTATTTACTATGGAGATCGCGTGTATGGCAATAAATTACCATATCTTGATGAAACATGCTTTTATAACAACTTTTTGGAAATAATGAGGTCCCAGCGTAGAGAAAAATGATACACAGGGCAAACAAAATACTTAGTAGTGCGAGCAATCTACTGTTGGTTCTTGTGGAATTTGTTGAAAATTAGAAAATGTAGAATATCATGTCACCTATCTTGTTATTAGGCTTGTTATATTGTCCCAAATAATAAGCTTTGAAATTAGTGCTTAGTCACACTTGACATTGTTTTACTCACTTCCCCTTTTAACAATGACATCCAGGTTTTTGTTTTCTTGCCACCAAACAGGAAATATTCAAAAATACATCCACGTGTATACAAAAGCACAACATACCCTTTCTCTTTTGAAGAATGTGCATTACTCTTGTTTTATATCGTATAAATAAATATATATAAAGAAGCATTTTTGTAAATGAACCAGTATAGCCTATATGTTAGTGAGATTGAATTTACCTTAAGACTTTATAGTGTCATGTATATTATATTACTGCAATATAGTTATTTGTTTTATTTTGTTTTTTAATTTTTCTTTTTGCTATTTAAATTTTGGTTTGGTAACAGATATTTGGAGGGTAAGTGTTTGGATATGCCCACCAAACACACCAAAACATTCCACTGAGTGTAAAACCGTAAAAACAGCAATAAAGTGTCTATAGAGCAGCGTGTGTTTGGGTTTCATTCACTGTCTGTGATCATCCAAACCTGGAACAGGATGTAACGATGTTGCTGATGAGGAAAAAGACAAATATCTGCCTCGTTGAAGAGTTGTGACAAAGCTAGTCCAGCGGGTGGCAGTATAAATCAACTTATTATTATATAGGGCAAAGTGCAGCAGAGTAAAAAATATCTGCTTATTCATTCAGGCACTGCTCCCCATTAATATCTTATTGATGGTGATTGCATCAAAGTGTTTTGCATGCATGTTAACCCATGCATAATGCTCACAGTTATTTTTTAGAGACATAAATGATGTACATTTAAGGTAATTGATTAATTAAATTCTCTGAAAAAATCAAACACACTGGTAGTATATGTCCTTCAATTGATTTTGAAAATTGATTTTTTTCAATATAAGTAATATCAAATAGAAAAAGCAAGCATCTAACTTTGATATAAATCAACTGTTGAACTTAAACTATGTTTACAGCTCTATGTTTGTTTATCTTTCTGGCAGCTGAGGAAACTTATCTATTGATGAAAACTAAAAATTAATGGAAAACCTAAAAAGCAAAACTTGAAAGAATTTGGCAGGTCTTTTTTATTTTTTTTTAAATAAGAAAAGTTGCGGGGAAAAAAAAGGTCTCTTATACTCTCCAGAAAGAGGAAGAGGATGGGATATGTGTCCTTCAGGCAGAGAAAACACAATCAAGATTTATTTCTTTGGAGAAACTGTGACAAGAGTGCCCTTCCAATGGAGATAACGTCTTTTTATGCCATCCAGGGAGCATAAAAATCGAAGAAATATCTGAAGACAGCATCTTGAAGTTGCCTATTAGGGTGTCCCTCTAGTGGAGAAAACACTAGCTTCTCATACAGGAAGCCCTGAACATGGGGAAAATTACAGTGCCGGGCTATTATGTGTCTTTCTGGTCAAAATAAATCAATTAAATGCCATATTAATATCCCTATGTGAGCTTTTCTTCTTCTTGTATTAAGCATTTAAATATCCTCAGGAAAAAAAACTCAAAAATAGATCAAAAAAGTAATGCATTGGCACTAAAAGAAGGATGGCTGCACAATAGAACACCGACCTACATACAGGAGCATAACTTCTGACACGGACACTGCTTAGCTGGTTAAACTGTCGTCAATTAAGACAAAACTATGAAATAAAATGAATTAAAAAGAAAAGAAATGGTCGATATTTGAAGTTGAGTGTCTGAGCCTGTCTGCTGTCTGGAGGGCGGGGTCAGTATTTGGCAGGTTCGTCCCTCGAGGGTGTGTATGTACGCTTGTGTATGCACGCGAGTGTGAGTGAGAGAGACTCGCTAAGCAACGACCTGCAAACGGGCATCTGAGCCAGTCCGAGCAAAAAAAAGAAAAAGAAAAAACAGGAACAACACTATCTGCGAGTGTCTTTGCAATGTTCCCGACAACATTCCCACACCGCCTGCTCTGATCTCATCGAAGTTGCCGTCCCTCCACCCGTCGGCCACAGAAACCAAAGCAGAAATTAATGCATCTTGCTCCGTGTTCCTGTTTGTTTTGACCTGGTAAGGTATCCTGCTGGATTAGCTCGCCGTGCTAACAGCGCTTCTTCTGCTTCACTCAGCATCTTAGAAGCTAAACGCTAGCCTGCTAAGCTAACTATGTCTGACGCTTCTTCTTGTCTTTATTGAGCAATGTCCTCCTGGTTTTTTATTGAATTTTTTCGCCGTAGTTGTATCTTTGTTAAGAGGGTTTGTTAAAATGCACAGAGGGAGTAAGGAACCGCTAACGGCTTCAGTTGTTGTCCAGTTGCGAGCTAACGGCTAACGGATAGCAACGGAGGCAGCAGTTCCATCACATCTGTGGCTCCTCCGCACACAGGTCGGTTAACTTTGAGACAGGAAGAGAAATATCACTGTAAATAATGTCATTCTTTAGTTTTGTGGTTGTTACACACAGATATGGCTTGTCTTCTTTTAAAATTTTAAAGAAATTTGATTTTGTTGTTGAAAATTGTCGAGTTTTGTGTTTAGAGAATATGAGGAAAAATCTCCTGGTTATTCGATGTAGTCGTTAACAGAAACATAAAAACCGAACATTTTGTGTTTCATGTGTCTGAACTTTTTGTTCTGCTAAACTGGAGCCGGTAGTTTCGCTTTCTGCTCGGACCGTTTCTGGAAAGCCTCAGCAGCCTGTACCTATGCCTCAGCCCTTTGCCATGAAACTGTCTGTGCTGGAATGTTCTGGTACTTTGTGGCATTAGGGGACTTTAGTGCCTGAGTTGTCCTCTTGCATAGATTTTTAACTGCATAATTGATTCGTCGACGCGGATTGTAGGCTGACTTTCAATTCTGGGCTCTCTGAAATCCTCTGCACATTGCATAATCTTATCCGGCCATTGGCCCGAATTAGAAGAGGATTGGGCTCCCCATATGTTGTACTACAAGGGTGAGGAACAGGCTTGTATTATCAGAGAACACTGTGGATTAAAGCCTTACCTCTAGGTTATTTTTTAACATCTCTGGATATCAGTAGACTTAAAGAACTAATGTTGTCCATAAATACTAGTTTTACAAAGTCATTATTCTTCAAACTCAATCATCACTAGAGATGAACATTTCTGGATCACTTTATGATGGATTTGCACACCTATTTTCACTGCAAGTCTCTCCTGCACTAGAGTTTACCCATTACTCTTAGTTTGACGGTTTATATATTTTGGAAGAAGGCATAAAATACAACAAACAACATTTGATTCTGCCATAAATGATAAATATATTCTTATCAAACACAGACGCTTGATAACATATCAGATGTCTGTTTCTGACATTTAAAGAAACACTTCCATACAGCTGGCATGGTGAGTTTGTTGTTGACGCATGTGTCCCCCTTACTGGTTGTATGTATTTGCTTAAGTTTTCATATCCAACAATACTGACAACAATTTTTTTCAAGTTGTTATCTGTTAATATTGATATCATGCTTTTAATATTTTGCATCCTTGAGTGACACTGTCAGAGAGGTAATATTTCTACTTTCAGTGTCAGACTGATATAATGATAGGTGGTAGTGTTTTACAAGAGTCTATTACACTGCAGTGGTTTTTGTACTCTGATTTTTATGATTTGCTGAAGTGAAAGAATTATAGTATGATCATTTTAATGATATACATTATAGTTCTTCAAACAACCTTTAAAGGAATTTTAAGTACCCCCTGCATTACTTCCATCCTCAAAGTAAACCTTAAATGAGGGACAAAGATCTGGGAAATGTTAGAGTAATGCAGGCCAGGTCAATGTCACTGCTACGAAGTGACGTTGACATCAAGACAGAACCATGGTAAAGCTGTTCTATTGGATCACATATTGTACAAGTGTTAAAATTAAAAAATGAGTAGGGGTTGCTTGTTGTGGTGTATCATAATCTATTATTTGTGCAGTGTCTGGAAGTTGAATATGCTCATTGTGAATAATGCACTCTTTGTAGATTGGTTCTATAGCAGCATGAAAAAAAGCTTTTTCTTATAGAATAAAATCGGCTCTTTTGAATGCGTACGATGGATGCTTTTAGCGGAACTCATGCAGACTCCATCCTATTAGCTCAGTGGAGTTAAACCTGTTAGTAAAAAAGTAAAACACACTCGGTTGTTGTGTAAGAGATAGCAGGTATGTCTATGGACAGATTTGACCAAAGGTCAGCCAAGCTGTGGTGCTAGTATTGGAAAAGTGTTAGCAAACTGCTGTTGAATCAGCAAGTGTGATACACCTTGTAGTATTGGTGTTCGACACTCAGCTTCAAATATATGATCTACCCAACTAAACAAATGAAGCCTAGTTAAAAAAGATCAGCCCACTTTCTGCTATGAATGTTCAGATGTTTTTTGATTCCTTGAGTTGGTTATTTGAAATCTCTTATTCACGTTGATATGGTCTCGTGGTATTGTACAGTCTGTTATTCTGATGTGTTTTTTCTGTGTTCCTGTATGCATTTGTCAGTGAAGTCGGGCCTGATCTTACTATGTTGTTGCATAAATACAGCAGCCCTACCATTACAAATCCAATTGACTCCATGGCTGTCCTATTAAACTGCATTAGTCTAAGCCAGACAGACCTGCAACCAACAATTCATTTTATTATGAGTCAATCTGACAAGTAATTGAGAGCGTCCTGATAGCTGACTGTAGCCAGTATCTGGTCTGTTTCCAGCAGGGGACCTCTGTTGAATGTCAGACCCTGTCTCTCCCTTTGTTTCTTGTCTGCCTCTAGACTCTCCTTTCAACTAATGGCAGATTTACCCAAACATTATTCTCAGTATCCCTATTTTTTGTCTCTTGCCAGACATCTTGAAAATATCCGGGAAGAAAAGATTTATTTGTGGTTTTTTTCTATCCCAAAATGAGACACAAACAATACAAGCTTAAAAGGTTCATTTCTCTGCAGTTTGTGACAAAAATAAGACAGTTAATCCCATCCCCCCTTTTTTGATTTGACTTAAGAATGTTCGACATTTTATGCTAGAAAAATAACTAGAATAATTTGCCTTTAAGCTGAATTCTTAAATTAATACTAAGTAATTCTTACTTACTGTACCTCAGCTGAACCTGTAGCTTTTTGCGTGACGGATCTCACGTATGCACATACCGACAGTGTCAAAATTCCACCGGCCCCCTGCTGTGTGAGATAAGGCTGGGTACGTAAGATGACCCATAGTTTTTATATGGAAGGAAAACACGTGCACACACAACAGTGTCATAACCACACAGCTGCCTGCAGTGTGGGATTGTTGTTGCCAGGTCAGTGAGTGGTTGTTTTAGACTCGGTGGACAGGGGCCAAGCTAAACTAAGTGTGGTCCAAATCTCTCTAAAGCTGGTTCCACACTGCCAGAAATTCACCAAATTTAATCCCTCTGCACCTGTATGAAAATGTACTCTGAAATCGCGCTTTTTGTCAGTTGAAACATAACTCGCTTTTAAAATCAAGCCTTATGTGCGAAGAGGTAGGACCTGCGCAGGATCAAGCTGACATCTATTGTCAACAGTTGTTTTAAACAGTTATCAGAGCAGTGCTATTGGATGAAATAACAGTGACTGGAGAGGGGATCTAACAAGAACCCTCGGAAGATTATCTCTTGGTGTATGTTACGCCAAAATGGGCCAGAGGCAGTTTCACACAGTGTGGCACTGACCTGGCCCCAAGATTGTGCAAATACAGATCTTCCATTAGACAGCTGAAATAACAAAGACTTCTTCAGGGGAACCATCTTTTATTGATATGTTGTCTTTCCAGAGAAAAGGCTTTTGGGAGAGTTTGCTTTCATATCCTGGACTTTAACTGTACTTAAGAAATTCTGTTATCAATCATTTAGAGACCAACGGATTGTAGATGATTTGATTTTTAGAGTAGCATCAAAATTGAGAGAGCAGTGTGACTCGTAAAAAGTTGGTTGTTTGATCAATAATTTCTAAACTTTGTATTTTGTGGAAACTGTCACATCTTGAAAAGAGAATTTGATAAGGCTGTGAGCTTGTGTTAGAATTAAAAGCCTGCGAAGAAGGAAGAACTTTCGTGCTTCTGATTCCTTTATGACAGGTCGGAAATTTTTTTGTCAAAAACCAAGGTGCTTTCCACAGAACAGATGTGTGAATGTGCATTAAAGGGCACAGATATGATTTTTCCACAGAGGAGTTTTCTGATGAGAGAACAGCTGTTACAGTCGGTCAGATAATCTGACACTCAGCAGCCATTTTTTAAAATCCAATCAGAAAATAGTCCCTTTCCCAGTTTCATCCTTTCAAATAGGACCAGACTATAAGACCTAAAAAAAGATTCACACTGAACTCAATTTACACTTGATTTTTTTTTCTTCTTCTTTTCTTTCCAAAGCAACAAAGACATGAATCAGAGAAAATTTTTAGCCCATGAGTGATTAGCTCACCTTTGTTGTCATCAGGGAAGTAAGTGGTTTAGAGGCAGACAATCCGCAGAGCCCTGTGGTCAGTGATAAAACACACCATCAATCTCATAGTGAAATAAAACAACTTCCCCTCCAGCTCTGTAGCAATCTTTTCTCATACCGATGAGACACAGATGAGGCTCGGCTACTCTTGCGAAAAACTTGCAGCTTTGATTGAAAATCTGGACTTTTAAAATCTTTAACAATCACATCCTATGCCACAAGTACGGGTTTCATTTTGACTATTTATTGCCCTACAGTCAAATGTGAATACCTGCAATTGTTTTCACCACCTCTGATATGGAATTGGATGTTGAGTGTTTTGGACAGTTAGTTTGATTTGTACTTTGTTGTGATGGACCCAACATTTAACTAGTTTTTAAGAACATTTCTGCAAACAGATCTTTGATAATTAGAGTTTTAAGTTTTGGCCATATGCAAGAGCTTTACCTTTGAAAAAAAATGCAGTGGATTAGTAAATGCAGGGTGATATTAAGTACAATGTCATTTCAAGCTATTTGCCAGCCTGTTGATATGTCTTGAAGTTAACTTATTTTTGAATAACATTGTTGTAAGTTGTTAGATCGGAGTCATTACAAACCACTGCTGATTTATGTGAACTGGAATCATTTCAATGAAATTCCTTTACCCACTACTCTGATCCACTGGATCACATAAAACCAACATCATCCCATGTATTATTCCACATATTAACGTCAGGTCATCTGTCCAGTTACTGACATTAACCTTTGATTTGATTTGGGAAGTTAGCATTTAGTCATCATTACTGTATTTTTTCTTTTCTTTTTTTCCTCACCAAGCAAAAGACAGGAGACACTTGAGTACCCCAAGTAATCCTGGCAACATCCTGTGCTCTTAGGTAACTGAAGTGGTCTAGGATAGGGGGAGCGGTTATAAGGGCACAACATCTACTGAATGTGCTGGGATAAAAACAGAGTGATCACATTACTGGAAATACAGGATGACAAACTGTCATAGCCTCTTTCTTACCTAAAGCACTTTTTTTTTCTCCAGGCTTGCACGATATCGACGGTGTGATTTTCTGTGAAGTTGTTTTAAAAAATGTGCATGGAAAGCACTACGCTTGTCTTTTTAGTATTGATTTAACTTCTCTGTGGTGCCCTCAAATTGCTCTGTCACTCTGCCTGGTCATTGTTTCGATGCTCTTTTGCTTGCTCTTTGTCCGTGTACTGTCACACCATGTGGTTTAATCTAGTTTATACACACACAAACACAGATGGAAATGACAGCACTTGTACTATCCTACATGCTGTTTGTTCTGAGTTAATTGATCCAATTCAGTCCACATATAATAGAGCAAATAGGGTTTATTCAGTGATTTTTAACTACAGGCCTGGGATTTCCTCATTGATTTTTACAGTCTCACTTCCTCATTGTACCATTCCCGCTCGCAAAGAGCAATCAGGCAAGTACAGAACAGAAAGACAACAGATGGAGAGGGATCTTTTTTTAATGTAGCAAATGCAGAAGCACACTGGCTGGTGTTTCACTGTGCAGTAGTCTGGAAATTTCCATTAGCTTGAACCACAGAAAGAGTGTGAGGTGATATAGATCAATACTAAATCAATAAAGCTCAATGTCATTGTCTGAGGTGAGGTGAGGCTCCCAGAAGCTCATTGAAGGTTTGGATCCCTTTTGAGCCACAATGCACAAATGTTTCTGTAGAAAGCAGTTGTTTTTGTGTAGCACAGTGAGACTCTGTGAATTTAGTGCCTGGGGAGAAATAACAGTAAATTAACTGTTTTTTCATCGTTTAATGAATGAAGATCCCCGTGTCCTAAATTAAAGCGTATCTTCAGCTGACAGTGAAGATAAATAAAATAAATGAAAAGCTAAAAATAGCAGCAAACTGTCTGATTTCAACTTAATTAACTTTTGTCTAAGTGGTTTAGCTCTTAAGTGATTGATTTAATATAAGGTATAACATACACAAAAAGGTTGGGCAGTGTAATGATATATATTTTAAGATCATTATTAAAGAGAGAGAGTCTGTAGAGTTTGTGGTAGCAAAATTAGCAAAACCTGTTCATTGAAGATTTTAATCCTATATTGATTATATGATAAAACATCCCCCCAAAATACACTTAGTTTAATGCAGCAAACCAGTCCAGTACAATCACAACTCCAGTAACAGATAATTGGAAACTGAAAATTAGGATATAAGTGATCTTTACTCTGTAACTGGTTAAAGTTTTAAAGTTCATGCACAATTTATTTTCAGTTGTTTTGATTTGACTCTTATTTATCATTTGACACCTACAACTGTCAGTTGTCAGAGACCATCCTTAGAAGGAGAAAAAAACAGGCCTATTACTTCATTCGGTAAATATGAATAAATATAATCCAGCTTTAGGGCTGGGTGCTTAATTTTGATTGTAAATATAGCCTCAAAAGAGCTTTTAGAAAGGTGTATACATAAGGCACTACAAACTTAAAAACAAAATCCTTCGAACTTGAAGATTGTAGAGTAGCTGTACTGATAACAGCCAAATATCGAAGGAATGATGCATGCTTAAAGATGTTTTTTTTACATATGTAATTACTAATATTGTTTTACTAATATTTTACTAATGAAGTCATATTCACTGAGATGCTTTTAGTCAAAATATAGTGCAATACATTGCAAAAACAAACATTCTATTTGGGTTTGATGTAGTAGTAGTTGTGTTGTCAGAGTTCAGGAAAAAAAGTCTAAATTTCCATGTTTTGAAGAGTCCATAAGCCAAGAACTCACCGAAAAGTAGGATCTGTATGACTGTTCACCCAGATGGCAACCAAGCAAACTCTATGCAAATGTACAGAACAAAACGCTCCACTCCCACAGTCCCTAACACAGAGCTGCACTTGTTTTCACTGTAGGCGTTCAGGCTTTCTGCAGTGTCACAGCCCCTCAGGGCTGCAAAGAACAGATCCTCTTTTACTGCTTTACCAAAATGATCTTGTATGATGTATTAGGGATTTGATAAAACATAGTGGAGGTTGATTTGAAATATTGTTGACTGTGTTACCTGGAGTGCATAAGCAAGGCCGATTGAAAGGGATTAATCACCCATCCAAAGAAACTCCCCCCTCCTCCTCCTCCAGCCAACGTTGTTAAGCAGGGCACTTAACCCTGGCGGGAGAGGTCCGAAGGAGAAATTAACCGTTCGCTACAGAGGACTTAGTTCAGTGAAACTGTAACAGAAGTGTGATGTTGTAGGTCAGAGCAACTTGTAAGACAGATACTGAATTGATTCTAAAAATGGGCTGGTATAAAATTCTAACAGTAAGATGACCGTAAACTACTAAAAAGATCAAGATTTCACAGTGTCACAGTAATAGCTCTGAAACATGTTATTTTGAAATGTCAGGGACTCGGGGTTAAAAAAACAACAACTTTTCTGTTCAACACGATCTATTTTCAAATAACTTAAAGGATATTTGTAACATCAATAAACATGCACTGTAAGTTAGATTTTAAAATGTTTTAGATGTAGATTTTATCTTAGGATGCATACACTTTGATGCCTATATTTATACAATATTGATTCTGTTATTTCAGAGTCAATGCATGAAGCACAGTCCCAAAAAATGAGTCTCTCCATTTCTGTGATGGTCATCTGACAAGTCTCTACTTCCTGTGTTACCTGGGTAACCAGTCCCACCCCATGCAGTTAATGATCGGTTTACAGAAGCAGCAACACTAGCACCTTGTCCAACAGCAGCCTATATGTAGCGGCCAACACAGCTGATACTCTCTGAATGCCCTGGAAAAGACAACGGATGTGGCGTTTTTTCTCTGTGTGCTCACGCTGCTATTTGCACTTTTTGTCCTTGGGGACAGTTCCACTAAAACTTAGAGAGTTACACTGCAAGCGACTGATAACCACAGCTAGTGGGCTGACACACATATCTCTGCATGGTTTCTTTGCTACATGCAGATTTACTCGTCCAATGCAAATAACCGACATCAGGCTGACACAGTTTTACACTGTAGGAAGGATATGATGGTAAATATTAGTGGTTTTGAAACTGTGGTCTTGTGTTAAACAACGTCGTGGTTAATTTGTGTTGTTTTCATGCTGTTGTCTTCATCCTTTTGTCTGTTTACACATTTATTGAATGTGCAATGAATTTCAAGATGCCTATTTGATTCAGTTCAGATCTTCGTTTGGGCCATGTGCGTGTGTGTCACTACTTAAAGGGGCCACACAAAGGGTGCCGAAGTGCTGGGAGCATCTCTGTCAACGCTCCAAGTAACTGTTTATTATCTCTGATATGCTTTCCTTTAATGTTGTTGGCAAACAGTACGGTCTGTGTAGACTGCAGTAACTGAGCAGCCTTAGAGACAGAAAGTTGTCTGGATCTGAATCTCAACCCATAAAATCTTGTAAAACATCAGATACTTTTCTGCAAACTTACCAATGATTTCAATACATGGAACAAGCGTTATCTCTCTTCATTCCCTCAGACGTTCAATCTTCAAGGAAAAACTAGTTGAAGGAAAGTGAGGACAAAATAATACTTTGACAGATTTCAGGCCTTATGATAGGTTTGTACACAGTATTGTAGGGAAACATATCCTTTAAGGCGTTTGTTGTTTCTGTCGGACTTTCTTTATGTCTTCAAAACAAATAAAAGGAAGATTCTGCTGCGAGAGATCGAGATAACAAGGCCTGAAAAAGCCTGTGCCCCCTGAAGACGTGCTTATTAATTTATCACTGACAGGGCCGGCCTGGGAGCAGCAGCTAAACTGGGCTAGTGCTGTGAACTGCTGCTACTGATTCAAGGGCAAACACCAGCTTTACAGCCGCTATGTTTTATTTCTGCTGCTCTCTACCTCACCTACTTTTTTCCCTTATCCTGTCACTTCCTTTTTCCCCGCTTCCTTCAGTCCTCTAATCTCCCTTAGCCAGTCTCTTTCTGATTCTCTTTCATTCTTCATGATGCTGCCTCTCCTGTTTTATTTTTCCTTTCATCCATCTGTGTCCACGCCTCCTACCCTGACTCGACCCACTGGTAAATGAGACACAGGACCAGGGTTGCAAAAGGGTGAATAGATGCTATCTTTCTATATGTTACAGGCATTGAGGGTATAAAAATGCAGAGTTTGGATAATTAGCACACTCGGATAAGCATGTTGTATCCTTAAATGAATAATTTCTTAAGTTCTAAGTAGCAGTTTTTCTGTTTCCTACAGACATGGAAGGTGTAAAAATAAAAGTTTGGATAATGAGGGCACTAGGATAAGTCAGTTGTACCCCTAAACTAATAATTTCTTGAGCCTTAAATAGTTTACATTGTTGTACTTATTACTGAACTCCAATCCCCACGCTCTCCATTTATGAATGAAAGATTGGAACAATCATAAATAAATATTACTGAACTATATAGCTGTAAATAGCTGCAGTGTTGTTGACCTCATGTTGTGGGCAGAAGTCCAACTGTTTTCTAATGGTTGCCTGAATTGACACATGAAGTTTTTTGATAATTAATTTAGATTTGAGTGGATATAAATCAAGCCAAGGCTATTGGATTCAATATTTGGGAAAGATAAATAAATAATCACTAAGCCTTGAATTTGTTCATGGGGAAAGTAATTCAAGGCTACATATAAATAATTTGGGAGTATACTTTATTATTTCATGCTTTAAAAAATGAAATCCAAGAAAAGGACAAATAAACTTTTTAGTCCCAGGTGTCCCCATCCAGGCAACCCTCTCTATTGGTGGTTCCTATTGGTGCTGTTTGACCTCAATCAGAGCTGGGTGTGTTAGATAGACTGTTTATTGACAAATGACTCAACAGAAATGAGGCCACATGCAATTGAGTTCATTGTTGAAATAGTCCTAGATAGAAAAGCAAATAGACAGATTGCATGGAGAGAGTAGCATTTCAGGTTAAGTAAACTAAGAATGGAAAAAAAGTTGGAGAGAGTGCCAAGTTCTGTTGAGGAGCAGGAAAAAAAAGTATCAGTAAAGATGACTTTTGGGAATTAAAAAATCTAATTGTTCAGACAGCTCCTGTTTTGTTTTCTCATAGATGCAAGAGGAAATAGATTGACAGACAGGCAACTGTTGACAGACAAACAGACAAAGAGGAGGATTGGCTCGTAGTCAGGGTTGGTCCGTTAAGTTATGCGCTCCTATAAACCTAAAGTCATTAGGAGTGATTCCTACATTTTGACTCATGCGCTGCAAGTGGGTTTGGTTAAAGAGTTTTTACATCAACCTTGTCCAACAGGAAATCCAACAAGCCTTGACATTCGATGTCGAAATTGCCTTTTTTCCGATTAGATAACCCTCATTAATTGAAAAAAAAAAAACACGTTTTTCAGAGAATGCCTGAGATCAAAATCAAAGCATTTTTCAGCAAGTTTCCTCTAGAGCAAACTTTTCTCAGTTCAAACGAACATGACTTGCGAGTCAGGGTCAGAGAGCTGTTGGGTAAAAGTGCTTTTCAAACAAACTCCTGCAGTGAATTGCCCAGCAAGAGCTTTAATGCATGAATAAAGCTGGAGTATGACTTGCATATTTTTGCAGTTTAATCCCTTTTATGCATGATGTGAATTTGAACTTAAGTGAGATATTTAAAGGCACAGATAAATTCACAATCAACAAATACAATGCAGCACCCCAATGTAGGAATATGTTGAAGTTGATGCAACATGTGAAAATACCAAGTTGTTATTTACTCTCATTTGACAAGATAAAATTGAACCTGATAATAGTCTAATTTCCCACAATTACACAAGGCCAGCTCACGGTAACTCTCCTCATACTCGGCATACTTACCATGTATTATGTGTTGACTGTTGACCTTCATGTCAAGTTGGTAATCATGTCTCACCCCTGGCTTACTGCCCTGAGTCACACAGAAGAGCTCAGCTGTAATGGGAGGCAGTTTAAAATGTGCACCGGCAGGTTTTAGGTCAACATTCACAACACGTTACCTTGGTGCTTTGAGGGTGTGTGAACATATTTGTGTGTGTTTGGGTTTTAAACAGGAGTTACATTTCCCCTACGTAAGGGTTCGCTAGACCACAGACTTTCATTTGCAAACATTTTATTCTTTTAATGGCACCGTCAGCCTGTAAGTGTTTTGTCTACAGTAGACCGATACAAATGTGTGTAATGTGTAAATAAGTGTGCTGCAAAAAGACACGAGCAGGAAACAAAGACTCTATAATGTGCAGGTTATTGATAGCCTCAGTAGAAAATTAACTTCCTAACAGGAAGCGATGTACTTAAAGCTGTCTGTGCTAGTAAATGAGTAGGCATCAAGTGTAAAGTTCTGTGCACAAAGAATGACATACATACTGTTAATATTAGCCAGAAAAAGTAGTCCAATTGTGAGATGACCCTCTATCCCTACTTTATCTTTTGAAAAAACATTCTTATTAAATTCATGCTACACTGTAAAACTTTATCAGATCTATTATTCAGTGTGGCTTTCCTGTGACTCTATTAACATATAAGCTTCACTGATTATTTCTGCGTATTTTTTTGTGCCTCAAGCTGATTTGCAGAATATCTAAAAAAGTATCAGCATTATATTATATTAAATTATTTCCAGAAATTAATTGTGATTGCCCACTGCCTTAAAAAAATACTGTCAACTGTTTGCCTCAATAATCTACTCACTGCACCTTTAAAGATGCTCATTTGTCCAGCAACACTAAAGCTGAAATAAGCTCTAGATGCAAGAGTCATTTTAGGTTGTGAGTTAACAACTTTTCATTGCGATTCCTAGAAAATTGTCATATTTTGGTCAATATAATTCCACATAACTGCAACAGACAATGTTTCTCTTGTTCGATAGTATTTGAATGTTGCTGTTAGTTTGGTCTAGTGTGCCAGAATATTCTGAGATCTCCAAGAATTCTTCTTGAAAACTCAGTAGAGGAACTTCAGGGTCAAAACCGCCACAGTGTGACAGGTTGTTTGTCATTTCATTTTAGTGGAAGCTGATAAGCATCTCGGTCATATGTTCAGTGATTGATGGAAAAGATTTCTATCTGTTCATCTCATGCAGGCCCAACAATGTGACGCGTCATGCTCATCCAGAGAATACCAGGAAGTTATGCAGTGTGTCAGGGTCACGGGATGTGTGTGAAAAATCAACCCAGTAGCCACAAGGTAGTCAAATACAGAAACTACAGGCTCTGGTACTTCCCCTCTTTGTCTCGTGAAGGTTAAAGATCAGGGTTTGACAGGTTTACCTCTAGTTTCACCTGTGAGCTTCTAGATCAACAGACTTGTTAATCCTCAGATCTGGTTGGCCAAGATTTTTTTACTATTTCGGATCAAACTTATGCAACAAAACCAGATTGAATAGTCTTTGATAAAAAAATATATATATTTTTTTGACCCCCTGTGGTTTGTGAGCTTTGAAGCAGAGATCTCATTGATTTTAACTGTTGATTCCTGCTGTCCAACCTTTTCCTTCTGCCACTGTCTGCCTCCCTGATTTTGTTTGATCATGACCACTGATGGTCGACTGAGTGGAAGTCAACTGCTTTGATCTGTTTTATTTTTGGGTTTTTTTCACAGCCTGACGCAAGTTGGTGGAAATTTGCTGATTTATTTATACCCTTGTATGAATATTTTATCTTGTGCACTTTGTTTTGAAGAAACTGAGGCTATATAGCAGATCACAAATTAATTACATCAGTGCTTTTGTCCGGCTACATAATTTTAATGCAGTTTTTATTGACAACTAGCTTGGGCGAGAACAAGTTTCAAAGAGCCGCCGAAAAGGAGCTAAATCTTTTGAGAAAAGTGGATAAAATGACTGCGTGTTTTACATTTTAATGGTAGTGGGTTTGAAATAGCACATAATACATTACTTAACTCATGACTTGTCATAGTCTGTAAATTTTGTTTTGCATTTTAATTCTCAAAAGTGGTGGCAACCCTTTCAACATGGTTGGTACTGTTGGCCACTAAGTTTTGTACCCCTTTCTTTCTGTTGTTTGTCCTCATATCATCTGCTGGTCCCTTTCTCTCCTGGGTTCCTTAGTTTCCTCTTTCCCCCTTTCACTCACTTTCTTTCACACTCTTTGTGTCCTAACTTTCTCTGTTTCCCTTTTAACAATGTCCCTCATTGTTAAGCAGGAGGTTGTCAAGCATGATATCTGGGATTAAGACACACACAGACAGAAAGAAACACAGACAGAGCTATTCTAGACCATTCCTTTACTGAACAAATCCTCACTACAGAGGCCTTTTAGGGTCAGTTTTCATTGCAGACAAGGCGCTGGTTTGGGACATTGAGTTCCTTAATCTCAAAGAGTCATTGTCTTCATCTGAAGCTTGTGTGTTACGTCCAGCATGACAAGGCGTGTCTATCTGAGGAGGTCTATATCACTGTGCTGATACGCTCTTGGAATTGTAGACAATGAAAATCATTATATTCAACCACATCTAACATGTTAAAGCTGGAAATCCACGGTATAACTTGTGGTGGTTTTCCTTTTTTGGTTTCAATAGTAAAGACCCTGACTCAATGCAAGAATTTCAGTTCCAGTAGTGGGATTTCCTCTAGCTTTTAAAGAAGCTTAGAACCTAGCGGTGCCAGTTCAGTTGGTTTTGGAAAGAATAGAGGCTGAAGAATGCCTTTTTAGAGGACTAAACAACCTCTGTGTGCAAAAATAAAACTCCTAAAACCACTGTTTATTAACCCCTGCAAAGTGACTAAAGCCTGTCAAGAGTTCAAGCCACCAGAGTAGTCACTTAATTTTACGATGCAGCATTTTACCAAAGCCACACTGTTTAAAAAGCGATCTTCCGTTGGTAAAGCTGTAGTGGCCTTGGAGAAGGTAAAGCACTATCGGTGGAGGTTAATGTAAGAAATAAACAGCTGTATCACTGTGATTCGCAGTTGAAATCGTGCCTACAAAGAGAGTGGTGGATTGAAGACCTAAATACACAAGCTACTAGTGCACAGCTAAAGGAGGAGTAGAATTTATTCAGAAAGTGATTTATGCCAAAAAGGAAGCTCAGTTAGCAGCCGCCATGCTGATAAAACTTTATGATGCTATAACTCTGCCTAAGTGAAAGCTTCCTCCATGCAGGCAGAACAGTCTCCTGCCTACATATAATCATATGGGAGTACAACTGAGTCATATTATCTAGTGGTAAAATTTGAACTGAATCATGTGCCAAGAAAACCTCACAGAGTTCAGGATCTTGTAGCGAGTAGGAGGACACAAAGTGAGGCTTACCCGAATACCAGCTGACCGAAAAACTGAGGTGGAGAGCTGAGATAGACCCATTTAAGGCAGTGTCTGATTCCACCTCTTTTGTACCTTTTCTCGAAAGGGTTAATGGAAGGATTTACTTAAGGTTATAATTGACTTGCGAGTCAATAATTATCTAACTTTTACATCTAGTTGGAATTATCTTCAGATATTTTATAGGGAGGCTTACGTTATTTGTAAAATATCAGGCTGTCTGCATACAAACAGTATATTTAAATACATTCACATTAAATTCATGTTTTTTTAAAGACCATTTGTCAAAATGAAGCATCAACCCAGTGAGCTAAAAAAAATAAAATAATATATATATCCAACCAATTGTGCTTAAAGAGCCCTCACAAAAAATAAGCATTCATATTGACCAAAGATATGAAAAGCTGAAATTTATTTTCATATTAGCAATATGCTGTAGACTAAAAATGTCTTAAATTTGTTTAAGCAAATGTTGCAGAACTGATGATGTAGCAGCTACAGTGTTTTCTTTTCCTCTTTCCTGGAATCGTCAACAAAGCCTTTTCCTGGTATCTGAAAGCCTCAAGGTTTCTGCTGATGTTCCACGGCACGGGATTTAACTTCCTTTTACTTTTTGAAATTACACAATTCTGGAGTGTTTTGCTTGTAAGCATTGGCAGATGCGATAACAAAGCTTTGACTGGGGGTAAAAAACGGGGTTTGGAGGTGATCCTGTTGATGTAAAGGTGAGGGTGAACTGGGTCAGATGGCTTGTTTCACATGGCTGAAAAATGCTGGAATTAGCAGTTGCAACAAAAAACATATTTAGATTTATGAAGAAGAAAAAGACGAAGAGCATTGTTCTCATAAATGTTCACAATGTTTTTCCCTGTGATGTTAAAATTATAATTATTTCTTCATCTTGTGATCTCCTGCCCTCATTCTGTGTCTAAATGGTTGTTGGGGTCTAATTTATACACAAAGTTTTTGCATGTGTCGCTGTTACCTAATAGCAAATGTTTTAAGATTTTGTGCACACTGTTATTATTTGTTATTTTCGTAGGTATTGATGTGCAGAAATATTATTTTCTTATTACTGATTGGTGTCTCAGACATGTTGAAATAATGGTGCTTCAATTTCAATACTTTTTAAAGTCCTTGTATCATTCAGGCTTTGATAAAATCTAAATGACTTCCAGTCTGAGAGGGAAATTGCTGTTGACAAATGACACAGGTGTGGAGAATAGTGTATGTAAAAGTAACAGATATGGTACAAGCTCAATCACTGTTGATTTTTAATAAAGCAAATCTCTCTTTTGTCTCTGTCTCTCCTCAGTGTAGTTAGAAAGGAATCCTGCAAGAAGGATTAGCGGTCCGTCAATGAGGAACTACCGGCTCATCTTCTGCCACAACCTGAAGCAGCCATAGATGGTTCAGTGGTTTACTGGCCAGGGGAGGAGAGGATAGGACACACTTTCACTGCTACACGGTAAGCTAACACACACATTCAAACCCATGCAGTTAATAGATAAAATACACCATGTGCACAGTACATACAGTAAGTGACAGTTTTGAAACCATAACAGAGAGTAGAGAAAATTTTCTGAGTGGCAATTAGCTGTCACACGTCTCGCTAAAACTGTCACAAACAAGCTGTTATCTGTAAAGTTTCATTTGAGGCAAGAGTCAACCATAAATGCAAAGGTACACCAGTTTAAGTTTATGTCTCTGTGCAAAGAGTATGTTGTAGTGTTCTCTCCATCTGTGATTGTCAGTCCTGTTCCCATGAATACAACATCTCAAGAATACCTGCAGGGTACTTCACATTTGGCATGAATGTGCTCTTTGATGAAAGATCAGAAATTAACTTGTCAAAGTCACTGTAAACTCACAAAACACACAGTGTATCAAGTTATGACATATCAAGGTCAATGGTAAGTTTCATGAGAAACTTCAATACAAGCTTGACTGATCATCAAAGGTACACAGTTACTAAAAAGTAACTAATTCATGTTACATTTATATTTGTTTTACAATGACTCACAATTGTACCTCTTGGATTTTAAAATAAAAAATAAAGTTATTAAATGAAAAAATAATAAATGATTAAAAGAAGCACCAGAGTTTTCATAACCTACTAGCTCTTGCTCTTTGCTCCGGGCAAGAATTGATTTAATGATGAAAGTATGTCTGTCCCACTGTACCAAGTGGTGACATGTTTCCTCTTAGCAACTCACTATTGGACCTTCTGGGTGATCTATCATGTCACTTACCAAAACAATTCATTGAACAAGTTAGCGATTGTTGAAAACATTGACAACTCAACAGCTTTGTACCTGTCATACACACAGTAAGATGGTTTTGTCTTATTTGCCGCCCTTCTTCTCCTGCTGAGGTTTTGTAAACACCAGGCTTCTTTGTACGATCTGTGGCATACGATCTGTGAAGCATGAGAAGAACACTTAAGCCAGTTTTGCTTCGTTGTTTACAAGCAAGAGGAAATCAACCCCCGACTACATTCGGTCACTTTTTTACATCATGAACACTTACTTTATATTGAGATTGCACCATATAATGACAGCTGTTATCTCAGGGCTCTATTCGGAAAGAGCAGGTCTAGACGTACTCTTTGTTTTAGTTTCACAATAGACTGGTTTTAAACCTGTTACCAGAGGTGTTAAAGGTGGACAGACAGCGGACCACATTCAAGTCAAGCTTCTTTCTTTGCAGAAAAATCCTGTCTGACCACATCATAACACTCTCTCAGTCTGGGTATGTCACTGACATTGAGGGCCTGATTGTTCTCTACAGTTCTACAGGTTACATGGTTTATTGAAGTTGAATTTAATGTTAAGAAAAAAATCAGATTTAACATTCTTATGAACATTTGGTGATGTTCCTCCTCCCCTGATTAGTAAAATGCACACCATCTGCCTCTCATCGTATCCAGATTACTCACCAACCGGCCACCATCTTTAGAGTCCAACTGTGAACACAAATGATTCTTGCGAAATCCTTATTTTCTTGGCTTTGCATTGATTTCCATTCCGCTGCCAGACTCAGCCAGTGGCAGGGTCCCCTTTGCATGGGAAATAAGGCGTGATGACGTGAGAGGACATAACAAACACTGCAGGGATGGGAATAAAATTAAGAGGTGACCTTTAAAAGACGGTTATGTAACAGATAACCAGATCACACTGAATCATATTTATGTAATTTAAAAGACATCCCTAGAGTGAAGCAAAAGTCACCGTTAGTCTTTTAACAAAACATGAAATCTATTCCCCTGCCATGGCTCCTTAAAACAGAGGATATTTGAACTCCTTCTTACTTTGAAAAATAGAGCCTTCAGTTTCTTTCAAAAAGTAAATGCTCAACACAACAAATTATCTTCTAAATGCAACTACAGTCTGTTGTTAAAAGTACTTTGAACTATGTTTGGTCTAAATCCACAGTTTGATAAACTCTGCATTTGTTTGTAGAAGGGTCATAGGACAGTGGAGACAGGAGACACTTCCTCCGCCTCCTTTTCTAGGTCCACCTATTTTCCTTGACCCTAAATAACCAGGTGTAAAGGTCTTTGCTGACCTGTAGCATGGTGCTGATGGCCATTCTCCTCCCCTCCTGTTCTTTTTTAGAAGGGGAGGTTCAAAACATGCTACATAGTCTGAACCAGCCACTCCTATATGTTTGAGTGTTCATTTTCACTTGTTTTTGAACGGCAGAGGTAGGGTGTTAACTGATGTCTCCTTGAATCGTTTATCATTATCTATCAGCCATGGTATTGTTATCATTCTTTGCTCTTTGCAGTTTATTTTTTTCTGATATAATTCCATCTCACCTTTTTTGGTCTAACTCCTGCCACTTTGTTTCTTTTCACTTTCCTCCCTAAGACGTGAGGTCTTGGCGGGGTTGTGGTGAGGAGGAGGAGGAGGCCATGAGGAAGAGCTTGTCTCCGTTGCCAGGCAATGAGGGCGGGGGCTCAGCCGGCACCACCCGGGTTTTTGGCGTTCCTTTGGAGGAGGTGACACGTACTCACACAATCAGTGGCCATGAGGTTCCTGCACTGGTGAAACACATCGTTGAATACATTGAGGAGCACGGTGAGTAAACAGACTGTTTGCCAAATGCTTTGATTACATTTCTTTATTATGTGTCAAATATGATTTATAGTGGAAACGTTTTTATTATATCAGCGGTCACAAAGCTAAAACATCTGAACGATCAGCTAATAGTCATTGTTTAATTAGAGTGTATTCTATGACTCATATACACTCACGTGTGTGCTAAAGGATGTGTTTGCTGGAATGTGACTGAATGTACTGCAAGTAGGTTGATTTGTAAAACCTCCCTTGTTCTAACAACCTTTAAGTACACTGGAGATTTAGTGGTAAAGAAATCAGAGAGACAAGCTCGGACATGCTTAGAACATGAAATAAAGCTGAATATGCTTCATTTTACCAGCTACACCTCCAGGTATAACCAGCTTGCAATGTCAGGTACACGTGCTAAGTCTGCCTTACTGTTTTCTGAAATAATGTTTTGTTAATCAGCTTCTGTTATTGAATAAGTTTGGTGTCTGCCTCACTCTATAAGCTGGTCCTATTCAAAGAACGAGAGTGTTATTTATAATTAGAGCAAGTTCTCACAATCAAAACTATTATTTTGTTTTTGCCTCTCTACTGAGAAGTCGAGGCTTTTTACAGACAGTTCTACCTGTAAGACTGAAAATACAGAAGCTCAATATCAACATCTCAATATCAAATGAGTGAAAGAAATAAGATTGCTCATACCAGGTTTAGCCCACTCATTGCTTTTATCATCCTTAAGTACATCCCTCTGAGAACTCAAATACATCTGATAGTGCTCCGTAATGTTTTAGTTTCCCAAGCACGCCCTGCTGCTGTTGCCCTGCCGTGACTGCTTTTGCATCACGATAAACTAAAATATGTCGCTAGCAGAGATCCAGTTTATGTGATAAGATGAACTCTGGATGCACCAGCAGACAGCTCCACAGTCTGCTTCCTTCTCCATTACATAAGAGTTCTGTCAACTGCAGCTTCACTTGTGAAAACAGAAGAGCTGAGCTGTGAAGAGAGGAACCCACCAAAAGTCCTGGCCCCAGGCCTTTCCCATATCCACCCCCAAACGTTTCCCTTCAAGCCTGGCAGAGCAGGAACTCTTCTCTTATAACATTATCTTTGGAGAATAAAAAAGTTTGCTGTTCTGACTTTTTGCTCCTGAAGATGAGTAGGGTAAAAAACAAGAATTGCTTCGATAGTTTTTTAAACTTACTATTGTTGGTAGTGACTCGTATTGGTATTAGGTACATTGTGTTAAATGCAGAACATCATGGGCAGTGACCAGCTATGCAAAGTTACTTGGTCCATTTTTGATTACCTTAGTTTATTTAATAAAGGAATGCATTGAAAAGAGGCATGTACCGGAGGTTGTCTGGTGCAGCGCAGACAGGCAAGAATGTTTTTTTATGTTGGGGTATTCAGTGTTAGCTCTAAAGTGTTATGCAACTCATCTAGCCCTCAGCCAGAAACAAAGATATTCAACTCTTCTCATACGTAACATGCATTGTTGAAGTGAGAGAAAAGTGTGGTCATTCCTGTTGTCATGCAAACCTGTATTAAGACTAAATACTAAACTGGATCAGATAGCGTTGTACCTATAATTTTGCTGCGAATAGTCTATGAATTTGTGATTAATGGTTCAAATCTTTGCAAATGACTTTGATAAATGCAAATGTTTTCCACATTCAAGTGATCAACTTTGCGAAGACAGAGAAAAGAAGCCTTTTGGTCAAAGTATCTCTACATCTCATATCAGATAAAATTACATAAGCATGCAAAGTTTTGATTTTAGAAATAACTGTATTGCTGCTTTGTCTCATCATAAAAGCAGTACAATTTATTCTAAAATATTACCCTGATTCCACTACGATATGCAAAGCTAATAAATATGTTGAGTGTTTCAACAACATGGAACGAATATGTAAACATTCATAGAAATCAATATCAACTTAAGCTGTGATAGAAAGGCTAAATCTACACAGTAAAGAAAGCACTAAGAGTGTGTTGAAATATGGGTTTTTGAATGCTGTGGTGTTGTTAAACCTTAACAGTGCAGAGAAAGAAATAATGATGCATATCTGTAGACAAGTTCAACAAAGATAAATCCAGTATTTCTTATCTTTTCTATCTTGACTTGAGCACACAGTCAGCCTTGCAAACTTGCTTGTAAAACCGGTCAAGTAAGTGGATATTTGTTAAACCACTGCTTCACCTCAAATCCCCTCAAGTGACCAGTGAAGCAGGGTGATGGTTTGTGTGTCCTGGGGGCTGCTTGACCATATGAGGTTATGTAACAAGACCCTAATCCTCCCAGGCCTTTGCTTAGAGTGCTGCTGCTGCCAATTCAAAAGTTATTCAGCCAGCGAAAAGACCTTAATCTCTCTCATCTAATTTGTTTTTGATGTCCAAGGTTTTAGCAGGAGCAGTCAGTTGAAAATCTGAATTTTGGAGATAATCTAGTGTTAAGATGGAGATGGAAAATGTGTTGGACTAAACCTGCATGTACAATTTATCAGGGATATGCTGCTTTGGTAGATATAACCACTGAAACATGGGCATGACCAAAGCTTTTATATAAGATTAAATACCTAGTTGTTGTTCAATGCTTGTTCGCATATGTACAAGTTGTTAAATGGAGAAAACAAAGATCCCACAGGACTCCAGTCAAACATTCAGACTGAAAGATGAGTGACTGAGACGTTTTCACCTTCTAACTGAGTGTGATTCACAAACCATCTGATCTGCCTGCACATACAGGAAGACAAAACACCTTTTGACTTCCCCAGCAGTCGACTTTCTCTATTTTTACATGAAGCATTTATGAGACACAATGCAAGTCAAGTACGTTTATTAAATAGAGTTATAGACCTACAGACGGCTGTATGCAATGAAAATTTGCAAACATCATCTTGATTTGAATTTGTGTAAATCTGACCGGTAGTTGGTAAAGTAGCTACCAGCAGTGGTAGTTGGAGATGCAGAAAACGCACACTCACAAAATGCTTTGCATGACACCATGTGACAAACCATGACAGCAAACATAGCATGATGCAAGATAAACATATGGCTTATTATTTAAAGAAAGTAGACGCAATAGTATAAGAATGAAGCTATTGTTCTGCCGTATTAAAAACTGGAAAAGGTTAAGAAAAGATTTAAAAAAAGATAAAAAAATTTACCTCCTGTCTGCTACAGATGCAACACCAAAACATGAACAACTTTTACAATGTGCGGTTCTTTCTGCGTGTGTCAACAGGTCATCTAGATCTGGAGGGGCTCTTCCTGGTAAATGGCAACGCAGAGCGCGTGGATTGGCTGCGCCAGCGTTATGACAGTGGAGAGGAGGTGGAGCTAGAGAAGGAGGCGGATCTTGCATCAGCAGTCAGTCTGCTCCGACTCTTCCTGCAGGAGCTTCCTGAGCCCGTTATCCCAACATCGATACAGGGGCACATACTACAGCTGCACCAAGGTGTGTTACGACAACTGCAGCTTCACCACTTCATTCTGCATTTTCCTCTGTACTTACTCCTACACCTGACCTTTAAGTTTTTCCTCTCTGACATCAGCTGCTTTAGATTTTTTTTTCCATCATGAGACTACGTAATCATGTTCATTTCTTTAGGCTTTAATAGTCGTTTTAAAACATCAACAAAATTAAATTTATGTATAAATAAATGGCTAGGTATTCACTCAGAACGTGTACAAGATGATATTGATCAATCCAGACAGCTAATGCAGAGCTGGAGTGAAACATGTTCAACAAATGACTTTCACAGATCCCTCACCTAATTTGTTGTTTCACTTTCTCTCCCCTGCTCTCTCCTTGTTTGCCTGTTTTGATCGCAGATAATCTGCCCTCATCCCTCGTCATTATGAGCCTTGCTCTTGTTGCTGTCATGCAGATTACAGCAACAGGGAGTTCACATGTCATGCCATTTATGTCTCGTGTTATAACCAAAAAAGGCACTACAACACAGAGGGAAGGATTATCATTTTGTGTCCTTTTCCCCTCAGATTTTATCTCCTGTTTCTCCTCATTTCACCTCTCACCCAGAGTAAAGCATTTATCTAGCCAAAAGAAGAACTACAAACAGAGGTGTTATTCGCAATCAGTCTGATAAAATTATTATTTGTAAGTTAATCATAACATGTTTTGTGTTCTCAAACATCTGCAGATTACAGCAACGAAGAGGAACTGTGTAGAAACCTGAAGTACCTCCTGCAGCAGCTTCCCCAGCTCAACTACGGCTTGCTGCGCTTCCTGTGCCGCTTCCTGGCCAGTGTGGCGTCACTTCAACAGGAGAGCTGGAACATCGGGACACTGGCCGCTGTCTTCGGGCCAGACATCTTCCAGTAAGTTGCCTGTGTATCAATAAGATAGATAATGACGATCAAAACAGCCTAACTGATCAGTCCGTTGAACTCGAGGCTCAGTGACATGGGTAAAAGTAATGCTCCATGATGACCGTGTATATTACGCTGTGTGTGTAGTAAAGCCTCACATGAGGAGGGATTAATAAAGCTGTTTCAATTTAAACAACATTATTAATTAAGATTAGTTAAAAATTAGGGAAATTTGTATTGAAGAGCTTGTTAGTTAAACCATGCATGTAAAAGACAGTTATATATAGACAAGAATATATTGTGTACAAGAGCTGAAATATCAGGTAAAGTGTAAAATAAATACAGGTACCAACAACATCATATCTGCCTGAGATCTGGAGCTCAAAAAAGGGTGTCATGCTGAAAATTTTTAGTGGAAAAATATATATTTTTTTCCTGCTGAAATCCCTGCGTAGATTTATCGGCTCATCACCCTCTTTAAATAATCTAAGAGCTTTTTTGCAACATATTTAAACTGGGAGAAAGTGAAAGCAGCAAAATAAAACAGGATCTCTGCACAGAAAGAAATTGATTTCCCTGGCATCATCATGCTGACAGAGGCACTTCCTTGTGTAATTATTTAGTTATTGTAATTATTTAACCTCCTGCAGAAGCAGTGTACAACCCACACAACAGACTGTTCTCTCGTATCCTGTGTGCAGTCTGTCAACAGAAGCAGAGGACCTTCGAGACCAGGAGTCTATCAGCAGGGTCCTGGCTGAGCTGTTGGACAACCAAGAAGGCCTGTTTGACTCTGAGGATGATGACGTCTCCACCACCAACGACTACAGCTCCATCAATGAACAGGTACTGCAAAATGACATTTATCTCCCCCATATTACATTCTATCTCCATATCATCCACTGGCTCTACAGTTAAACCTGCTCAACACAGAGTAGGAAACAAGTTAAGCTGTTGCATTTCTTAATTTAAGCCAAACAACAGGCGCTCTGAAATCTTAAAAGCTGATAATAGTAAATAAACTTCAGTAAGCCAAGCAGAATGTGTCAGAAACATTAATATTTTACTTCTCTAGCTTCTGTAGTTATTGTTGTTCAGTACAAGGTAATGCCATCAAAGCTTATCCAACATCAAGATATTTTTCAAAGAGATTTAGAAGAACCCCACCCAGACACACCCACACACACAAGCACATACTGAACACGGATCACTGAAAAACACTGGGCTGTGTTTAGTGTGGAGAGAAATATTTGAGCATATCTTGAACGTTTCTTCTTCATTTTTTCCCAAACAATGTTGATTTTTACATTCTTGTACTATATACTCTGAACATCCAGAATGTATCTAGCAGACTGAACAAACTCAAAGGCATTTCCCCAGCAAGCAAACCTCAGCACAGGGCCAAGAATCACATAGTCAACATTTTATGGTACAAAGATTACATTGTGTTATCACAAGATAACAAATACATGAAAACAATATTATAAAAACAACCTTTGATAACGATCTCAGGTTGCTTTTCTTCGAAAGTTCCCGTCACATTTAAGATTATATTTTCCTACTGAGTAGCAAAACTGCAAAGATCATGTTCAAATGTCAAAGTTAAAGGAGTTAAGCCGGTCCAGCCAGGAGAGAGAGAGGCATTTCTTTATCTAAATCCATCAGCAATCCAGTTCTTCCAAACAGTCTGCCTAGAATAACACTTTCAGTCACTTCTTTCAGCACCTTCATACCTCATTACAGCTTATTTATTACAGTTTTTACTTTGCTTTAATGCTTTCTTAACACATCGCTCCAGAGGAAACTCGGCATCAATTTTACCTGTAACCTTGTGTTCATGTACCCGTCATTTTCAGCATTATTCCTCTATTCAGGATAAATAATCTCAGCTTTTCAAAAAGCTCTGGTTTGTGGAAGAGAGTTAATTAGATTAAAATTTAGCTTTTTGGTAAGTTGAAGTGGATTTTTTTTGCCCTGCACATCTCTTTGAAATTAATTTTCTTTTACTTTCTCTTCTCTTTTGGTCTCTCGTTGTCCCCAATTTTATTGGCTGCTGTGCTTCATGAATCAGAATATAATATTACTTAAAGAGAGAGAGAACTACTGAAGAAGAACAAGCAGACAGGGACAGTGAGAAAAATGTGTTCAGACAAATCATTTCTGCACTAATCCATGTGTCTTATGTAAGAGAGAGGGCACAAAGGGTGGGTGGTTTACAGAGGTAGAAGGAAGAAAAGCAGACAAAAAGATGGGGCGACAAGATGGCGAGAGTACAGAGAGAAGAAGAAAGAAAGAAAGCCAAGGGAGGGGGAGACAGCGAAGGAGAGGAAGGATAAGAAAAGAAGCTGGTGGTGATGTAACCATGCAACTCACACCTCCAGCCCCCTGCTCCACCGGGGATGGCTCTGTCTGTGTGAACATACCCTCATGAAGGGGATAATCTCCCACACACAGAAGCACACACACACATATGCTCTCTCTCAGGAGACAAACACGCTTCGCGCTTGAGATAAGCCTGTTAACAGAGTTAAGAGCAGGTTCAAAAGCCAAAAGTTCAAAATATTTCTAAATAACTTGAATTTTTCCCCCATTTAACCATGTGCCTCTTTTTCTGAAACTGCACTATTTTAGATTTCATCTTCCTAAGATTAGAAAACACCAAAAACTAAATTTACAACAAATAAAAACAACTTTGAAATAAACTGACACTTTATTCTAAGCCTCACAAAGGTTGGTCATTCAAGTTTGATAAAATTCCAGGATATCACTCATGTTTGAAGGATGGTTGGAAAAAGAAGCACATAGAAGATTGAGGCTAAGAGAAAGAAGGGGACAGTTGTGTCCTGGTTTTTTGTTTCATCACTAAAACTTAATGATACCAGAATTGATGTATCAACAAACAGTCCTGGATTTCGGTGTGTTTGTTGGCAAAACTGGGGCCAGTTTAATTACAGTTGAGGTGAGAGCAAGACTGCAGAGGCATGTTGTTGCTATGATGAAAACTGTGGGTGTATTTGTTTGGTGTCAGTGCTTGATGAAGTGCTGTGGAGCTAGAGTTTCTGGACAGAGCATGAAACAATAATTGAAATTGGAAAATAAAGATGCTGTATTCATACTCTCTATGCATTGGTACGAAGGCTGGGCTTTTGGAGAGCAAGTGTTTTCTCCTTAGCACATCCTTCTACACACCAGCTAGAAAAACAGAGATTTTGATAGACCACATTACACCCTGTGGTATTAGAAAACCGGCATGTTCTGTTTGACACATAGCTCTTAGAAATGGAGCAACAGAGCTGTACCAGTGTGTTATGAACATGAAAAATAAGGAGATTGTTCAATCATAATAAGCTCTGTGTTCCGGGGCTTTGTGAACTCTTGGCTTTGCTGTCAAAAATGTGACTTGTAGGCTGTATCAAAGGCTGTTGCCTTTTAAGCCTCTTTACAATATTACATAAATGCCATGAAATTTTTCATGATCTTGTTTCTGAATAAGACCCCGGGTCATGTCTACAAGAATCTAAGTCTATTCTGAATGGTTCAGAACTTTTCTGTGAAGTTTTGAGAATATTTTACAAACCTTCTGAATTCTGTAAATCTTTGTGTTGATGCAAAATCAGCTGAAGCACAAGTTTGATGTACACAAAGAAAAATAAGTATATGTTGTGTATCTTTGTGTATGTTAATAAGGAGGACCAAAATCTCCTAATCAGCACATCCTTTGTATATTTACTTCTGCACTGAAGATTCTCTAAATAACCAGTATTACTTAAAACAGCTTAGTAAATGAAATGAAAGACTTGAAATCTGCATTATATCCTGTTCTTTTCCCTCTTTGGGCATAAAAAACAAACAACAGGAGTGTTTACTTTCATTCATTTAAAATAAAACTGATGAGAAAATGATTGTTGGAATGATGCCAGTGTCCTCAGGGCTCAACACAGCCGTCAATCATGTTTTCTAGCTATAAAAAAAAGATTTTAATTATGTTTCTCTTTGCTTTTACTGAGAAGATTTCAGAAAAATAACCATCAGAATTAAGATGTCATAAAATGGAGAATTACTCAACACTAGTCTTTGTAATGAATCTGGTACGGTTGCATGTCCTCCTGCTGAGCCTGTCAGTCAACACGCCTGAGGTCTAATTACAAACCAGTTAGCTGTCTCCTTCCCAAGGATCTAACAACCTACATATCTGTTCCCAATGTGCTTTCTCAACAAAACTCTGCTCTGTGCTCAGCGAGGGTACTTCACTGTTTTGATTTGTCTGTGATTTCTGAGGGGAGATAACGCCTAAAGGACCATTATGCTATATGATATTATCAACAAGCACGGGAACAAGGGATTATTTATTGGTTTTTAAACATGAATTGTGGGACTGTACTTATGGTGGACAATATTATAATTGTAATATCATAAATAGAACGTTGAGTTTACCTGCTTTAAAATATACAAATATTTGATAAAAACGTTCTGAGTTATGAGGATACAAACAGAAATGAAGTAGAGGTGATTTCCTGAACACTGAAGACTGATTGCAGATGCATGTTACTCTAAGTGTGAAAACTTGCACTCCAAGCTATCTATGTTTGATCTGATCACCTGGGAGCGCAGGTGTAAATGAACACTGAGTCATTGTAATTGTTCTCTGCATTGGTTTGACAGTTTTGAAGACATCCAGCTGTTTCTGTCAATGTCTTTACTTAGCTGAACCTTCACTCGCAGGCAACACTACGTACTGATTTTAACTTTGTAAGTTTTGAACAGGTCTTTTTTCATCGAAGTACTGATGTAACTGCATCAAAATTAGTCACTATTGGGTGTAACCAACCAGACTACAAACAGTCAGAGGAGAGGATTTAATGTTTACAAACTCACAAGTGGAAATTTATTTAGTTCATGAATTATATAACTGGACATGCTTACACAAATGTTGCACCGGCAGTTAGATTAATCATGATTGGTTACGTAAAACTGTCAAATGCATGCTAAATTCCAGAGGTCAGAGCTCATACTGAATTACATCCTGGCCTGCTGACCCAGTGTTGGTCAGACTATCTGTTGTCTGTCTGTCTTCTTAATTAAGTCGCTTAATAACAGCCTTATTTTATCAGGTCGTTGAATTTAACCTCAGCAGATACATGATCAGCACGGGTCTCATTACCGCATCTCTGCCAGCTTATTTAAATGCTCCTGGAGCTGAGCCATGTCTCTGATACCACAGTGTGTACTAACTATACATTGGACTGTGGACACAGATCAGAGCCGTGTGAATAGACCAGCAGGAAACAACATATATATGTTAAATCATACAGACATGTGGCAGAGTGGCAGGCTGTCGAGCATTGACCTATTTGAGATGGAACGTGTTGTTATTTAAGTAGGAAGTGATGGCCTAGTTGGAAAGTCAGTGGATGTGTGATACTTGAGTAAGGAGGCATTTGGTGTGAACACACACTCATTTCACACATTTTTGTTTGTTTTTCAAATAGATAAACAGCCGATCTGTGGATTTATTTATGTCGACTAGATTTAATGAGCGGCTGGAGAGATTGCAAATGTCTAAAAATCGGGTTTTAACACATTTGAAGGTGAGGAAGAGAGATGGATCACACAGCCCACTCACTGCCGGAACACTAGGTCACAGGGCTTTTCTTCTGAGGTACAGCTGGAAGTAAACAGTACAAGCACATGGGCAGGATGAGTGAGAACACACAGTGAAAAGAAGATTAAACCTGAATAAGTTACACCTGAATTCAAGAGTGCTCTTTGAATGTTGACTTTGGTCAAATGTAAGTGTTTTTTGTTAAATGATTGATTTTTAAACCAATTTCAGCTGCTTTATAGTCACGCTCCATGTGAAATGTTTTGAAGTGTCAGTTTCAGTTTTCTGCTATTTGTAGTGACATTCCTTTATCAGCCAAACATAGAGTGAGTTAACTGGTGCAGCAAGGCAAACTGTGATTAGATTATTGGAATATGAATCATCAGCTGTTATTCTCAGTAATGGGTGTGTGGAGGGATTGTTCACCAGTTGGCTGATGCTCAAAACAACAGTCGGTGAGTTTTTTCTGCCTCAGTTTCAAACTTATTTATCACAGTGATTATATTAGAAAAGTTGCAGTGAATAAATTTGCTTGTTTTCTTCAGAGCTGCATAACTGTGTCATACAATTTAGGTCAAGGCTGCAGCTTTTTGTAAACAAGAGAGAGACCCTTAACCCTCACAAGCAAAGTCTCAGTCCAGGCTTACTTGGACTCTTGCCATGCAAAGATAAATTGTAAAAAATAGGAAAATATCACGAGGTTATAAATCCATAAATAACAAATGTACAGTAAGCGAAAGACAGGTCAAGTTTGCAGGTGTTGTATGTAATGCTCCTCGATGATAACGTCTATGTCATTCACTGTAGTTTTGAAAAAGAAGAGCTTAATAAAAAAAAGAGCCCTCAGATAATTTGACGTGCACTGACAGGATTCTGTCCTCTGCAAAGTAAACAACTAAATAATTAAAATCACAGGAAATACAAAACAAAAATGGGTGATCATATGGGTGGTCCTCCTGTACTGGACATCCTTCACCCCTTACAGAAAACTAAAAAAAGCCATTTTACTTGAGCTAGAATAAATTTGCTCATTAATTCAGCATTCTTATCAAAAACACTTTACATGTTTAACCGGATTCGAAAAAAGCTGCTTCTCTTCCTGGTGTTTTCTCATTGATGCACATCAGACCTGCTAATGAACCTGCCTTTTGGTATGCTCCAACAATCGTTTGGGTGTATTGGTGGAAGATAAATCAAACACAAAAATGAAGCTAACAATCACAGTAGTCTTTGCAACCACCGATGTAGGCCACAGCGTGAGACTTGTAATGTCAGCCTCAGTCAGTTGTCATTGTTCAGTGTTCTTGGCCCACAATCAGTTCAACTAATTATGTCAGCAGGGCTTGTTGTTTTCTCTGTTTTCCATCCTGAAACTCCGGGCAAGACTGCTGAAACCACCGCCAAGGCCAAGACCTTTTGTTCCAGGGCATCTCTCTGCCCTGTCTTTTCACCCACTCGGACACACAAACACACACAGCATACAAAGATATATACAGAAACGCACAAGGACTTCATTATGCAGAGATGGCTTGTAGGTTAACACAATTAAGAGATTACGCTTTTAGTTTCATGAATGAGCCTCTTTTCCTTTAAACATCATTTTACCTCAGAGGCTTTTACGCAGAAGAGCCATGATCATGGCCATAACACCACTCGAATCATTTAAATGAGCCCCTACAGCCCAAGGGAGAGCTAAACACACATGTGTTAGTGTTCATTATATCAGCTTAAACTAAAGGAATGTACACAAGGGATGCTCCTTTTTCATACTGTCGATCAGTGACCTTGATAGAGCATGCTCCTGGATGCTGATGCTGGTGTATAATCCAAGGTCATAACCATGAAACTGTATGAGCAAATTAGAGAATAAAACAAGCAAAACACAACCACCAGTATTTTTTAAAATGCTCTAACCACTTGACAGGAGTCAAAACAAAGTGTTTTACACACAGAGAGTGAAACGATTGACTGTGTAGAGGAAACAATCCCTCAATCAATCACATTTTTTCTTTAGAAAATACACTCACTTACTCTCCCATGGGTGACCATTCTCAAATATATATCTGTTGAAGTTATGACAGAAATAGGCCCAATGTCTGTCTTAAGTTTTTAAAAGGAGGTTTGGGGATTTCATGTTTATGAAACTTTCCACAGGCAGCATGTGCTCTGTTGTGAAGTCTTTGGGTTGAATAACTAGCGGCTGGGCCTGTGTGGGAGACTTTAGAGGGAATATTCAGAAGAACACTCTCAGGCCCATGACTTTTTCTTTTTACTTATATGACAAGCGAGGTGTTCTTTTGGTGTTGCACCATTTTACAGTCTACAAGGGCCTGTTATTTAATCTATTGACTGTCCTCAATATGCAAGAGGTTATTTAACAACAGTTGCATTCATTGACACAAAACACAAGGTCATTTGCACAAATTTGATTATGTTGCTTTAAAGTCCACTTGTGTTTTGTTTATGTTCATGTAAACAAATTTTACAGGAGTTGTCAGAGGGCTATGTGAAGTAGAGTGAGAGGGTGTGGTGTCTTATCATTATCTTACAGCTTTCCCCCATTTAGTCACTAAATTAACATTTTACAGACACCTACACACGCAAATCCAGAGAGTGTGGCTCCGCTTCACTGCACAATACAGAGAATTACTTTATTTCTGCTAAATTGAATTTGAGAATCTCTGGTTATAGCGGAAAGGAATAAAATGGCACTCAGGGTGTCTGAAAAGAGGCTTCTTTACCTAATCACACACACACACACACACACACACACACACACACAGAGGAGTAGTATGAGTCATCCTCCCTGATCTGCACATGTGACGATGCAAGAATTCCCTGTCAGCCAATCAGAGCTTGCAGAATAGAGGTGTTGCTGTAGCAACGACAGTGACAGAAGCAGATGGGGCGTCTGCTGAGAAAGAGGCAAAGAAGTAAAGAGGGAAGAAACGAGGACAGACAAACGAGAGATAGAGAGGAAGACGGTCACATTATGACCTTTTAACCCAGGTGTCTTTCAGGGCGTTTCCAAGTTAGTTTTTTTTTACTCAGATTCAATCAGTGCTCAAATAATTAGTGTGGTTTTGTTTTTGCATACATTGAAGAAAAAAATTGTTACATATGTAGCTGAGTCAAACATAAATTAGTATTTATTAAAGGGGACCTGCCACCAAAATTTCATACCCATTTTTATCATTTTTTCATAATCCTTGATGTCCTCTGATCATGTTTGCAACATAATTTTAGCTGAAAAGTTATTTGATGGTTTGTTTTAGTATGCCTAAAAAACCTTACAGGAAAACCAACTGGTTTTGGCTCATTAACATTTATGGTAATGAGCTTTGCTCTGATTGGATCGCTGCTGTGAAGCCTGCTGTGCTCTGATTGGCTCAGCAGTGGAGGTTCGGATTTCGGTTTATCTACTGTTATTATGCTAATGCTAATAGCATATGCTAATGTGTGCTAAAGTAAGGTGCCCAGGTGTCTGTAATGATATTCGGTGCGGCGGCGGTGGTGCAGGGGCTGCGTGATCACAGACAAAGTCTCGGTACTATTTAGTAGCAGCGCATGCCCCTTGTAATAACCCCGTAAGAACTGTTGTTCAGGACTGCTAACTTGTGCTTCCTACCAATTCGGCTACTGTAATAACCGTTGTTTGAGCCCACACGCAACATTTTTGCTCTCATTAATGAAACGCTTAAATCGGGGACATTTTCGGGGACAGCTTTTGCCGGGGACAGATCATCCAATACGGGGACTGTCCCCGGAAATCGGGGACGTCTGGTCACCTTATGCTAAAGGCTAAAAACGGCAGGTATTAAATCATATATTTTAGACCCCGAGTCCGAAGAGGAGGTTGAAGTTGAGGAAGAAGCTGGAGATCTCCAGCGGTGTTTTCTCATCCATTCTGCTCGGCTTTAAGTTCATTTTCCCGGCAGTGAACCGAAGGAAACACCGATCGTTTGGAAGAGACCCATACCGGATACAACGGTAGCTGGGTCTCGCTCTGGCTGTGACTGAGTACGAGTACGAGAGAGTGGGCGCGGCTCACCGAGGACGCGCTCGTGAATAATAATGAGCAACGTCGGCGCAACGTAACACCGACCTGCTTTTTCTATTGGCCTGGTTTACTCGTTCCTTTATTTTAAACCTTTACAGAATGCAAATCAAATTATTAGTGTGGTTTTGTTTTTGCATACATTGAAGAAAAAAATTGGTACATATGTAGCTGAGTCAAACATAAATTAGTATTTATTAAAACCATTATTCAAACGTTCATGGTCCGCTGGTGGAGCAGCGTTAATGTCCTGCACTTTTCCACGTATAAAACTGCAGAAATCACTGATGTTAGTTCAGGATGCAACAGCATCACTTTGAAGCAGACCCTCATAGTTATGTTAAGTTCAATGAGTCTACTGGTGGTGTTAGGTACATGTCCTCTCACCATTCTCTGATGAATCTTAAGCTCGTTCAATGTGTTAACATGGAGGAAGTGGGCTGTGAAAGCTGTACTGCAGGCAGTTAGGAGGTGCAAGTGTTTCAGCTTTAACTATCCAGAAACTGACACGTCTTTCATCTGTTTCTTCCATCAGTCTATGATAAAACCGACAGATACTCCAACAAAGGGGCTTTTTTTTAAGAGTAACTAACCGACTAAAGCTGGAGACTTACTTGCTGTTAAGTACATGTGCATGAATGCATGATGGCTGTCACACGTTCCCAGTTTTAGTTATGTGCATTGGCCATGCATATCCTCTATTATTAACACTGGAGGTGCAGTATGAACATAACAGCAGGGCAGTGTAGAGGCAGTGTGAGTATGATCAGCAGCAAGGATTACACGCACGGCAGGCAGCATTGTAGACAAGCTGATAGCTCTGGTTATTTACATATCATCTATGCTGCCACCGCTGTTACTTTTTCTGCTATGATCACAACATGAAGATAAGAATAACCTCCCAGTGCGTAGTCATGTCTGTTAGATCCACACAATTGGTTGCTGTATACAGCATGAGCCTATGGCATGCCCTCAGGAGGTGTTTTTCAATAACACACGTAGTGCATAGTGAAGTTTATTTACAATGACGCTCATGACGCAGCCAGATATGATCACAAGGCTACACGACACTGAGATCCTCGACCTAACATGATCTTTTCATCGTTTTGCATTAGAGGAAAGTTTGTCTGTTTTGATGAAGAAGGTTGTTTGAGTAAATCAGTCCTTGATCTGTTTCTCTACTTACTGAGGTCATTTCTGCACACCCTTCCCCACATTTTCTCTCTCCAGCTGAGTTTGTGTTCATCCTCACCACTCAGCTCCCCATGCCTGAGGATTCCTGTTTGTGGCTTGTTCTCATGCTGTCAGCTCCCTGTGTAATAATGACTTATTTCTGTCTACATATTTATTACTCTCCCCTCTTCTCTCCAGCATCTTCTAACCGCCCACCCCCCTTCTCTCCTTCCCGTCTTACATCACTGGTTTGCCGTCGTATTCATTACAGTCAGCCCCCATCACTGCCTCCTCCTCTTCCCTCTGGCTCTCTCTAGGTTTCTCCACTGCCTCTATTTATTGCATTGACCTATGAGCTGAAATACAGGCTGGAATACATTTCAAATATGACATCTGATGTTAGTTTCTTGCATTATCTATATTGTATTACAGATGCATATTTTTAAGAGCTTGTTTTATCCTCTGTACCTTTAATTGTCTAAAGAGCATCTGTTCATTTTGGGAATTATCTTTGAAGTGCAGCATATCTTTTTTTACTTCACTTCTTTAATCAACATTACTGTGCATTACCTAATTGATATGAAAGGCTGTTGGTTATAACCAGTATTTTAAAGTCCAGATGAATATAAAAAAAGTAATATACCTTTTGAAGTCTCAGAATTGGTTTCCCGGTGTTATGTTAGGCTTATTTACCTTGTTGCACTATTTGTCATATGACGATCACACTCGGGTACATTGATGAGTCAACTTGAAAATGATATATTACTTAACCCTGCTTTAAACCCTCCACCCTGCTCCCTCCTTCTTCCCAGTGTGCAAACTCTTCTTGCTGTCCTACTTCGTGTCTTTCAATTGAGATTAATCTCTCTGCTTCACAGTATCTGTGGTGAGGACGTGTAACACATCAGCCCTGTCTATATAAAGACGTGTTATGAAACAAACAGACATATCTTGTTCCTGTCATGTACACACATTCTGCATATACAAACATATCATCACCTTTCTGTGAATTTCTCTTCCAAGCTATCTTTCCAGTGAATAACTGTGCTGGACGGTTTATCTCCATCAAGTGAAAGTCAGAACTAGGCTAAATAAGATTGAAGAGAGGGAGATTAAAAAGTTCTTGTACATTCAGAAAATAAATCAAAGTACAGTATTTCATGGAGACAGTTTGAGAGTTTGATGATGTTGAATGATGGCACATAAGTAAAGTATATTTATGGGAACTTTTGTCCTTGTGAACATAATCTTCCTTCTACTCATAGCACTGAAGTCTTGAAGCAGACTTCCTCATGAGGCAGTTAAATGTCAGTGTGAATTAAAGACTCAGTTTGCAATGTTTCCTCCCTGCCCTTAAAAATCAAAATGTCTCATTGCCTTATACATTTACAGAAAAGAAAACATGCAGTAGGATATCAGTATTATTGCCAACTTTTACTCTTTTCAAACCCGATAAAGTTTCACCGTTAAAGATCTTATTAATTTAAGTTTCATTGAATCATTTTGTCCCATCAAAAACCTGATCGAGAGCGAAAGAAAAGAAGTCCATCTGTCAGGTTTCAAAAATTGACAACGCCTCATAAAAGTATTATGATTTTTACATAATAACCTTTTGTGTCCTCTCATGTTCCCGTCCTCAGATCACAGAGCTGCTAGATGACGAGAGGTGCGAGGCAGAATGTGAAGAGCTGCCTCAGGACGGAGAGGAGGGTCCGGCCTCCTCTGACTCACCACAACACACACACTCTGATGAAGGCCCTGCAGCCAGGTGAGCTTTTTATATTGTATTCTTACGTAAGACGGTCCATCAAACATTGGTTCTGGGGTCATTTCAGGATGTGGATGGAATATTAAAAGCGGTTATGACCTTTGACAAAAGACCTTAAACTGGGTTATGTAACAAGGATGTTTAAGTTATACATTGATCAGTAGTTCATGTGGTATTTACAGTGTTTTGTTTGGTTTGCTATGGATTCACAAGCAGTAAAAGTCATCAAAGTCTAGATACAGTCATAATCATTAAAAAAAATATTTTTTATGTATCCTGTTGGAGTCTGCTCAGCAAAATCACTTGATAGTGGTGAAATTGGGGTGCCAGTTTGGCCTGGTTGTTGAACCACAATCCCACATTGAAGTGGGAGGCCTGGCTTTGTCGCGGACCCTTTGCCCTTTGCTTCATGTCAGTCCCCACTCTCTCTCCCAGTTTGCAGCTCTATTCACCACCCTGTCTTGTAGAAGTAAAGGTATAAAAATAAACTTTAAAAACTAAAAAATTATCAGCTCTCTTTAGACATATACTTCCAGATAGATTCAACTATATAATTAATAAACATACACTCGTCTTCTATTTTTCACCCCACTGTGGATGCTCTTATGTTCTTCGCAGATTTTGTGGCACAGCTGGTGATTTATAAAAGGTGCTGAAAGTCAGGATTTCAAAACCAAACATTTTAATAAAACCATTTTGAGAAATAAATGAAGCTTGGTGTAGATTGTAGATAAAACACATTTTTGAGCTGCAGATTGTGATTCTTCTGTCAAAGATTTAAACTATTACACTGCCTTTTTATGTAAATGCATCCTCTTTACGCCTGTAAGTTTTGCATACATATTCTACACCCTCCCAATATTTTAGATTGGTGATTGGATTTTTAGGGTCAGTGTAATAGGATGCACAATTTAAAATATATCTAAGTCACAATTTGAATATGTAATCCTCTCTTAATACTAAAAGATGATATTAGTGAATATTAAGTAGCTGTTGACCAGACATGCAGACACTCACGTACACAGGATAATGACTCCGCCTCCAGACAGAGGGACCAGAGTTCAATTCCCCTGCAGGAACATGATGATCTTCTCAGGTTCTCCTGATCTGCTGATCTCTTGTTAAGTTAATTACTGAGCACAGCACCCAGACTGCTCTGTATCTGTACAGCTGTACAACCTTTACCTGCTACTCTTCAATGACAATTTACGACCGTAACCGAACACTGAAGTACATGCACAGATGTGATGATAATACTAATGATAAATATATAAAAAAATGTTCAGATTTTTCATAAGAAGAAATTAGAACTGTTAAGTTGAAAATTTATCCTGTAAACCTTTGTAAAACTTAAATCATCCTGATTAGGTCTTCATCTGCAATATTCACACAACAACACAATGCTTTTTGTTAGTATTCATGAGGAGCAGTTTGTGTCGGAAAGACAGAACAGAACACTGTGGCAGTAAAAGACTTAAAATGTATTTGTTAGGAAATGTTTTATAGGAGAAGTCATAAAGTCCTTCAAAATTAAATGACTTTATTTCAGGAACCAAAAACAGGAACAAGTGAATCAACCAAATTTCAATTTCTCAAAATAAGATTACATCAGAGAGTTGCTAATAAATTTATTCCTCCAAAAAATCATTTCTTGTATGTGAAAATAAATATTCCCTTTCCTAAATCAGAGTTAGTCATTTATGCAGAGTATTCGTTTGGAAATTAAAATTAGCTGCAGTAAGTCTGCACTCGGCTGAGGGGTCAGGACAATGTGATTGGTTTTTTACATAAGAGAAGACTGTTTTATGTGTCCAATTTAGGTTTATTTACTCTGTGTCTTTTTGAAGTTCATAGACTGAATCAAATTTCTACTCTTTATTGTGTCATTGGCCTTGGCTGCATTGCTTTATGTGATTTTTTTTTTTATGATAGGGTGTTAAATCTGTCTCATCATTCAGAAACATGTAACGTACAGCTGTGAAGGATCAAATAGAGTAGTATGTTTATTGTCTCTGAATAAGGTATGTGAAATCCTGCTGCACTGCTTTTCCAGAGCTAAATAAAATAAGATGAAGTAAAGATTGTAAAAGTCAAAAACACACATTCAGAGCATGTATACACAGTACCTACATAAACATAGATGGGGGTTTAGAAGATAAAATGTGGGGAGGGGCTTTAATTTCCCCAAGGGCACCTTCCCAAAAGGATCAATAAAGTTCTATCCAATCTTGTCTTATCTATTAAACTTTGATTGACATAGTGGTATTAATATACAGTATGGAGTGAAGTATTCTTCGAAACTGTCTTCATCCAGCACAGTGTGCATGTGGTTGCGCTCGTTGATCAGCAGCTCGCTACCTGTCAGATAAAGTTGTAAAGCTGTAGAGCAGGACCATAAATTCAGTCTGCTGTGAATCTCTGCCTCTACCTCTGAGTTTGTGTGTGTCAGTGTGTGTGTCTGTGTATGTGTGTGTGTGTCATGGTTAACGTCATGCTGCTAGCCTTGTCCTACTGGCCTTTAAGATGATTACAGCCGATAATCCATAATCCACTCACACACACACACATGCACACACACTCACAGTTTCTGATGACATACACACTCATACTCACATGATTTCGACCATACAGCACACTCAGTATGTTTCTTTGTCAGTCTCAGTCACAGACAGAAAAAGACTCACAAGTTGATTTTCAAGCATTAGACAAACATTCAATAAACATGCTACCCTCAGTTGTCGTCTCATTCGAACTCCTGTTGTCCTCAAGTTCAACAGACACTGTTAGGACAGATAACAGCAAAGTTCATGTGTACCATGTGTGTAAGTGTGTGTCATCTTTCAATGGGTGTCTGATCTTTGGGGAGATAAATGGTTTAGGCGTTAATACGCTGTTTGTGGGGAAACATTAATGGATTCTGTGAGTGTTTGTGTTTTACTTGAGGGCGGCTTTACAGTAAGAGGCAGCTGCAGTCCATCAGTACCCAGTGTGAATGCAAAGCTTTAATCATTGCTGATTAGTGTGTGCGTGTCTGTGCATGTCTGTGTGTGTCTGTGTGTATTAGGTGGTGGAGGAGGGGGTTACATGCAGCAAATAATTTAAATTGCACATCACTGGCTGGACTGTCTCATGTGATTATTTTAGCTTGTATTAATTCTCTTTTAGCTGAAGCCAGCCTGCAGTCACAGTCCGTGTGACTCTGGCTGACCCTGGTGTCTGGTCTGGGGGATTATTGTTTTATTTGCAGACCCCTGAGTCCACAGTCCACACGGCAAAGCCATTTAAATAATGTGGTTCCACAGCTTCGAAGTATATATCTGCTTCATGTGCTAAAAATATCCAGCACCCCATCTTGTTTTGGAGCCAGCAAGCTTTTATCGTCTTGTAGCTCACCAGACCTAGAATAAGTATGTCTGTATTTTATGAGGAAACCCACAGAGTTTGGCTGAAGATACCATATGTAAAACACCTCTGCTGAAGGCCTTAAGCTCTGCTATGTCAACACAAACTACAGATGCAACCAGTTCAGTGAATATGTAAAACAAGGGAGATTCAGTTATGTAATCATTCCTGCCTTCATAATAACCATAACCATAAATCTTTTGATTTTGAGTAAATATTGCATTAGTGCTTTAATGTATGAGATTTATGTTATTGTCACATTTTAATATCAATGAGTAATGCGTACTTTATGAAGACATTTACAAACATGTTGACTTCTTTTGTTTCTGCACTAAATTGGTCCTAAAAGAAATTCTAAAGTGACCTGAAAACACGCAGGGTCATATGTAATTCATATGTAGTTTTGAAAGACATACAGGTAAATAGATGTAAAAAAATTTTCATGCACTTGTTAGAACAGCAGAAAAACATGCTTAGTTTTTACGTAATTTCTAGTTCATTTTTTATTTATTTTTTTATTTCATTTTTTATGACGCACAGTACTATAGTGAAGACGGGACCTTAGTTTTTAAATAGCCCTCTGAAATATTTAATGTATAGAGGGGTTGGGAAAACGTGTTTTAAAAAAGGCACAGAACATTTACATAACTGTCTGTGTACATGCTGAACAAGGAGAGAGGGAGGGCTGTTGGTTTAGATCATCTTGAGCTGCATCCAGAGAAATAAGTGAGATCATCCTGATACTGTGAAATAAACAACTTCTCAGATCCCACTGGAACTGCAATTTCTCTTCATTTTTTGAAAAGAAACTGTGTATAGGCAGCTGAAAGTCTACCTGAGCCTGCCCAGGTGTCACCTTTGCATGGGCAACACTTCTGTTTGAACTTAGTCGTGGTAATTGTTAAAGACATTCGGAATTTTAAGTTTTAGTTATATAACATTTTCTGAACCTGTAGTTTTTATCGTTTAAAGAACGAGTAATTTTTAGTTTGTTGTTTGGTATTTTGTGGCCTTTACGTCTTTGATTACGATAATGAAAAAATTGATGAGTCAGTGTGCATATGTGTTTTTAACTCAGAGTGACTTGACTGCTCTGAGAGCAGTGCTTTGTTCCTGTGTTCATCATTTATTCTTCGACACATAACTGTTTGTGACAGCTCTGTGAGAGAGGAAAGTTCCCATCCTGTGACTCAACATTAACTGAGGCTGAGTTGTTTGTCTAGCGCTTGACAGACAGGGAAGTCTGTCCTCTGTGGCTGTTGCAGTGCGCCCTTAATAGACCCTGACAGCCAACGCACACATACACACACCTTACATGCTGACAGCTTCTGCTCATTTCAAATCTATATATAATCCCCAGTATTCCTCTTCTGATCTTCCCCCATCACTGTTTCCCTCCTCCTGCTCTTTTCTGCTTCTGCTTCCATCCTCTCTCTCTCTCTCTCTCTTCTTCCTCTCTCTGGAAAGTATTTTTTCATGGGACTTCTGAAATATCCAAGCAGGCTTAGCATGAGGACTCCTGGGATGCACTTCTGGCCCCCGTGAAGAGAAGCCAAGCAAGACGGAGGGACGGATTAATGGAGGGAACAGAAAATCAGAGGACAGAGAAGGCGAAGGGGGGGTGGGGGCTGTGGAAAGTGTCCCTGCTTGTGAGCGTTTATTGATTCGCAGTCTGAGTGTAAATGCAATATCAGCCCATGGAACGGAAAAGGTCAGGATGGGAGGTGCAATTTAAACACATTAAAAAACACTTGTCTTCAATTGTGTTGTCAAGTTAGAGGCCTCATTCTGCCCGTTCATTCCTCACAGTCACAAACATCTCAGCAAGCGTGACGCATGGAGCTTCTTGTGTTACTGATAACCTGTCTCGTTGCTCTTAAAGCACCTCTTGATGAATCCCCATGTGAGTTCTCCGCATGTTATTTTTATGTGGCTGTTGAAATGATTTATATCTCAATGTGACACCACACCATGCCGGAGAGCTCTGTTCTTTCTTTTAGTGGCAATGATATATTATGCACATGTACGGACACAAAGATACATACAGATTTAAAAAAATAAAAAAAACTTATACATTTCTCTCTTTTTAGGTATATTAGTTTTTATTCAAAGAAACAATGGGATTCCCTTTGATTTTATGATATGTGAAGTGAGCAAAGTCTTGGTTTTTCTGTCGGATTTTACAGCTTACAGTTAATTGGACCTACCAGAATTCATGCGATAACCACCTACAAACGAAACTGTCTGTTTGCTCTCTGAGAGGTTGGATGAGCCGTTGGTTTACAATAGTTAAGCCACTGATTTACAAAAGCTGTCGTTCAGGTATTCAGATTTATGGTGACCTGCTTTCTTCGTGATCTTGCATAAGCCACCTGTGGAATGACAACTCTCGAAATTATGACATGAAAGTGGTTCCACCTTCTATAATGATAAATGAATGCCTCTGTTTCAGGACTGCCACTACACGGCTAACATGTTCTTTCGTACTTCCTGAATTACACTTGTACCCCATTGAGCAACCAGCTGAGCCAGTGCCCTGTTTCATTCTGTATATATCCATGTCAGATCTATGTCTGTATGAGTTATACATAGACTTACCACATTATGTGGGTCATTACAGGAGTGTCATGTGAGCTTTTAGTGTTTTGACCTGTTTTAGTGACCTCTGCGGTTCTTAAATGATCAACACTCCAGCTTTGAGGTTTACCGAAAACTGATACATCATGCACTTATATTTTTTTTTTGGCATTTTTAAGTCATTTGTTTTGCCCTGTATTAATCTTTTGGAAATACCATTTATAAAATGATTATCATTAGCCTGTCGTACCATGAGCAGTCACTTACTTTAACCGATTTAGATTCTGTTTTAAACTCTGGACAGCTGTCTGCAGAAAGTGATTAATTGGCAATATAATACTAAAATATGACATGACTGATGAAAGTGGATGAAGTTTGTACAAATCCTTAGCAGCTGCTTTGAGGATAATGGGCCTCTGCTTGATTGTTTTATTAAAAATGGATGTCCTTTTGACAGCTGATTGATGAATCTCATTTGTAGCATCCCTGAATGAGTTTTAAACATGCTCAGTCTACTTAACAGCACATACTGTATTATCTTTGCATAATTATGTAATACTAGAAACAAACTTTTTTACGTTAATAGCCAGAATTATGGAGAGATAGCTCTTTTATTATGTGGTTTATCTGAAACCCCAGGTATCAGTTTTACTGTGGTTTCATAGTCCGTCCTTTTCTCCAGGTCCAGTTTATTTTACTTTGTGTCCTCCTTTTCCTGCCCCCGTCACCCTTTACTGTCAATGCCTGGGTGCTAGTGCAGGGCACAATATGTAATATGATACACTAAATGACCTAGATAGCACCACTCTCCACTTGTGTTATCAGTTCTCACCCACAGTCCTGGTACAGCAGTCCTATCAGGCTTTCCAAACAGCACTCACAGTCCCAAATCAGCATGGAAAACATTTATTTTGATTGTAACCCCCTCAGGCTGCTGCTGAAACTTCTTTGTGTCAACACGTTCCCTCTGTATTTGCTTTGTGTTAGTCACAGGCGATATAGTTGAAATTTGTGATTAGAGTTTGGCAAACCAGGAAAAATACAAGGAAGCTTAAAACCCCCCCACACTTGAGTCAAATCTAGTGAAGGATTCATGTGCAAAGTTGCACAACTTTGATTGTTTTGTCTTCTCTCTTTCATTCCTTAAGGGATTTCTGGAATTATGTAAAGTTTACACAAGTGTGACCCAGACTAAAATGTAGCAGAATCCACGTTTAACTCTTTGAGGACAGCTGGTGGGTAGTTTTTAAACATGGTTTACAATTTTACATTGACTTAACTTCCCTATAAACAAACTGCAGTATATTGTCACATTTTGATTTCAGAAATAAGAATATAGTGGTGTATTGTGTCTCAACCAAATCTTATAAGATTGGAGGAGACTGAGTTTTAAGATAATGTTGTCTGGCAAAAAAGAGACACATCTTGAATTGAATTATATGAACTTGTTAATTTTCAAATTCAAAGCATAAAAAAAATTGAGAATGAAGTCATAATTTACACAACTAAATATTTAAGTTTAGGACAATTTATGAGAGAGGAGCTATAATCTTAATCTGTTCTAAACCTTCATATTTTATTGAAGGAGAAGATCGGAAGAGCAGCCTGCCATCTAACAATAATGAGGAAGCATTTTGTAAAGTTGTAAAGTTTTACTTTCTGCTGACAAAAAGTCTCTCCTTCCTGTAGATCAGGCAGCAGCTTGCTGCTCTTCTAACACCCCAGATGCTGTTTTTTAACCTGTAAAGATTATTTTCCATGAAGCTACAATTTCATTCCTGCAAGTTTACTTTTTTTTTTTCATTTAAACCTACAACTTCAACTTTTTATTTCTTGATGTGGCTGCAGTTCTCTGATGTATCATACATATTTTTGTCTCCATGTTGAATACATAAAAAAAAAAACATCCTGTCCTACAACTTCATTTCTACTCTTCTACAGTCCAGAGTACTGATCAAGTGGTAGAGAGCTCCTTTTTGTCCTTTCAAGTACTTTGTTAAACTTTGTAAAAATAATTACAGAATACAAATACAAACAACAACGATTGGTAATTTATTCTTTTAAAGCCTGTAAAAACTGTATCCTACTTTTGGTTTGAAAGAAGTCGGTCTGATGTCTCGTCCAACAAGATAGAAACTGATTGGATAACAGATACTTTCAGGACAGAAGGAACTAATCTAGTTTCCCTGAGAGCTATATTTGAGTGTTTAGTTCACTCGTTTTTATCTTGGTTTCCAGCGTCATCACAAACAGATGCAATAAGATAACACCCCTCTCCCTCCTTTTCCTTTGTCGTAATTTTCCTCACACTTTCTTTCCTCTCTTTTCGGTTTGATTTCCCTCTGGGGCCTGCCACATCCTCCTCTGCCACCCGTCCGTTCCATTGTGATTATTAATTTCTAAAGTGTATTAATAAGTGTCGAAGAAGCCGAGGGGCTGAATGCTGATGATCTCAAAAGACACAGGTGTGTTTGTGCGTGAGTGTGTGTGTGCACATCATTACACAGCCCGCTAGGCCCACTGTAATAACTGCTGAGTCTATAGTCACAACTGAGTGGACCAAAAAATCAACCCCCCTCCCACTTCCTGCCTCCTGATTGGCCCAGGAAAGCCATTCCCTCTCCTCAATTGGCTCCCACCTTCAGCCCCTCCCTTCCCATTGGTCCTCTCGGGGTTGTTGCCTGGTTACATCAGAAGCTCATATATTTGAGCAGTGCTCTGGATGTTTACCGCAGCACTTTTACAGACAGAGTGCAGAGTGAGACAACCTTACTCACCCACAGACACACACTCACCAAGAGCATACACACATCAATTCAGAGGACGCCACAGAATGCACCCAGGCGATACCCTGTCTCTGCTGCTCAACCTGCTGGTACTGACGCTGACACCTCAAAGTGCTCAACTGGGATAACCTCCCCACTGGATACAAGAAGACTGACTCTTAGATCCCCACCGGATTCTGAAAGAGACATAATCTGGAGAGAGGAGACAGAGCAAGCTTACACAGCTGGATTGTGCTCCTGCAGGAGATGTGTCAAGTGGTTAAGCAGAAAACAGAAGACCGAGACAGAAATCTTGCTGAGTTTGGTGTCAAAGTCAAGCCGACTTCTCTGCAGGATTTGAAAAATATAAAACAGACCAGACTTGAGTAACCTTTGCGTTTGCTTGGACAAAAGAAGAAAAAATTCAGAGAAAACAGCCAGTCAGACGATCAAGACAGCGGTCACAGTGAAGCACCTGCAGGCTGGATTCCCTGATATAAAACACCCAAAAGAAAACAAAAAGGACTGATCACAGTGAGAGGCGACACAGCTGCAAAGATGAGAATGGCCTGTGACATTCTGCTGCAGAGGTAAACATTGGAGTTATGTAACTTTGTTGCTCTGCCTGGAATGCATGATTTGATGGATGAATGAATAGATGAGAGTATATGAAAGCAAAAATGTGGTTGGATGAGAGATCAGAGAATACATGACTGAGCTTCACAGGGTGGCGGAGAGGAAGAGGAGAAAGTATTACATGAATGAGGCAGATTAATTAACAAAAGAGAATGGGGGATCCTAGAAGAAACGATTAACTTGTGAACGCTGGAATGAATCAGAGGAAACCTTCAGAAGGAGCGCTCAGGCGTTTATTATGAATGAAAGAATGGAGGGAAATGAGGCTGGATTGTGTTTCTCACTCATTGTTTAGTTACCCAGGAGAGATGAAAGAGAAAAGAAAGGCAAGGGGAGTCACTTTTCTGTACAAGAATAGAAACAACAGAAGATGATGATGAAGAGAAAGGGGTCGTAGCATTACTTAACAGCTGGTATTGTGTTATGCAATCGAAGAAAGCAGAGGTCTGCCTGAGAATCTGTCAGCAATAGATGACGAAGTTAGGCTATTAATGGCAATCTTTAATATTCATTCTCTCAAATCATGGCTCCTTAGATCAGTTAAAGTTTAAGACAATAAGTGACTCTCAATACTGGTGAATGCTACTGTCTTCTGTTGGTTTGCTTTCTAAAATCTTAACAAGTGCTGTAGTGCCTTAAGAGGCTCTAAGAAATCAGTGGGAAACCACCTTGAAAAGTATTTGTTTTCATCATTGGCAATAAGTAAAGTGCTAATTGAATTTTGACAACTGTTTAAACAGCTTCTGAATCAAATGATCAATACTAATATTGATTGCTGACAGTTTAAATGAAAATGTTAAACATCAAAGTTGTTTAACACACAAAAAGTCCAGGTTTGTAAACGACTATATTTGAAATCTGTTGTCGTGATATCTTACTCTTAGATCCTCCTTCAAATCTGATCTTCTACTGCAAACCTGTTTATCAGAGGCCAATCCTATACCCACGTAGAGGTTTAGTATTTCTACTAAGAACACTTCATTCTGCAGTCATACTCTAGGTTGAGTTACATTTTATGCCAATTTGTGCTTAGGAATTGTGCTTAGGAAACTATGGCGGCTGAACAGTGTATTGAGTTGGAGCTGAATAATCTTGAGGAGATGTTAGAGGACATGAAGCATACAGCTGATTCACAGCAATACTTGAATACAGGAAATATAAGGCAACCAAATGAACTCACAGCTCGTGTTGTTTTGACATGTTGTTACATTTTTGATGAGACTAGACTTGTGCAAAGGCTTCTGCAGAGGTTTAGCGAACCCAAAGGATATGCTACAGGTTGGATTTGATGCAGTATAAATTAGACTTAGAACTTGAAAACTCGAGGTACGATTTGCCAATTTTTGAACAGCCTGGTCTCTTTTCTGAGCCACGGCCGCCTCATTTTGAGCCCAATCTTTCAGCAATGTTGCATCAGCTCCTCATGACTGTGCAAGAGGAATGATTAATTGAAAGCTTTGAGGAGACAGAAAGAGGGGCTTTGGGAGATTTAGAGTCAACTTAACGGAATGGTTATTCTCAGACGGCCAACAGTCCGAGGGATGATTGCAGGAAAATAAATGGAGGTTAGCTGCTCTGGTCGTTGACTGCATAGACCCAAGTGCAAAGCAGCAAACAAATGAGCAGCAGCCATGCATAAAATCAAACCCAGATCTTCAATCTTTGACCTTGAGAGTCTGAATGTGGATTGTTTGAAAGCAAACATATGTTGTAAGGCTCTGTGAGAGTTTCTTGGCTTAGGCGTGAAGGACTATAAATGTTTACAGTTTCAGAGGCAGCAAGAAGAGCTGTTTACGAGATGTAAGATGATGCTTATAATTCTGCGTGTGAGTGGTGGCGTAAGTGAGAGGCAGAAAGGCTAGAAGACACAAAGCACATACGTGTGTTTGAAGTAGGTTACCTGCTAAAATGAAATATGTTCTCTTGCGCATGCTGATATAGATATGTGGTATAAATTTGTGTGCATGTGTGGGAGGATGCATAGACTGCAGCAGTATGTTGTACTTCCTTTAACAGCCTGAGCAGAGTCTGGTTTGCTGACAACAGCACCTCTGTAGAATCCCAACTAACCTGGAGCTCACCTTACACACATTTACTCACTCACACCAGTCTTCTCACTCTGTTTTGTTTCTTTTCCGCCACCAGAAAAACCCTCTTATATGATGTAATCTGTCATTACCTCCTTCACTGAGGACACAAGGTTCCTCTTTTATTTCTCCACACTGAATGCAGCAGACCGAACCACAGTCACACTGAGATGCTTTTGTGGCTTACTCATTCACTCAGCTGAGACAAGGACACTGTAGCTCTACAGTACTAAAAATGCACCCTCAGCGAAGAGAATTTGATACAATCACCCTATAAACTCTGTGTAACATGCTGTTTTATTATACGCTTACATCATGTTTTTACAGCTCACTTTTGTCAATAAAGTTTGTGATCAATGTAGGAATTAACAGCTCACCAAAGGTACTGTAAGGAGTTGTAGCTCTATCATAACACGTTAAAATGCCGCCTCAGAGTGAAAATACAACCTGCATTTATGGGCCAAAGAATATTAAGATAAGAGGAAATAAAAGTCTAAATGTTGTTGCAATATAACCGCGAGTCCAGCGCTAAGCATGTTTATATCAAAGATCTAAACAGCTGATACGTGGAGGTCATAAACCACTTGGAGATATTTTTCTGACTTCACAGTTGCAGAAGCAAAATAAAGCAGAGCTCTAGAAATAATCAACTTTACATGTTTTATTCATAAATCTGCAATGGCTTTATTGCCTATGTAATTTAGGAGCAGTTAGTGTGTATGTTGATGAGCCAACATTGTGCTTTTAGTGTTTAATTAATACACAAGACATAGTTGTTTTAGATATTACAACTCTTTAAGAATAAAGACAGTTAAAGAGATGGAAAAACCTTATTATTTATTTATTTATTTATTTATTTTTACATAAAATCAGAACTGTATTTGCGAGCCCTGAATTTCTACACACCTGTTGACTTAAAGCACCAGTCTTTAAGAGACTCTGGTACTCAGACAGCAGATAAGCCTTGAGCGATCTGATTAATTCTGGCAACAGTTTCTTAAACTCACCCACTCAGCTTTTAGTGAAGCAAGACGTGAAATCAAAATACCAAACAGGTGTTTTCCTTGAAATGCATCTATAATAAAGGAGACTGTCTTATGTTTCAGGTTTAGTCATTTAAATTAAAACATTGGATGGTGCTACTAATCTGTAAAGTGGCCGTACTATTCATGACTGAGGCCAAACATCACACACTACTATGTCACTAGGGGAATGAAAGATGGTGAGCTGTAATGATTGAATTAAAGATGCACACACACAAAGATGCCTAAAAACTGAGGTGGAGTTTTGTTGTTGTTAAGAAACAAAAACAATGCAGCAGAGACTTTAAACAAATGTCGAGAAATACAATGGCAGAGTGAGTTTATTGCCCGCAGACGAGTAAAAGTCATGTCTGAGCTAAGAGGGAAACTGCGTCAGACATAGCCACTGAATCAAATGTGAAAACAAGAGGACTGTTTGTTAGCTTGCAGGCACATTATAAACAACACTGTGACCCTCTCTTCAGGTCACTTTAAAAGGTTTTACAATATCACTGCCAAGAAACTGTTAGCTAAAGGTGTGACTCCTTAAGATGTTATCAAGGTCTTATCTCTGTCTCTGGCTGCTGCTGTAGGGCAGGAACTGATCTCATCCGACCCACTTAGAGACCTTAGAGCCAAACCTCAAGTAGCCAAGAAGCGCCTCTTTGGCATCTGTGCACGTGTGTGTATTTCAGCCAAAAATCCCCGGTTAAAGTAAATGCCCAAAAAGTTCCTTCCTACACCAAAAAGGTTTTATAAAACTTTCTATCCTTGTGTTGTCAAGTATGTTTTGTTACGATGGCTGAGCTGTTTGAGTTGTAAAAAGATTCCTTGTAATTTTTCAACATTGAGAGATCTCTGAAACGCTGTCGTAGGGCCTTGATAACTCTTTCTTTTCTACCCTCCAAAGTGTCCTTGATGAGGACAAAATGCCCAGAAGGACCCTTTTGTGTTTGGTCTTCTTTGGCTCCTCTGGCATTGATAGAAATGTTATCTCTACTGCGTAGTGAGCTCAGGGCGGCGACAACACCCCTGAGGTGCAAGAGTGATTTCAGTTCATACCTTCAGGGGCAAAATGGTGTAAGGTCAGATATTATCTGTGCTACTCTAGGCTCATGGAGGTTATGTAATGTCCTTAAGGACCCTATCTTTAATCTATTGTTAGTGGTGCTGGGGCCCCTTAGGGTGCAACTTAGCAGGAGAGCCTGCTGTCAGATGTTATTAGAGCTTTAAGGGGACTGTCGCTGCAGAGGGGGCCTGCAGGGTGTGATCCTGTTTGAAGGGCAGCTCACTATGTTAACTAACGGAGGGAAAAGAATGATGTTCATTTTACCTGTGAGTCTGCATTAGGCAGCCTTTAGGTTTGTATTGCACTATTTTATAGTTTCTACACCTGGTTACATCCTTAATTCACTGTACATGCAGATGAAGATTGTTAGAAAATGAACGGAGATGCTCGACGTGTTCATTTGCAGCCAGAATTCAAGGGCAGAGGACAGAGATAAGGTTAAAATTTACTTTAGGAAAAGATCAATAGAAAAAGAAAGATATGAGCCCGAGATAAGACTTGTGCAGGGCTTGTGAGGAAAACAAATTGCGCAGAATTTCCACAGTGAAAGATGGCAAAGAGTGGGCAAGATGAGGCTGATCAATAAAGTAGATGAAGAAGGGCGTGGGTATCATTTTTCAAATGAATGACGTGAGCGATTCATGGTCAAAAAGACAGAGATAGAGAGCTCGGACAGGAAGAGAATAAACTTTGAGAAAAATGCAAGAATATCAGCAAAAAAGAAGGTAGATATAAGAAGACAATATCAGGAGAAAAGAACGATTGAGGGTTTGATTACATCTACCATTAATAATTCAGCCTGTATTGATCTACCTGAAGACTCCGTGCTGCTTTAGGGGTGTGTGAGTGTGAGTGTGTGCCTGCCTGTGTGTCAAAAAGTCAACATACTATACATCCACAAGAACAGCTTGCATAACTTCAGCTGCTGTTTGTCTAATGAGGTGAATTCTGCTGCATGAGAGACACACACACACACAAATACACACTGTGTCTATATGAGAAGTACCCATGGACTTGGACATAATGTGTGTGACCTTGTGTTGTGTGAGTGTGTTAGAGTGTTATATAAATCTGAAGTTCTGCGTGCCTGACAGCGTATGAGTGTGTGTGAGTGTGTGTGTGAGTGTGTGTGAGGCCAGCGGCAGGCTGCTGAATCAACAGACACATCTCAGCCACCTTCCTGCTTCGTGCCAAAGACACAGATACACACACTCACACACACCTCCCCGCTTCTGGAGGAATATCGTAGAACAAATATGACCTTACAGACACACACACACACACACACACACACACACACACACACACACACACACACACACACACACACAAACATTGTTCTATCTGATCAGCAGACTTCAGCAGAGCTCTGTAGCCTAAATAACAATCTGCCCACCCAGAGTGGCGCCAGCGACTGAGACGCTGTGTGAGCGTTTGGTGCATTTTTTGAGAAAGATCTCCAGCAGAAGGGATCTTGAATTTGGAAACAACTTCAAAGGGAACATAAATTAATCATTTTGATTTGCACACATTTTTATTTCATTCCTCTTCGCTTCATCTTCATGTCTCTGTTCATCAGCATAGGCAGACCCACTCTCCACTCCTCTCTCTTTGTCCTCCTCCTTCCCTATTTTGACTCTTTCTGCCTGACGCCAACACTAACACCCTCAAGGTCATGTTAGTTTGAGAGTTGAAGGGTACGTGATGTTCTAACCACTATGTCCTTTCCTCTCTCTCGCTCTCTCTCTCTCTTTACAGCTCCCACCTCTCCCCTATATCCATCCTGCCTGCTGACTCTGCTGAGTAAGTACACACACGCTGCAGAAATTTCATCCATGCACTGTGACACATGCAAACACGTCTTCATCCCAGCTACACAGAGAGACAGTAAACTGAAAATTCATTTTCTGTGCAACTCTTACAACTGGGAGAATATAAGCAGACTGAACCCTGCAAAGAGAAATGGACTGCCAGGTTAGCTTAGGTAGAGCTGGGCAGGGACTGAAGAAGTGGGTCTGTTTGTGAGAGGAGTTTGTAGTAATGAAAGTGAGCGGTTCATGAAGTGATGAAGAGAAATACTTCCACGTGCTTTTGATGATTAAACCACACTAAAGCATTCGACATGGCCTACTGCCCTAAAGGCGTTACCTCAGCTATCACCTGACTGTCAGGCTTTTGCCTCCTCTCTGCAAAACAAAATAAAACAAAATTTCAGTGGTACCATGCATCAGTGAGAGTTTTATTGAGCCCAACGTCAGGGTCAAAAACACAAAATGTCACAAGGACAAACTGTGAAAAATTCATCCATTCAGGAAAATACTGCATCCCACTAAAGTGCCAGACTCTCTTCTTGATGCCTTTCAAGTACAATTACTGTTTCCTTCTCTAGGAACACATAAACAGGCACAAGGGATTCAGTTTTTATAGACAGTCTCGTGTCTCTGAGTGAGATTAACATCTTTATCTATATCTGGCTACCAAGAGGGAAAGGACGTTTAAGTAATAATGTAGAAGGAAGCACATACTGATGGTCTTGGCTGCATGTGAGAGAAGCCCATCATCTGCCAGTTGTGCCTACTTAGGTTGTAAATGCTTTAAGAACCACATGCTTCAAAAATGATATAATATTAGTTAATATTATATCAAATTTAGAGTAACTCAGTTGTACAAATCATATAAGCTTATTATTTACCTTCTATTTAGCTGCAGCTACGACACAGCGGCTCAAAACAAATGAAATGATTGAACTTTTTCCAGTGTCTGTCTGTTTCTACCTGGTCTTCTTTAACTCCTCCTGAGATGACTGCCCTCATTTGTGCAGAGTGAATGTAAAGAAGGATACATAATCATAGCACACAGGGTCAAGACGGTTTAAAAACAGTCTTTGTAAAGCTGGTGGATCAACCCCGTGTATCTCAGAGCAGAAAAGGTCAGAGTGTTAGCGCTCATGTTACCTTTTTTAGGCCGTGAAGTCCTCTTGTCCTCTCTCCTTGAACACTCCAGTTAAACATTATTAATCCTTCCAGAGCTGGACCAGGTTATTGACTTTATAAGGCGTTATTAAAAAAAGCTCAGAGATTAAAGAAGAAGTGATCCTCACCTTTAACTCATTTTTTTACCCTTGTGTTCATTCATTATTTTCCATCTGCCTCATTGCCTTACATTCTTGTGATTCATATGTAAATAAAAAAGACAGTTTGTGATTTTAAAACCCTTTGGCATTGTTTTTATTCATTTCAAGGGGCTAATTAAATGTTAAATTAAGTAAGGAGGTGTACCATGTGGTTTTAGATTTAAAGCTTGACCTTTTTAATGCACTAAGTCTTATTTAAACAGAATGAAAAAGAGTAGGTGTAAGAATAAGAATAACTTTATTTTATCCCCAAAGGGAAATTCAGTTGTCTGTAGTCTCAGCTGTCGTGTCAAAAAGTCATCTAGTAATGCATCTAGCTAAATGGATTGAGTTTGAATTAACCAATGAACACTGATGATTAAAAAAATGTATTTAACAATGATATCAAATGAATTTTAATGTCTCTGTTGTTCCCAGGATAATTCAGCGCACCATCAGAGCTGCAGTGGAGCATCACTTCTTTGAGCTGAAAACCTCCATCGATCAAGATCTGAGCAACTTTGACAGCCAGGGGTGAGAGTTCAAACCCACTATCAAACATTCACACGCACAGGCACAGCCAGACACGCTTTGATCAGGCTGAGGAACATCCACTCGCTTAAGTGTGTGCACCTGTTCAATCGCAGAAAAAAAAATCTGTACCGTTTTTCCTACAAGCACCTGCTGGGAGCAACACGCGTAAGTCAGATTCCTGAGTGGTTAAAGGTGGCATCAGATGACTCGAAAGGACATTTTTGTCATAGTGAACATTGAGCACAAAGGAAAAAAAAAGAAGGGTGGGTCAGTTTACTGGTAAACATGTTGACAGCTCTGGCACTAACTAGCAAACTCTTCATGTCCCGGGGCAGCAGCTGTTCAGTGGTCAGCCACCTTTAGACACGCCCAGTTTAAATATATACATAATTCTTTACAGTCGATCAGACAAAGAAAACACAACAGATTATTTTTGTTATTATTAAAGTGGTTTAATTTTCATTCGCTGGTTTCCAGGGTGAGCCCCAGTGACCCAACAGACCAAGGCTGCCATGGCGACGAAGAGCAACAAACAGACCCTGAAGACAGTCCCTGTGACACCGAAGGGGAAACCCCGCTTTCACCTACCAAACCGCAAATGCAGCAAAGCCAGAATGACACCCAGGTAAATGCAAAGTCAAAGACATAACTGTCTCCTCCATGTTGATAAACTGAGAGTGAAATTGAATGGCACACATGCATCCGTGGAGATTTTTCTGATAAGAGTGCACACCCACAACACACAGACCACAAACAGCCGCTGTGTGGGCTGCCAGCATATTTTCCGTAACTTAACCTCCTTCCTGTCCCAGTGTGTCAGTTCATTCCAGGCCTGATTGTTTTGATACAATCAGCACAGTCCATCTTTGTTCTCCTCTGATCGCTACAATAGCTGGAATTCTTCTGTGGTCACAAACACAGAAAACAACAGACTTGTTTTTAACACATGACACATGACTTAATGCTGAAATCAACTCTCAAATTCCTAAAGACTTGTCAGATTAGAAATCTCTTCAGTGTTACAGCACCACTTCAACTACTTGTCACAAGAACTATTTGAGTTTCAGTACAGTAGGAGATGGTTGAGGAGAAAACAACATGGCAGGGTGAGAAGTTTCCTCAAACTGAGGAGACACTTTAATTCCTGTCAAAAAAAAAGAGTTATCTCGGGGATCTCTGTTTTGTTGTCTGCGGTGTCACCTGTGGCATGAAGCAGTAACTGCAGTTGTGCTTTTGAACCTTGATCTGACAAAGATCAGAACGGCGTCTTTGCCGATGGTTTTGTCACTTTTTCTTCAAATTAATGTCAAATTGTAAAAGTTTATTTGTTGTCAAGTGTCATCATCTTAAGTCATCAGTCCTTCCTTTTTTTGATCTGCCCTACCCCTGTAATCAGATTTCTGCAGAGAGATGTATCTCAAAAGATCAGCTTCAAATCATTAGATATTACACAACACTGACTCGAAAAAGGGGAATAATGCATCTCAGCATTTGTAAAAGTAAATCTCTCAGACTTAAGGTATTAGTAAGAGAGTTAAATATCCTCCGAGACTTTTGGAGTGGCAAATTACAAGAAACTAATTCTCTATTAGTCAGTGTTAACAGCCTGTTATTTGCCATAAAATCTTTAGGTTGTCAACTTCTTTTTAAAAAAAGGTTGCCGTGGAATAAATCACAGAATCTCCCAGCTGACGAGCAGGAAAACACCCACACTATTTACTCTCTTTACATTTTAGTTGTTCCAGCGTCACATATGCTCAGTGAGCATGAGATCATACATTCACACCGACAAGTGTACTCTGAGTCATGATCCTACTCCCACAAACTATTCCTTTCATTCATAGAATTTATGTAACAGCTAACGATCAAACGAGAACTCACAGCGTTTATATTCTCCCAAACTTTTGCAGTTTCTCTCAGTTCAAGAAATAGAAAGGAAACCCTAAAACGAACATCACCGCTGTGCTGTTTGTTCCGGTGATCACTGTGAAACCCACAAGTATTTGTGAAAGTAAAGGATCAACGGTTGAAAATGCACCTTTTTTTTCACCGGATTATAAATGGCAGGAGAAATAAAACTGATAACCACAAGATTTATTTGGATTAATGTAAACTGTAGGTTTAAGAGAAACTAGATAACATATTTTCATGAGATGACATGTTGTGTGTCAGTGATAACAGCAGGGATAATGTGGTCATTCCCTTTTTTTCTTCTCTTATGATCATTCATGTATCTCACTTTGCACTTCACCTTTTAAGTCCCTGAGTTCCAGCCAGAAATCACATCTTAAACTCTAGTTGTTGCTTTTTATCAGGATTCTTTGGACTCTGGCGCCACTCTGGAAGAGAACTCGGGAATGGACCTGGATTCAGAGGCTGTGAGAGATGCTGAGAACAACATCAACACTGCCAGGTGGGCTGAAATGTTTGTTCGTTTACAAGCCTTTCTTTGAATCACTTTGACCTCGCACCAAGATTATTCCAGCTAAGTTATTTTAGCGAGATACTTTTTTATCCTTGAGGTTTAGGGTCCTGTTTCAAAAGTGTGGAAACTGTCCGTCGCAGGGTCAAGACTTGATTACAAATAAAATACTATTTCAGATAAACAGTTCCTGGGTCAGTGTTCCTGAACAATGTACTACATTGGTTCCCATTCACTCTTTAATACCTGCTAAACTCTCCTGACTGAAGCCCTTTGACCCGATAGTGTGAGCGATTTTGTTCGTTCTGTATGATCGAAAAACTAATGGTTACAGATTGGTTGGCTTGGTTTCAGATGTAGGGAGGTAAGAGCTGTTGGATTGAGTATTTAGGATTTCTTGCTCCGTCCTGGTTTGGGGGACACTTTGAGCATTTTTAGTCTAATTTTGAGTCAGGTTGCTGTTTTTGTTTTGCTGTCTGAAGCCGGCAGATGTGACTTGAATAGAGCACTTCCTTTCCTTTCTTTCACAGTAAGTGTGATTCATTGTCCTGTTACATGTGGAGGTTTTTTTTTGTACTGATCACATGACACCACATGTTAACAAATCACTTGGATACGCTGTCTCAGCAAGAGCTCGTCTCAAGGTTACATCCAAAAAGAGCCTTTCTAATCTCCCTCTCAGACACATATTAACTCAAACTGTGTCGTTTTACACCTCAAACATCATATGACTTTATCACAGCTCATGTCAGATTGTGTTTTAGTTTCGTCATGGTTTAATCAGCTGGTGCTAACACGTTTCACGCCTGTTTATGTGAGATAAGACAAGACAACTTCAAGCATATACTTGTTAAAACGGTGAGGTTTCCCAGAAGCAGGAACTTTGTGAGTTTTTTGTCGAATCATTGTGATGAGAGTGGATTTTAGATGTGTTACCTCAGTGGGGCGGTCTTTCAGCTGTTACTCACATCTATAAAAGGAGCTAAAGGTTCATCAAGAGGAATTCAGTTGAGGTGGATGATGGATCACCTAGAGTTTGTTATTTCTAACTGACCATCTGCAAAGATTTGTAGTAAATAAAAGGTGAAAGTTCTCACTGTTGATATCAAGTGGTTGAAGTTGTTTTCTCCAAATCAGGCCATGAAAAGATAACTTTTATTTACAGAGAATTTAACAACATCACATCTAACAATTAGATTTTAGAAACCGATTTATGATCAACTTTAAGTTATGTCGTTTACTGAAGATGTCTTTTGTTTTTTTTCTCAGGCAGGACAATCAACCCTGTGACATCATGGAGCAAGCTGAGACTGACACCATGTGCTGTGTAAGTGTAAACAAAAGGAGATATACAGTGTTTGTCTGTGTTGCACTTTGACTTCAATTTAAATCTAATAGATAAAAAATGATCATCGATTATTTTGTTTTCTTTCCTAATTAACGTGTAAAATCACTGTTTATTTTTCTGTTCCTGCAGGACTCTGATTCATGCCACAGTGATCAGAACGCCAACACCAGTGAGACCAACAGAAACCATCTGTCGCCATGCCAACCAAAATCTGGCCAAAACCCCCACCTCCAGCTCTTTCCTGATAACCAATGGGAAGGTATGTACCCTCATGCTGTGGCTGTAAGCCAATGTGTAAACTAAATGAATTTGAAGGTATGTGTTCGAGTAAATAATATGAGACAAATTAAAAGTCTTATTTTGAACCACACTCCATTAAAGAGAACATATTATACCGTCCTAAAATGTCATTTTTGATAATCCTGTCACGTCTTTCTCTGATTGGCTCGCCCTCTTGTCATTTTATGTTAAGGCTTCTTTAAATCCTGGTTATTGATGAGGTCCATAAAATCCACGTCAGTCTCTGTTCGCAGTCACTCCTCTTCCCTTTCCTCATGAACGTCAGATTTTCAGTGTGACTGAGCGAAAACATTAAACATCATTCTGTTGCTGTTGATCCCACATTAGTATTCCTGTCGAATGTTGGTGAGAGATTGACGTCAACGCTCCTCTTTTCTTCTATCTCACTCCCTTTCTCTACCTCCTCCTTTGTTCTCCTCCTCCTTCCATCTAAACAGCATCACCCCCCTCCCATCTCCACCTCCCTCCCATAGACTTCTCATGTATGCATCTTCAAAAAGAAGGCCAAGGTAAGAAGTGAAAGTCTGCCCACACCTCCACTCGACTACCCATCCTTCCTTTCATCCTTTCTCCTTGATTTTTCTATATAGTGGTTGCTCGGTGGTTCTGTCACAGTGTGGGAAGTGTTATTCAAATATTCTCACATGTAAAATTCTGTTTCTGATTATGAATCTCTTCTGCATGTGAAACTTTCTTTACGTGTGAAAAAACACATCTGAGTTCCTCTTCATTTTCATCCTGCTGCAGGACGATTGATCTGGACTCTCTCACATCCTCTTTTAACACCTTTTTTTTACAGACTCATTTTCTCGACTTTCTTTAAAATTCTGTCTCTTTACTTCCACAACCTCTCCTTCACCCTTTATCTTCTTTTTTTTCCTCCTACTCAACTCATTAGCATAACTCTGTCAATCAAGACACTCTGCTAATCAGGCAGAGAGTGAGTCAGCAGGGCAGTGAAGAGGAAAATAAGATAGTTTGAGATCTCAGCTCATCAGCCTCCTCCTAGGCAGCTTTTGTCCACTTCTCCTCAGATGTACAATCCCCACCTCCCATCTTCTGCTCTTTTTCTTCAGGTGTTGAATTTGTCTTTCCTGCTCCTCTTTCTAACTGCGATCCCGTCTCCTCTTCTCTCCCCCAGACCCTGTCCCAGCCTACAAATCCTGGCAGGACGACAGTGTGAGTGGCGAGGCGCAGCTCTCCCCCCTCGCTGGTCGCATGGTTCCTCTCCCCCCTCTGCCCCTGGAGGAGGAAGGTGACGAGGATGAGGCGGAGGGAGGTAAGGTTTCCTCCCCCTCCTCTTCTCGCTCCCACCCTCACCTCCTTGCCCGACGTTTCCTTGACTTCGGGGCTCACGGCGCCCAGAGATTCCTCCAGCAGGATCCAGATGCCACCTCACCCACCAAAGCACAGAGGTACACAGAGCTTATCGTACAGCTTTACTCAATTACTCTTTAATTCAGGCGGGATAGTGAGATCATGTGGAATGTTTTGTTTTATCAATTCAGGCCGCGGCGAGCATCATTTGGTTCCAAAGAGGCGATGCGAGGAGGAGATTCGGTGACCCACCAACTCACAAAGAAGCTTCAACACCTGAAGAAGAAAATCAAACAATTTGAAGAGCAGTTTGAGAAGGAGAGGAACTATAAGGTACAAAAAAAGAAAAGTAAAGGAAGAGTGCAGACATTTATCATTCCTATCTTTCATGGAGAAGCAGAACAATGGTTAGGGCGTTTTTATCGAGTTAGGACTTCAAATAAGGACATAAGTGGTTGTGATTACTATTATTAAAATATTGAGAATCTATTCCAGGGCTAAGTCTGCTTTATTTTGAGAGCACACTCATAAGTTCTCTCTCCATGAAATCATCAGTCCAGTATCCTGCTGTGTGTTTGACACCGTTTCTCCTCCTCTGCTCTCTGCAGCCCTCTCATGGTGACAAGGCAGCTAACCCCAAAGTCCTCAAATGGATGACCGACCTCACCAAGATCCGCAGGCAGATTAAAGGTCAGCCAGCCTCTCCTATTCCCCAGTTTGTGCATTTGTTTGTGTGTGTGTCAGGTATAAGAGTGTCTGTGTGCCATCCTGTTCCACGCTGGACAGCTTGACCCTCCCACTCCCAACTTTTTGACCTTTGTGAGAACATTGCATGTAAGCTGACCGAACTCACACAAACGCAGACACACACACACACGCAGAAGTGGCTCTCACACGCGTGGCTTCCACCCCACAGTGTGCTGGTGCGTCCTTGTGAACCAACATCCATTTCTTATGAGGTGAAATCAGGAAGGTGAAACGCTGGATAAGACTTTTCTAACAGCCAGTTCGAGTTCATTTGGAAATACACTTAAAGATAACTTTGAAATCAAAGATTCAGGATCTATCAACAGTTTTTCTTTATTACTCTTTAGAAACGAATCATCTCTGGAGATATTCCACAACACTTTGTTGTGTCTCTTGTGCATCTTTTCACAGTCCTGACTGCACCTCATGACACTCGTCCACCCTCTTTGTGAGGTGACGGCTCTCCTCTTTTGGAGAACACAGTGGCCAAAACATTTCTCTCTCTGTTTCATATCAAAATTAAAAACAACAATAACTGGAGCATCCGCTCTCCACTTTCCTCCCTCCCTCCTCCAATCGCCCAACGACCCGATTGATTGATTGATTGACTGATCGGCCAACCAGGACGCCAGCACCACCTTTTACCCAGAAGCACGCTGAGGCACCAGGCTTTGCTCCATTCATACAGACGCCACCATGCTCCCTTCTCCCCTTCCTCCTCCTCCTGCTCCTCCTCCTCTTCCTCCTCTATCTGCTCACCCCCCCATCACACACTTATCCCCCCACCCCACCCCTACTCAGGCCTGAGCTCTAGACCGTTTCACCTCAGTAAGTACCAACCCCTCAGTAAGTAGACATCACAAACACCGCAACAATCAGGCGGCATCCTGAGAGCATCCTGCTTCTTTGCTTTTGTGTTTTAATTTCGTGTCACAGAAACGCATGTTTGGATGGGATATTTAAGGAGTGGTATCATTTGAAAGTGTGTGTCGTATCAGGAGGAAAACAGGGGCAGTTTTTGTTTGTTTTTGTTCTTTTTGCTTTCATCGTAAACAGGTGCGCTCGCTGAGACATAAAATATTTGCTAACGGGATTTTTAATCGACACTTTTTTGTTGCAGCTTTCATTGTTACCATGAAGCTCTTTTACTGTGGACATCTTTTCAGTGTACAGCCCTGATTTTAAAGAAGTTGTGAGAATAAATAATAGAGAATAATAATTATATTAAATAAATAAATAAATATAATAGGAAAGCAGCCGTTTCGGGTCTCTTCCATCGCAGTTTTTGTGTCATGATGCAGCAAATGTTCTCGCAGGTGACAAGTCTGGAGTGCAAGCGAATGCAAAATCCATGCAGTTGTAATACATGCAGAATGTGTGTCAGGAAGCGGAGGACAGAGTGTCCATGATGTCAAAAAGAAAGACAAGTTTTGTTTTGTCGGATCAGAGGAAAGTTTACGTCGTCACTTTGGTCCGTCTAATGCTGGCACTCCTGGATCTTACTCTTGGTTTCCAGCTTGTACAACTTTGTTCAGTATTTATTGGCCCAGTTCCAATTTTTTGAAATGTGTCTGCTATCAAATCTGAAATGAGTATGATCAGTATTTGATCAAAATAAAAAACAGTGTGTTGAATTTGCACTTCATTCAATTACTTCTAGGATTTAAATGCCGTGCAAGCCATCCAAATTTGTTTTATCATTTCACACAACACCCCGACTCTTTGAGATTCATGTTTTATCTGCAGAGGTTCAAAGATATTAACACAAAATCAAATACAGATTATTTTCCAAAGTAATATCTAGAAAATCTGTAAACAAACAAACCCAGTTCTTGAAGACAAATCTGGCTTTTAGCCGTGTTTATGTTTTTCGAGGGAAAGTATTTTTGCTTGCTGTGCTTTGGTTTTTGACTAGGTGTGGTTTTGTGATTTTGTCCAGAGTGTGTGTTAGTGTGTGAGTGAGTGTGTGTGTGTTTTGTTAAGCATGAGTGTCTTTCTCCAGATATTGTGAATGGCTGACTTTAACCATCACAGCTGTGGTTCAGACTCCTGCATGTCTGGTCGCCCAGTGAGAGATGTTTTATGTGCTGTCCGAGGATTTCCTTATTCATCCTCTCTTTTCTGCAACAGCTGCTCTGGTTCCTTCTGTCGTTCTTTATCGTCTGTATCTCTTCGTGTTTCTTTCCTCCTTCACTCATCACGGCTGAACTCTTTCCCCCTCAGATGCAAAACACCGCGCAGAGAGCGAGCTCGGCCCCCACACTCGTCCTCGCAGCAACACCTTACCCAAGAGCTTTGGTTCCACTCTGGACCAGGGTGCTTGCGATGCAGCCGGGGAGGTCAAGGGTCAGCGTCCCACCAGGGAGGAAACACTGGAGCTGATCCAGTGCAGGGTCAAAGGGAAGAGGCAGGAGGACGGCTGGCCTGAGGACATCAAGGTAAGCAACAGACACAATGACTCTAAAGTAGGACTGGGCGATTTGGCAAAAAAAAAAAAAAGATCACGATTATTATCGCGATTTTTTAAAAACCTTCCAGTTTTAAAGCATCTGTACTAAAAACGAAAGAAACTAGAGATTAGTTCAATATTTTATCAACATACAAAGTAAATAATAAAGCAAATTGAATAAGATACTCTTAGAAAATATAAAAAACATTTTAACTCAACAGTACAACAAAAGTAGATAAATACTAAATAACACAGTGAGTTAGTTTACAGTCCTGAGTGTTTTTGCAGGTATGAAAGACCCAAAGTTAACGTAGATGAGCGATTGATCGCTGCTTTGGTCTGGTGACTGCACTGCTAGTTACGGCTAAACTGCTAATGCCACTCATGCCGTCAGCGGTGACAGGCTGTGCAGACTCCGCTCACATTTTCATGCTTTCCTCATAATCTCTCAGGAAGAACTTCTTCAAATGATTAGACAGATTTGTTGTGTGTGTTTCGATACACATCGGCTTAATTGCTCGACGTCACTTTGGAGATACCCGAACCACCGCCGCACAACCGACGTTGAATAACTTCTCAACAAAAACATCTTCGGAGGATGACTCAAAATCACGGCTGACATCTGTTCGTTGCCCTCAGCTCCATGTTTAGCTCCATGTTCGGTCGTTCTGTTAACTTCTCCGGCAACTTACAGAGGTGAGCAGGGAAAGCTCGACTCTGATTGGCTGTTGTGACGCACATTTCTGTTGTGTTTGATCGAGTAAATATGCTCTCAGCTGATCACCGTGATCGAACGGAAATTTATCACGCTCATACAATCGCCCAGTCCTACTCTAAAGCGAGTTTTATTCCGAGTCATCACTCTGACGTTATGAACCAAATCTGTCTCCGTAGAAGATGACCAAGGAGCAGTTGTCCTGCGAGAAAACAGTCCTTCAGAAGAACCTGCTGCACTATGAAGGCCTGCACGGTCGACCTGTTAGTAATTTAAACCTTTTCACATGATAATTCAGTGAAGCTTCTAAAAATGCTGTTGACATTTGTCTAACCATTTCTCACTCTTGATCTTTTTGTCTCTCAGGTGACCAGAGAGGAGCGTCTGGTGGTGAAGCCTCTTTATGATCGTTACAGATTGGTCAAACAGATGCTCACCAGAGTTAGCATCACACCTATCACAGTACGTTAACACAACCACGCTCAGAAATCAAAACAGAAAGATCCATGACCTGCTTTTCAAACTACTGAACCCTCTTCTTCTTCTTCTTCTTCTTCTTCAGGTGTCCCCCTCCAGTAAGAGGCGAAGTCAGATCCTCCAGCCAATCATCGAAGGCGAAACCGCTCATTTCTGGGAGGAGATCAAAGAAGAGGAGGAGGACGAGCGGAAAGAGAAAGAAGGAGGAGAAGGAAGCGGAGGTGGAGGAGGAGAGCAGCAGGAGCGGAAGGAGGAGCGGGAGGAGGAGGACGACGAGGAGGAGGAGGAAGAGGAGGAGGGGGAGAGCAGCGGGGGAGAGATGCAGAGCCCAGAGGTCATCATGGCCGTCGACATCGTGACCCCGACTGACGGATCGATGAGGGGCCAGAACCAACCAGACAGACCCAAGATGGAGGAGGGGTCGGGGAGGCTGGCACTGGACCTTCGGCTGTCCAGCTCCAACGCCTCATCCATGTAGGAATACGCACACACACAAACACACACACAAACACACACTTTTTACAGAGTGATTGAAGGTCAGCAGGTCTGATTCTCCTGAAATTAGATTTAAAAAAGTAAATTGTTGCACCTTCGGTCTCTGTCTTGTCTTCTCTGACTCCTTTGTTAATTTTGGTCAGCTTTAAGAGTGAAGAAGTCCCTCTTGTTGTCCTCTGAGTTAACTCTGACATTTTAACAGACGTTATTCTCTGGCGACCCTTTCACCCTGTGAAAAAGGAAACCTGAATTTCGAGAGACAAGCGTATAATCTGTCTCTGTTTCCTTAAAGATCGTATTTATTGTTCATCTATTCTTTTTGGGTGAGCGAAAACAAAAAGGTTAAAAATATAATCCATGTTCAGGGCTTGACACAAACTTTTTTCAACTTAGGAGCATGTGATCAAAAATGTTTGAAATTTGCCTTTAAATTTATCACAAAAATATTTTAGAGGACAAATGAGGGTAATAAAGAGGCGTGTCTTACTGTCGGACCGTCATACTATTATTTGAAATCAATTTTAAGTCAATTGGTCACATGACATTGAAGCTATTGTAGGAAAACGGCCTTTTTTGAGAACATCAACCGGTAATTTATTGATGGTCCCTTATTCAACACATGACGTTGACAGGGAGGGTGTCCAGTAGATTTAACCGCGCTGCTGTTGCTATTCCTGGTTATGGAGACTGAGAAGACACCAGTAGACGTGCAGTGAATGTCCGTCAAATATCCAACCTAAAAACTAAAAAAACATTTGTTGCCTCGGCTGATTTCTTTCTTATTCTTCCCCTAAATACATTTTACAATTCGCTCACATCTATTTTTAGTCACAAATGAGAGTGAAACGGTCACACTATCGAGTCCTGATGTTCCTGTAAATGTGAATCACCCAGAGGAGCTGTTATGATATCAGCTTCAAGATTATCTGTGACTTTGCAGCCTGTTCTGACACCAGCAGGAAAAGAGAGACACAGGTGTAATCTGCTGAGTCTGTAATCTGGTTAATATGTCACTGAGCTAACACACACACACACACACACTCAGTTCTAATCTTCAGCATCAGTTCAGGTTTGTAAATCCAGGTTTCTTGCATGAACATGATCCTAACAGCTGATCTTTGACACCACCGCAGTGACTCCACTTCCTGTCCCACTTTCTTCTCTCGTCTCTTGAGCCGAGTCGAACTATGCGGGTCAAGACTCAGATTGCTCAACGCTGCTCTGATATCTTCGCTGACTGATTTAACTCCTCTCATGTTTCCCATGATCCTCTAGGCCAGAGCTGCTGGAACAGCTGTGGAAGGCCAGAGCGGAGAAGAAGAAACTGAGGAAGACCATCCGAGAGTTTGAAGAAGAGTTTTACCAGCGTAATGGAAGGTAGGTGGAGGTCACAGCTCACAGAGGAGCAGACGGAGGTGTTTCTTCAGGTCCGGATATTAGAGAACAAAAGAGGTGCAAACTGTCTCCTCTGTTTCTGTCCTCTGCTGCAGGAACGTTCAGAAGGAGGACCGGGTACCCATGCTGGAGGAGTACAGGGAGTACAAGAGGATCAAGGCCAAACTCCGCCTCCTGGAGGTTCTCATCAGCAAACAGGATTCCTCCAAATCCATCTAGACCCACCCACCTCAGAGACCCACCATCACTGCTGCGAGGACTCACCCAGGACGTCCCTCGTCATCGTTGTTAGACGTCACACCGCACCTAGACTGGTCCTACAATCATTCAGAGTCACATGACTTACCAGGAAGTCGACATCAAGACGAGTCAAAGATGCTCATACAGACTTCACCGAGTGCTGCATTCATGTCATGGAGAGAACCGACTGAGGAGGAGGAGGAGTGTGATTTAGTGAACAACGCAGCCACAAATAAAGCATTATTTAATAGACACAGTTTGCAGTTACCTAAACCTGCTTTACATCTACACTAACCTTTGTAGACGTGGTTTAAAGTCGAGGTTTTGATCGTAACAGAAACTTGTCAGCTCGCACTGAGTGGTTGATTGATAACTTAAAGAACCGCCTCTCTGGTTTCATTTCATTCAGACGGCAGACAAACACTCGTCACAGTTGATGTTCTCAGTGTTCAAGCGATGAGTCAAACTCTGAGCAGAATATAAGAAGAGCAACACGACTGTTTGGAAGCTTCAAAACATCCAAAACACTTTTTATACTTCAAATGTGCCAAATTTAGTGATAAAAATGAGAAACAATTGTGCAAAAAAGCAGTTTTAGCTGCTTTTTAAAAGAAACGATTAAAAACCAGATTATTGAGCTGTGAGAACTTGAACGAATTTTAGGTATTTAGGTCTTAAAGTCTTATAAATCTGTACAAAAATATTTAAAATATATATATGTGTGTGTGTGAATAGAGCTTTTCTCTTTCATTTGGTGGTTTGAGTGAAGCGGACATATTAAGGGAGGTGTGCAGTGAGACGAGTGTTTTTACAAGTTCATCTCCATGACATGAATGCATCGCCAACACCAGTAAGTAAATCTTCTAAAATCACGCCTGTCTGCCACAACTGCTCTCTGCTGCCTCGTCTGACTTCATATCATTCAAAGAGAAGAAGAAGAAAAAGGAATCATCTTCACCTTAACTGTGTTCGTCTTCATCACCGTTATCGTTCTCTTCTTGACTCACATTTTCTCGACACCTGAGAAAAAACAAAAATGTTGACTTTTTTAAATTCAGCGACTCTCTTTGGTCAGTTTTTCTTTTCCTTCGCGCTGAGGAATCTTATCGGACAGCTCGAGGACTGGCATTCAAGACACTTTTCACTCAAGACCCTCGCTCTTTCTTTGGGACGTCACTCTTTTCTCGCCTCACTTCAGAGACTCCACGTTTCCTCGTTATTTCGTTCCATCAGTTAAACTCTCCGGGTGCTTTTTTCCCCCCTTACTGACTGATTTTAAAACTCATTCACGTGTTTAAATAACGTGTTCATGTGTGTGCTGTTGTCAAAAGTGTACACATCCATGTTTGTGAGGCGCTGCTGCTTGAAAAGAGTTTGTGATTAGATCCAAAAGGAAACGGGGAAAAAAAAAAACAGGATTTGACAGTGAAGCCGTTTGAGAGACTGATTCTCGCTCGTGTCTCATCTTTTTCTGTCCTTCAGTGAGAAGTGTTAATCCCCCTCGCAGATAACTTTGAATTTAGTTTCCCATGAGCCTTTTGCTTACAGAAACGCCGCCCTCAAGTCCCCTGAAGCTCAGACATCCAAGTATTTGAAGTCATATACTTTGAATTTCTGACTGCACTCGAAGGAAAACGCTCAAAGGAAATAGTCCTACTCTGATTAGGACAGTTAATAATATAGATAGATACAAAAATGATCTAGAAAGTTGTTTTCTGTCTTTTTTCACTCGTCTTTTCTTGTTTTGTTAGCTGCATGAAGGTGATCTGGTTCCTGAGGGATTAAGGGTGTTAAAGAGAGGGGCTAGTACTGCTGCATCCTCTGCTCTCTGAAAGCAGAAAGCGTGCCGGCTGGTGGTCTGTTTGGTTGCTGTGCAGCTGTCTGAACTGATTTCTCTCTGACGGTGGAGGTCTGACTGTAGCTTTAAAGGCTGTGTCGTGTCAATGATGTGCCAACACTGCCAGCACTGATTTTAAACACAGAAGAAGAAGAAGCTCCACTCCAGGTTAGCTGGTGTTTTTCTCCAAACCGACCCGTCAGTGCTGAGGGTCTGGTTCGTAGCATAAATCAGTCGAAGGTCCAGCGGGCACAAAAACAATCCTGTTTTTGTTTGCAAAATAAAGTCCCAGCAAAGTTTCATTTCCTGCTGGCAGGTGAAATGAGGGCAGGTGAGGAGCTAACAAGTTTGTCCTCGTCGGTTTTTCTTCTCTGTAGAGGCCGTGTTGTTGAGTCGTCACCGTGTGATTTGAAAGAAGCGATGAAGAGTCTCCACCTTTAGCCGGTAGGTTTTTAAACTGGCTGTTTTTCGGAAGTTGAAGTTCTATTATCAGAACGTCTCTGGCTCACAAAGCTTCACGTTTAAGGCCATAAAGACAGACTCGTGCTGTTCAGTCACCTGCCGGGGTCGACGTCGACTGTGTCAGTGGACGGCACGCGTGAGAAGTGTCGAGTGAGTTCTCAGTGTTTGTGATTGAGGGAGGGTGTGTTTGTCGGAAAGTTCACGTTTGTTGTATAAAAAAAAAAGAGTTATTTGCACAGCATTCACTGAATGCAGCCCTTTTGTGTTTTTTCATTTGTTTTTCTAAAATGAAGCACTACTTCTATACAAATATAAATATATACTGTACATACAAAAAAAAAAACACCCGAAGGAATGAATGTCAGAAATGTTTAAATTATTTCAAACATCATGTTTGCCCCCTTTGCTTCATATATTTGTGCTGCCCTGAGAATGTGTTTTTTTATTCTAATAGTTATAAATATTGCTATTACTATCATAACCATTATTTTGTGTGTTAATGACAATGACAATAACCATTTTTGTATCTACTCACCAACTGTAAAACCAGCTGTAGAAGTTAGTCTGGCACTGTTCGTCTGCTCCTCCAACATGAACCTGCTCTGATTTGATTTTGTGGCTCAGTGTAATATAATAAGCTAATATAACAGCAGTACTGTAGTGAGCTTGCATGGCATAAAGAGAACATAATAGTATGAATAACATGATGTATTGTTTTTTTTATTGTTTGTGCCATGAAGAAGCAGCAATAATAAATGTTTGCCTGAAGGTTTTACAGCATCGGGTAACAAGGGCGGGACTTAGTGTGTGAATAGTTGAGGTACATTGTTTTTTTAGTTTTCAGTTCAACACGCACACACCATCACACACTCTGCTCTGGTTGTGTGTTTTTACCACTATTTGTTGTCTGCATAATGTTCATTTTGGCACTGCTGAGGAACCAAAATAAGGTTTGTCGAACAGGAAGGGGAACAGGGATTGAAAAGCCAATGACAGACGTGTCATATCTGAAAACATTCCAGTTTTTAATCATCATTCAAAGAGAGGAAACAATCCATCACTCATCTCTGAAGGGCTTTTCTTTTTAGCTTTCACCTCTGTTGTTGTTGTTGTTGTATTTAAAGTCAGACAACACGAGCAGCTGATGTATTTGGCGTTTCAGTTTCTTTTGTTTTTCATTGTGCCTGCAACAGAGTGGTAAAGTTCACCTTGTAAACTGTAAATTCAGCCTGTCTCTGTCTGTGTACAGTTCGTTTCATCCCACATTTACTCATCTGACATGCATGGTGGTCGTTTCACAGCCACACGCCTGACCCGGAGTTCACAGCAGAAGTTGTACTCAAAGATGTCCCCGCTTCTCCTGGATGAGTTTTAGATGGCTCACCATTTAGGTCGAGATAAAAACAACAACATATTTAAAAAGTGTATTTTAAAGACCTAGCTGAGATTTTAAAGAAATTAAATCTCCGGATTTGTCAAATTTAAATAGTTACTGAATCACATCTTTGTTACTGGATTCTGCTTTGAATTCCTTTGACCTGTTTCCTCCATGTGATACTGTGTTTTATCACATCAGTATATTGTATCTTTCAATGTTTTCTTACTTGGTGAATGCTTTTTTTCCCTGTTGTTTCTTCATTAACAAAAAGGATGAGAAAATACAATCAGTAACATTTACACATGAAAATAAAATTTACAAGCTTGCCACATCTGTTCTCCTAATTCTTTAGTCAAATTAACTAAACTGGATCATGCGGAAGAGTTGTAACATTTATGGAGCATTTTTTGCCACTGCTGAGAATAAATGTTTGGAAAAAGAAAAAAGTGAAACCTTGTAAAAGTAAAGGGATCTCTGACCTTTTATCCTTTTATAAGTGGGCATCTCTGCAGACTTCTTGAGAGGGAATTACCCAGAGTTCACTGCACTGTGAAGAAGCCTCTAAGAGAGGAGGGAAAGGACCGTGAAGACATGGAAATGATTAAAAAAGACAGTAAATAAGAGGCTTGGAAGACGCTTCAAAAACAAGTTAGAAATAAGAAATATTGCCCAGATACACCCACACACCTGTTTGATCTTATTTTTTCGATCTCAGCAACATGCTGATGTGCATCCATGATGAAATTAAACCAGATTTATTTCCTTTTCACTAAAATATATTAATATATTCAAGCTGTCTGCCTCTTTTGATCATTTCCAGCCCTCGTAGCCTCCTGCACACAATCACTTTCCAGGTGATGTCAATTAAGTCATCAGGGTTTAGGGTTCAGGGAGTAGACAGAGACTACGTTTAAAAGGGCCCAGCTGGTTTCATAAACTGATATTTCACCCTCTCCATTTCCAAAAAAAAAAAAAAATGCGTGCACACCTCTATGTTTTCAAAAAAAGTTTTTGCTTACACTAACCTATGTATTAACCTATGTATATATGCCGTCAAGAGCATGCCAGACTTGCTTCTTCCTGGCGCACAATCTGCCGTCGGCTCCCCAAATCTCAGTTTTTCTCTGTTTACATGCAAACATGCAAACAGAGTTTTCTCCACTTTGGCCAAAGTTTTTAAAAAGGGTGCAAACGATGGTTAATGTCTCCGTTTTTAAAAATAACCGGGTACGTATAAACAGGTCCTCAGCCTCAAACTTCAGCGGTAAAGCTCCCAACAGTATACACACGTACATATATATATATATATACATATATATATACTGTTTGGTTTACTCACTAAAAGTGAACTTTATTTAGAGCTAGAATTAAAAGTCTCTAACTCATTAGAGATTTCATTATGCACATTAGAGATTCATTATCGTGAGAACAATACAGCATCCATTAGGTGATATATTATTGTTTTTCACAATACTGAATTCTTAATCTAATAACAATGAGAGCTGCATGTTATGGTTAAAAAAAAACTCCAGAGCAGCTTCTAAATTGACCCTCTCAGTGTTATAAGTTTGTAGATTTACAGGCATTTACAAACATCTATTTTTCTGCTCTGCAGGATCAGGTAATCCTGTTCCTTTCTGTTTGTTTGTAGTTTGTTTTTCTTCCTTTTTTAGCTAAATCTGGACCAGAGTTTCCTCCAAAACCAGATTGTTAAGGATTATGAATTCTGGGGAACAAACGCTCTACAGGGGTGCCACAGTTTATAGAAAATTAATGATGCCTTCTTTGACATCACAAACACTTAAGATGTATGTTAGGGTTTGGTCAGATCCAGTCGATCCAATCTAAGAGCTTTAATCCAAACAGACTTTGTGTTGTAGCGATCTTATCATGATATATTATATTTTATCATAATATACTATGATAGTTTTATTATACTATACTCTGACACTTTTTGAATTATTTTTTTTTCTATCATACTATCCTATGACATTTTTTTAACATAATATACAATGACATTTTTTTCAGACTTAAATTTGACATTTTTATCACACTATCCTTTGACATTTTTTAACTTTCTTTACTATGACATTTTGTTACAAAAAAATTAAAAATTTATCATATTATACTTGAACATTTTTATCATACTATACTATGACATTTTCTTACATTTTTGACATTTTCACTTTTTGCATAAAGAATTTTTTTTTTTATCTTACTATACCGTGACATTTTTTAACATACTATACTATGACATTTTTTTCAAACTTCAATTTGAAATTTTTATCACACTACTGTTTTTTTTAACCATACCATACTATGACATTTTTATCATACTATACTATGACCTGTTTACACATACTTTACTGACATTTTTTGCATAAAAATTTTAAATGTTTTTAAATCCAACTATAGTATTACATCTTAAAACACTAACATTTGAAAAATAATATTACCTAACTTTGACATTTTTGTCAGACTAAAATTTGTCATTTTTATGATACTGTAGTATGATATTTTTACATACTATACTATGAAACTTTTTGAATAAATAGCCTTTTTTACCGTACTATACTATGTGATTTTTTTACTACTAAAATTGAAAAAATGTATCATACAATATTTTTCCATTTTCCATACTATACTATGACATTTTTCAAATGTTTGACATTTTCACTTTTTGTATAAAATATATATTTTTTTATCATACTACACCATGACATTTTTTTTTATCATACTAGGCTGTGAATTTTCTTTCAAACTAAAATTTTAAATTTTTTATCATACTATACTATTACATTTTTTACCATGCTATACTATGACATTTTTTAAACTTAAATTTGAAAATCTATCATACTTTAATTTGACAATTTTATAATAACATACTATAACATTTTTTTCATACTATAGTATGACTTGTTTAAACATACTTTACTATGACATTTCTTTCAAACTACAATTCGAAAATTTTATTATACTATACTTGGACATTTTTATCATGCTATACTATGACATTTTTTAAATTACAATTTGAAAATATATCATACTATACCTTGCAGTGTTGTTTTCGTCAGGCAGGACGAAAACTTAAATGACGACGTCAGACCCCTTTTTTCCTTGACGAAAATGAGACTAAGACGAACGTCACCAAAGCTCTGTAAAGACTAAAATGTGACGAAAATTGTACTACTTTTCGTCAGACGAGAACGAGACGAGACTAAATTGTTATTAGGTGGACGAAAAAAGTTTCAAAACATGCTTTTTTTTTGTCCTAACAGTCACGCCCCCATCACACACGCACCAAAAGCCTCGCTCGCGCACAGCTGCGCGCACAGCTGCACGCACACACTCATACACATACACAGAGTGGCAGGTGGACGAGGCGCGCACACACACACCGTGGCGGTAGGCACAGCAGCGGTGCCCGGTGGCCGAAAAAAGAGGGATGCTTTATGGTCCTACTTCAGATACAGTCCAAGTGACAATAAAACACAATGTCTTGTACGGGGACGGGGAGACGAGACAGACGACAGTTGTGGAGCCACAGCTTCCTCATGCTGCGGCTTCAAACTGTCGGGAAAGAACACCACGAACCTCTAAAGGCACCTTTTCGTCGACTAAAACTAGACTAAAACCTTTTGAGTTTTCGTCGGACTAAAACTAGACGAAAACTATCAAGGATAGAAATGACTAAAATGGGACTAAAACGAAGAAGCATTTCGTCAAAATGACTAAGACTAAAACTAAATCTAAAATGCCTGCCAAAAACAACACTGATACCTTGACATTTTTATAATACCATACTATGATATTATTATTATTATTATTATAGTACACTATGACTTGTTTTAACATACTATACTATGACATTTTTTTGCATAAAAACAGTATTTTTTTCTATACTATAATATTACAATTTTTAACGAATATTTGAAAATTTATTTACCTAACTATGACATTTGATGTCAAAGTAAAAACTTGAAATTTTAATCGTACTTCACTATCACATTTTTATCATACCAAAATTTGAAATTTTTATTGAACTATGCTATGATATTTTTTCAACACACTATACTATGACACTTTATTTTTTTAACATACTAAACTGGCATTTTTAACGTACTATACTATGACATTTTTCTCATAATAAAATTTGAAATTTAAATCATACTTCACTATCAGATTTTGATTATACTAGAGTGTGTTATTTTTTATCATACTATACTGTGATATTTTTATACATATTGTTCTATGACACATTTTGAATAAAATAAACAAAAATTTGATACTACCATGAGATTTTTTAACATACTATACTACGACATTTTTCTCATAACAAAATTGAAATTTATACCGACATTTTTTAAACTAAAATTTGAAAATTCGTCATACTATACTTTGACATTTTTCAAAAACCATGCTATGACATTTTTTATAGTGTACTATGACTTGTTTTAACATACTATACCATGACATTTTTTACCATACTATACCATGACATTTTTTTCAAACTAAAATTTGAATTTCATATTATCTTATACTTTTACATTTTTTTTAATTAAACTATACTATGACATTTTTTATCATACTAAAATTTGACATTTTTTTCATACTATACTATGATAGGGATGGAGGAGGCCTGGAGGAGGCCTTTGAGAGAAAGAAAGCCAAGTATGAGGAGCTGGCAAGTGAATGCCGAAGCAGGGGATGGAGGACCCGGTGCAACCCCATCGAGGTCGGATGCAGAGGATTCGCTGGCCAGTCCCTCATCAGGGCTCTCAAGATGCTGGGAATGGGGGGACTGCACAACAGGCGAGCCATTAAGAACATCTGTGACGCAGCAGAGAAGGCGTCCAGATGGCTGTGGATCAAGCGGGGTGATCCGTGGACACATGCTCTTAAGACACAAGCCGGGACTTGATCACCCCGGCTGAGGGTGTCTGTTGCAAGACCCGAAACACCCAGTGAACCCAAGTGCCAACACTGATGATGTGTCTTAAGTTGCACCATAAGTGTATTTCAGAACTGATATATTTAAAATACTATACTGACCCTTGGTATCATATTATACTATGACTTGTTTTAACATACTATAACATGACATTTTTTGCATGAAAATTGTAATCTTCTTTCTAATTATAGAATTATTTTTACTAACGAACATTTGAAAATTTATATAACTTTACTTACTGTGTCATACTTACATTTGTAATTTTTATAATAGTATACTATGACTTTTTTTTCAAAGTCAAATTTGAAACTTTTATCATACTTTACTATCACACTTTATTATACTAAAATTTGTTATTTTTAATCATAGTATACTATGACATTTTTTGTTTTAGTAAAATTTGAAATTTTTATCATACTTTACCATTACATTTTTATCATACTAAAATTTGAAATTTTTATCATAGTATGCTATGACATTTTTTGTCAAAGTAAAATTTGAACTTTTTATCATACTTTACTATCACAATTTTATCATTCTACAATTTGTTATTTTTATCATCGTATAGTATGAAATTTTTTGTCAAAGTAAAATTAGAAATTTTTATCATACTTTACTATCATACTTTATCATTCTAAAATTTATTTTTATCATACTATACTATGAAATTTTTAACACTATTTTATGACACATTTTGAATAAAACAGAAATTAGATTTTTTTCAATAGAATAATATATGTTTTAATCATACTATATTATGACATTTTTTGTCAAAGTAATATTTGAAATTTTTAACATACTCTACAATTACATTTTTTAACATACAAACTATGACATTTTTTGAAACTAAAATTTGATATTTTTATCATTCTTTACTATCACATTTTTATTATACCAAAATTTGTAATTTCTATCATACTGTACTATGACTTGTTTAAACATACTATAACATGACATTTTTTTGCATTAAAACCTTGTTTTTTTTCCAATTATAGTATTATACTTTTAACCTAACATTTGGAAATTTTTATTACTTTACGTTGACATTTTTGTCAAACTAAAATTAAAAATTTTTATCATACTATACTATGACAACTTTTGTCAAAGTAAAATGTATAATTTTTATCATTCTATACTATGACATATTTTAACATACTAGACTATGACAAGTTTTTATCATACTTTACCATCACATTTTTATTATACTAAAATTTGTAATATGTATCATACCATACTATATTTTTAACATACTATACTATGACACTTTTTGAATAAAATAAAGTTTAAATTTATTTAATACTATATATGACATTTTTAGACCTACTATACTATGAGAATTTTTCAAACCAAAATTTGACATTTTAATCATATTTTACTGTCACATTTTTATCATACTAAAATTTGAATATTCTATCATACTATGCTATGATATTTTTTTAACATACTATACTATGACACTTTTTGAATAAAATATATTTTTTTTCATACTTTAATATGACATTTTTAACATACTATACTATGATATTTTTTCAAACTAAAATTTGGAATATTTATTATACTATACTTTGACTTTTTTATCGTACTATACTATGACATTTTTATCATACTCAAATTTGAAAATTTTATCATACTATACTATGATACTTTAATAAACTATACCATGACACTTTTTAAAAAAACAATTTAAATTTTTTTGTTTTAACGTACTATTACATGACATTTTTTTTGCATAAAAATCGTAATTTTCTTTTTTAATTCAACTATAGTATTGTAATTACTTTTTATTTTATCATACTAAAATTTGACATTTTTAACATACTATACTATGACTTTTTTTTTTAAATAAAATTTGAAATTCTAATCATACTTAACTATCACATTTTGATCATACTTAAATTTGTAACTTTTATCATACTATACTATATTTTTAACCATACTATTCTTTGACATTTTTTTGAAAATATAGATTTAAATTTTTTTTCATACTATTATATGACATTTTTTACCATGCTATACTATGACATTTTTTTTAAATACTATACTATTTTACACTCATTATACACTTTTTGAATAAAATTAAAAATATTTTTTGTACCTTTATGTGACATTTTTTAACATACTTGACTTCGACATTTTTTTCAAGCTGAAATTAGAAATATTTATTATTCTATACTTTGACATTTTTTATTAAACTATAATATGAAAAATATTTTACACTAAAAATTGGAAATTAATCATATTATTCTTGGACATTTATATCATACTTTACTATGACATTTTTTAGATCCTTGCCATTACACTCTTTGCATTAAGAATTTCAATTTTTTTTTCATACTATACTATGACATTTTTTTAACTAAAATCCAACTATAGTATATTTTTTAACTCCAACATCTGAAAAATAATATTACCCAACTTTGACATTTTTGTCGGACTAAAATTTAAATTTTTTACTATGAAATATACTATATTATACTATACTATACTATGACATTTTTTAACCATACAACACTATGACATTTTGATTATACTAAAATTTAAAAATTTATCATGACATACAAATGTATTAATACCAAACTATGACATTTTTGACATTTTCACCTTTGGCATAAAAAATGGTTTAATTTTTTTATCATACTATGCTATGACACTTTTTAACATGCTATACTATGACTTTTTTTTTTCAAACTAAAATTGAAAATTTTTATCATACTCTACCATGACTTTTTTTTTAACCATACTATACTATGACCTTTTTTTTTTTAACCATACTATACTATGACATTTTTTATACAATTTAAAAATAAGTCATTTTATACTTGGACATTTTTGACATACTATACTATGACATTTTTTAAACTAAAATCCAACTATAGTATTATATTTTTTAACTCCAACATCTGAAAAATAATATTACCCAACTTTGACATTTTTGTCAGACTAAAATTTAAATTTTTTATCATACTATACTATGACATTTTTTAACCATACAACACTATGACATTTTGATCATACTAAAATTTAAAAATTTACCATGATATACAAATGTATTAATACCAAACTATGACATTTTTGACATTTTCACTTTTGGCATAAAAAATTGTTTAATTTTTTTAACATTCTATACTATGACACTTTTTAACATGCTATACTATGACTTTTTTTTTTCAAACTAAAATTGAAATTTTTTATCATACTATACTATGACCTTTTTTTTTTTACCATACTATAATATGACCTTTTTATTTTTAACCATACTATACTATGACATTTTTTATACAATTTAAAAATAAGTCATTTTATACTTGGACATTTTTGACATACTATACTATGACTTTTTTTTTTTCATTTTTGACTTTTTCACCTTTTGCATAATTTTTTTGATTTTTTTCTCATACTACAATATGACATTTTTAACGTACTATCCTATGACATTTTTTTTTAACCACACTATACTATGACATTTTTCTACACTCAAATTTAAAAATTTATCATACTATACTTTGACATTTTTTTATACCATACTATGAAATTTTTTCATAGCCAGTTACATAGTTTCTAAGTTTAGTTTTATATTTGGATCACAAACTTCCTGGGAGGCATTAAAACTCAGATAATCCTGATGAATAATTAGACTAAAAAACACAAAAACAACAGCATTGGTCCTTTAAAGTTTTTATGACCTTTCATGTTATAACAGTTGAAATCTTCCTGTTTTTCGATGGTTTCTGGAAGATAAGAGGCAAACAAACAGAGGTTTTCTGAAAACACCTTTGATAAATCTATAAATCTCTTGACGTCAAAGCTATGGCACCAGTCAGTCAGCTTCATAACTACAGCTAAAATATATTTACTGTTATCTGAATGAACGTGAGGAGAGCACAATTGAAACACTAGGATGAGAAAACGAGATGAGCTCTCATTTTGATTTGAATAAGCGTGAAAACTGTCCAGAAACAATAAATAAAAACCATCGAACCTGCATCTTTTATATTGTAACCTTAAAGTTGAAGTTCTACAGTGCATTTTGACACACTTACTTTGACAGTAAACAGAAAAAAATATCATTTCAGTTTGTTAAGAAGAGATAAAAACACCAACTGGCACTTTTTTGTACAATTTTGGATGACACTATAGATCTGGAGGTGTTGATTTGAAATGCTCCAAAGTGTGCGATCAGGAAGAGAGACAGCAGAGATCAGCAAGAAAGACGGACTGACGTCCTCTCAGTCAGTGCAAGTCATCAGTGCATCAGTAGTGTGTCAACAACAGAAGAATGTCTGTGTCGAGTCGGATTAACCAGCCTGAGTGGTTCTCCACAATCTTAAAAACATCTCAAAAATATTAAATATGATAACTGATTTGCATATTAAGATGATTTTTACATTCGTTCAACCGTCTGCTTCTCTCTACATCCAGAGGAAAACACCCCGAGCACAAACACTCTTTACAGGTGAGATTTCATCTCAGTGATCCGCCTGATCTCCTGAAAGTCTGCACTGAAAAACCACCGGAGAAAATAGTTGCTATATGCTCATTTGATTTTAAGGGAACTCTGAGTTAAGAAAAATATCTCCCATGACGTGCAGCAGATAAAACGCTCCATTTGGCCCCTTTGTTATCAGTTCATCCAGTCTTTGAGTCTAACATCAGCTGATACAGCCACTTGTTGTGTGCTTGGCAATCACTACCAAGACAAAGTTTCTCTTAAGCCCACTTTACTTTGTGGGTATTGCTTCTAATGCAGTGCAACAGTTTCTTCTCACATGTAGAAAAGTCTTGGACGTCACAGCAAATTAACTTGTGGTTAGTCGTCCAAATCTCTGAACTCCTCCTTGATTTTTACATCAGCTGAGGGCAGAAGGCGTCCCGTCAATTTGGATTGTGTTTTCATCTCCTGCGTCACTCCTCTGTGTGCTTGTCGAGCTTCGGACGTCAGTGTCAGTCTCTGTAAAACCAGCTGCAGATGCTGAGCCAGCACAGCGAGAGACGTCAGGTCATAAAGGCTTGTCAATCACTGCGACTCCTGTAGGAGTGACAAAATGACATGAGAGAAGAAGACGGTTAAAAAATAAATACAACATGGACACGTGAATCGATCGATGGGGGTGATGTTGAGGACTGACCGGCGTAGCTGCGTCCGTTGCTCATGTTTGTGGGAATAAGGCTCCACTTGTCTGTGGTGGGGTTGTAAAATTCAACGGAGGAGAGGTTACAGGAGCCGTCGTCTCCACCGATCACGTACAGCAGCCCGTTTATGGCACACACACCTTTAGGACAGAGATGTCAACTTGATGATAAATCTGACATGTTTTTACATCTATTTATCTTTGTGGGACACTGTGCTTACTTATTTGTAAAATTATACTTCCCCCAAACATGAAATGGGTTATTACACGAGTGAAAGTAACATTTTGTTTGATTTTCTCCCTTTCAAATTGGACGAATAATCACAGTTAGATTAATCGCAGTTGCATTCATTTGTTCTCGGCTGGTACTGTGACAGTTGATTGTAGTCCAGCCAGTTCCCTCAGGACACCAAGCTCAAAATAAAAATTTAAATATATATATTTTTTACAGCAACTATAAGAAAAAATAAAACCGACACTGTGATGGATGCTTTAGTGTTTGTGTTGTTGTCTCACCTGCATTTCGTCTGCACATGTTCATGTCACAGACCGGTTTCCAGCTGTTGGTCTGTGGTTCATACACCTCGACGCTCTTCCTCACCAGAGGACCGTCATGTCCTCCTGCAGCATAGAGCTGACCGCCCAACACACCCACACCTGAAAAAGAAGAAGAAGAAAAAATATGAAACACAAAACTCAATGAAAATTGAATTTGCAAATTTGTGAGAGGACAGTTATTTTGCTGACAGATGTGCAGTGTCAAATCACGTCCACAGGGTAGTGCTATTGAGTCGATAAAACTGTGAAAAAACTCGATTCTGTTGCATACTTTACTGTCTCATAATGAATCTAAACAGCAGAGTGTAAATCAAGAGAGCAGATTTGTGAAAAAACATGTTCATTTAAGGAGGAAACATCCTTTAAATCAAAATTAATGTCAGTGTCTTTTGAAGAAGCACAATGATTGGAGGAAAACTTCTCACTCCACAACCCCTATTTGCGTAACCTAAGTAGTGAGGGGAAGGATGTAGTGTGATTTACGTGTGTGTGTGTGTGTGTGTGTGTGTGTGTGTGTGTGTGTGTACCTGCTCCACTGCGCCGTGTGCTCATATCAGCCACATAACTCCACTGATCAGCGACGGGGTCGTACTCCTCTACTGTGCTGAGACACTGGCGAGACGCTCCGTCGTATCCTCCCACGGCGTACAGCTTACCTGAAGAGACACAAACGCAGTATAACACACAGGGTTCCTGCGTAAGTATGGGGAAGTAAGGAAGTAAATTTATCCATTTGCAGGTCTTAAAAAGTATGGTGAATGAAAACAAAAGTACGGAAAAATATTTATGTTAACAGACTATATTACTATAGTTATAAAATACTCAATTCTAAAATAGAAAAGTAGGTATTTCCAAAAGTAAATCTAAAAAGTAGGGTATGGAAAAGTATGGAAATTTCAATGTTGTAGGAACCCTGAACACACACACAGACATACACAAACACAGCTACTGAAATAGCTACAAAACAGACCCCAAGTTACACACTGACACTGTAATCTTACCATCAACCACCCCGACCCCCACACTGCTGCGCCGAGTGTTCATGGAGGCGACATACACCCACTCATTGGTTTTATAATTATAGGCTTCCACCGTGGACAGACCTGAGGGAGAAGATAACAGAGAAAATATAAGAGGAGAAAATTCACAGGTTAGGATGGATGTGTTCATGTGTTCAACGTCTCCAACCTGCTGAGAGTGTTAAACTAAGAGAAAACAATCCCCCCACGTCTCCTGTGTTTACTGTTCACACTGCACTGGGCAAGTAATGATGTGAACCCAGGCGAGAGAAAATAGGTTTAAAGAAGACAGAGGCACTAAATCAGATTTTAAAAAACTCAACCTAGAGCTTCCTCATTTTCTAGGATTATTAAGAGGACATCTTCAGGCCACTCTCAGTTTCTGACCTCGTCAGACTCGATCAAAACTCAGGTTTCATAATCATTTAAAGTGGAAATCTAAAAGAAACCTACAGGGTTTTGATTTGATCCTAATATACTAGTCATGGATTGAAGTACAGCATTCAATAATCATATAAAGTGATTTTTTTAAACAGGAGTAAACTTGGAAAGAGTCACAGAGAGAGTGAGGAATGATATCCTGCAGTGTGGGGGCTTAACCTGTCAATGTGATGCTGTTAACCTCATGCAAACAAGGCCTCAACATCGGAAAGTATATTTTTAAATTTGACACAACATCTGTTTTTTTTGTAGAACTGGAGCTGGATGTGATTCTGAATGTTGATGTGTGGAGTGGTGTGTGTGTGAATGTAAGTGTACCTATACTCCCGTTAAAGCCTCCCACAGCGTACAGTAACTCTGACAACACAGCTGCTCCCAGAGTGCTGCGTCTCTCCTGCATGCTCGCCGCCGCACTCCACTGGTCCCTCCCACTTTCATACACATCCACCGTTCGCTCCCGCAGCGAACTGTTGAACCCGCCGACTGCATAGACACGGCCTCCCATGGAAACCACTCCTAGCGCGCACACAAAGTCAAATGAGTCCTGGTGTTAGGATTAATAATAACATGTGAAAATGTAGATGGTGAAGGATTAAATCAGACTGACCCGCTCGGCAGCGTCTCGAGGGCAGGTCAGCCACTTGGTACCACCGATCCTCCTGGAAGTCATAACACTCCACACTGCGGATTGCTTTTGGAGCCTGACCGCCCACGACGATCATCACCTGAACAGTCGGAGACAAACGTCAAACATGTCTCAAAATAAGAAACATAATAAGATTAGTGTTTCCTCCACAGTATAAATGTGTGTTTCTGTACTTTTGGGATGCTGATTGGAGTTCTCGGCCGGGTTCTGTCCGTCTTTATGAGGTGCCGCTGGTCAGCTGGCAGGAGATGATACTTCATCGCTTCTATGAGGAAATCTTTACATGTGTTGTTGTTCTTTATCAAAGCCTCCTCCTCCACAATCTAGAACAGGAAACACATTTCAGACGAATCAAGCAGACTGTCCAGAAACTGAGCTAAAGAAACCAGCGACAAGATTTCTCCATGTGTTTCAGCACAAAATGAAGACTCTATATATGTGTGAACTGTGTGCATTTCATAATGTTGGACAGCTGTGCTTTGCTTGCTTTTTTCCTTCTATTATGGTGTCACTTTTGAGAGTTAAAAATGAAGATTTTAGCAGACAACAGATTGATCAAGAGAGTTTTCATACCTGTACTAGATAGTCCCTGGACAGCAGAGGGAGCCTGACATGCTCCATCAGTTTGGGCATGTGCTCCAGACGAGCGGGTTTATCATGCTTGATCCAGGCGATCATGGCCTCAAAAACCTGAGCGAGGGGTGAAGAGGAGAGTGAAACAGCAGTGAAGGGAAACTTAAATGCTGCTACAGAGAAAAAGAGGTTTGATTTCCAGATTTCTTTGTCATATTTTAAAAGTTACAGGATATTCATGACTGTTAAGAGTTCTTTTCTGGGAGTAGGAGCCGAAACTTCACAAAGACACTGTTGGAAGATTTAACGTGTCAGACTACTTGGATGACTGGAGTACCTGTGTGAACTGCGTCGTCAGAGCTTTAACGCTCGGCTCTTTCACAGTCAAATTCAGTTTTTGATTACTCTCAGCCGCGCCCAGCAGGACGTCAGCACATCAGAGGTGTGAGACCTTTGTCCTGCATGATTTGCAATCCAGAGTTGGATGTCCTAAATTCATTGACCCTTGAAAGCTCATCACATCTTATGAGTTTGCAGAACGGCTTTATCAGCAAAAAAACAAGAGAGTGAGAGACCCCCTGATGTGCACAGACAATAAGAACAGACACTAAAGGACCACAGCTTAATGACTCTCAAGACTCTCTCCTGGTCCAGGTGTTGAGGTAAACAAAAAACACTCTTCTACAGCAGTCCCACAACAGCATGTAAACAAAGCTCTACCAACATCACACTTTGTGTTGTGATTTGTGAGTTTTCAGATTTAAATTTGAGTCACACAGTGTGTTACCAACTTCTGAAAGCAGATCAGAGCTGGAGTGACTTTTCCCCATGCTGTGTTAGTAACAGGGGTGAAAATAACCCACCCTGAAATCTGTGTAATGGAAATCTGTAAAAGATAAGTTCAATCTCTGTTTGTTAAAGAGACTTTAAAACGATCCTTATAGGCATTCATTACAGCTTGAATTAATGTTCATGAAGTGTAATAAGCAGTGAGCTCTGACTCTTCTTGCCACAAAATTCTGCTTCTAAGTTCTTGTAAATGTGTTACAGGAACATAGAAGTCTTAATAACCTCATGCTGGGCTGATATCTTACTGAGGTCGTACTTAAGCTTGTTTTGAGTGTAAATGAGACATTTTCCAAATTGGAAATCATAGAAATTGTTAAGTGAGTTCTCTATGAACCTTTGTAACTGGGTAGAATTGTGAGATGTCTATTTCCTTAACTATAAATATCTTTGTCACGTTTCTGCGTTCTCACACTGCAATTTTTCTCACTTTTGCGAGCATTTACAAACCAAAGATTCAAGCTACATAATATATATGATGGCAAAACCCTGATTCAGTTCTTTAGTTTCCAGGAGGGATTACACGGTTAAACAAACAGTTAATGTGTGAACAATGGAAAATTGAGTTAAAGTTTGTTTCCTTGTTCTTTAATCTGTGAATTAGGAATTTTCTCCAAATGTCTCAAATCTTTGTTTCCCCTCCTAAAACAACGTAAAAATGTGGGAATTTGACCTCTTTACTTCTGCACTGATTCACCTTCCACTTACACCGTTACAGATAATTCATTTAGTGCGATTGTGCCTCCAGTTGTAGTCAGTGTGACATTGAACAGACGTGATGACAGCCCTCTGTCTGACTGAAGCAGAAGTCACCTTGAAGCCTGCGCTGCTCTGACAGCAGGATGACACACAGATGCTCCTGCGCTATCCTGCTGACAGACTAACAGCTGATAACCTCTGGGATATGTCCTCTGACGGAGAGGGCCCATCAGGCACAAGTTAGTCTGAAGTGAGAGCACTGTCTGTAACAGCTCTAACCATGCGGAGAATTTCTTAATCTTCTTGTCAACTCGCTGAATTTTCTTTTCCGGGAAAATATTTATCCTCATAAATATTTTCATCCACAGGTTGAGAGACAAGCTGCTTGAATTAAATGGCTGAAGTGTGTGAGGTTACTGTAGTGTCTGACCTTCTCCTCTGTGGAAACTGTGAGTTTGTCACTGGCGATGAGGCTGCACACCTGCTGCAGAGAAAGGCCAAGAAACTCCTCACCCTGCACCACTTCAGGGAAATGCTGCTCTGAGAGACACAAACAAGCAGGGTTTCACAAAATACAGACAGACAGATACAGAGGGACATAAACTTTTACGGGTTTTACCAAAAGACCAATTTCTGAGCCAGAGAAACCAACTCTTACATAACCACCTCCTACAGCACACATAAAAACCCACAGCGGCAGAGATGAGTCAGGATTTGTGGTGGGGATGTGGAGAAACTTACCAGCATACGCGTGGGACTGGTTGAGAAGCTGTGTGCAAGTGTGCAGGTCAGCGAAGGCTCGGATGCCCAGACAGTTGGTGGGGTGAAGCTGCGATTGAAGAAACTCACAACAAACCTGACGGACGTCCATCAGCTGGAGGAGACTGGCTGCTGGGAGCAAAACCTGCAGCGACGCACAAGTTTGGAAAGCTTGAAAATTTTGAGGGGAAAAATTCAATTATCTGGTCTTCATCCATATTGATAACGCCAAAGTCACATGGTAGGGAGCAGGTATTGGTAGTCACTGGTGCAGTTAACTTAATCACTGCTTCTTCTCTGGTATTAGTTTGTGAATGATTTAACCGACGACTAAACAAAGCTGTCAAAAAACAACAAAATAAGTCAAGCAAACTAGAACAGCTAGCAGCAAACCTCCACATTTACCAGCGAGTTTGCAAGAAAAAAAGTCCTCGGTTTGGATCTGACCTTTGAAAAGTGTGATGTTCGCAGGAACAACAGCATCATGTTTTTGATTTGTGAAGTACCACCTGCAATAAAGTCATTCCTGTCTTATAATTTGTCAATGCAACGTTTATACATTTGGTGTAAAAGATCCTACAGGACCTCAGAAAATGAAATAATCATGGGATTTAAGAATCTGTTACTGTCAGACTAAAAAATTTAGTTTTTGGGCTTGGGGGCAAAAAAATCCAAATTCAGAGCAGTGCCATCTTCACTTTAACAAAACACTGAAATTATGAACCATTTATCAAAACAGCTGCCTCATTTCTCACTTTTATTGGTCTCAAAAATTGAAGGATAATGCAGCTCTAAGTTGCAACAAACCCACTTTAAGCCTGTCACAGTGCGATACAGCAGGAGTAAAGACAGGTTCGAGTATTTAAAGGGCAAAGACACTTTTTTGTCCTGACAGACTTTTTAAATGACACAGCAGTCAGTACACAGTTCTTTATTTTTCATGCTGCTTCAGGACCTCGTAGGAAATGACGGATGATCTCATGATGAACTCAGTTTTCCGAGGACATCACTTGGTGAACTCGTCATTATGCCGATTGAGTGGCGAAGCAGTTTCTTAATCAAACGGCACATTAGAAAAGGCCAAAACTGCCCCAGAGGAAGAAAGACAAAATGTTTTTGCTACAGGCTATAAATGTGTCCAAAAATGTCAATGTGAATGCACTCATGTTCATGTTAAGTTCTAGTAGTTTCTCTGTTATGTTTTCTCTCTCTCTCTCGTCATGTTATATGGTGGGCATAATAACTGAACTGACTAACGCTCAGTACCCTCAGGTATCAGTTACAGGGAGTTTCTAAATAACGCCAGCATGCACAAGTATTTTAGAACAAATAAAGAAGTAAAAACTCATTATCACCAAAAATATTCACTGAAGAAAAGAGAGAGAGAGACCGAGATAAAAGCTCATTATAGTGGTACACTGAAAGGTGTTATCAGCTCAAATAATTATGTTTATTAGATAGTAACATGTCAGAGTCATGTATGACTTTCCTGTCCGAAATACTGACCTTTATTTTTTTCTATTTTAGAAAATATTGGTTCATATTCATCAGTATTGTTTGTCATTTTCCAGAATCATTAGATGGTCAGATTTTATCAACTGCATCAAAAAGGTGTTTTCTATCTGCCTTCGGTCAAACTGTTTCCTCATAATCTGCACCGGCAATAGAAAACAGAGACCACTCGACTTCCACTAAAAATTCATAATTCTGCAAGGTGAGAGGGCCCAGCTTCGAGGAGGGGAACCTCAATGTCTTTTATGAGCGTCATATGAATGATGGCACTTAACCAGAGGTACCAGAAAATGCAAAAATAACTGTATGACGAATCAGTGTGTAAAAATGCACAAAAATACAAGATAAAAGGTGTTTGATAATCAGAAGAAGGGCACCACCTCAGCCTCACTTTGAGCTATAAAACCCTGTAGTTACAGCGTGATGATCACAATCAGATTCACGATACACCATCTTTTCTTAAGTGGGTCAATGAGATTGTGTCTGTCTGTCCCTTCTCCTCTACTTCATCACTCAGTTATCTATCTGAGTGTTGGAACTTCTGCCTTTTCTGCCTGATGTCTTCAAAATCAGGAGCATTAGGCTGCTGGGACACCCTTACAAAACACACACACTGTACAGTGAAAACAAACCATTCCCAGAAAAGCAACCTTTTACTGGAAAACAGAAAAACAGTCAAAACACACACATTGGAGGGAGCCAATCAGGCGGGCACGCTGCTAACAGTGGGAGGATTTCCTGCCTCTCTCCATGCAGACTTCCTGTGCTAATAATCAGAGGAAGTTTCCTGCCTGCAGCTTGATCCCGCTGCATTGATACAGAGAGCCGAGCAGCGACTAAAAGTTAATGTCAACGAGATAAACAAGGCCTCAGTCCAGAGCTTTCACTGCAGAGTGCTCAGAAACATCAGCAGCTGCAACGTCCTGGTAGTAAACATCTAAAAAACACGAACACAAGCAAGAACTTCTTTTTCATGAAGAGCGTAAAATTATTTTATTCTTAATTAGCAGCGGTAGTAAGATAAGGCTTTAAACTAGAGAACTTACCCTCCTTTAAATCACTGAAACTAAATCTTAAAGAGATTGCTGTGAGTCCTTAAAATCAGCTTGTGACGTTAGTCTACTGACTTTTGCTTGACTCAAAGGAACCGTGAACAAAAAAGCTCAAAACAGCCGCTATGAAACACATTTCTTTCTGGAGTTAAAGTAAAGTTTATAACTGATAACTTAAAGAATCAAACTGCAAACTTAGGCTTGGGTTACTTGAGTAGAAAAGAAGGTAAAAGGCACTTGATTAGAAGAAAAGTCAAAACAGAAAAACTCCTTCCGAGCAGATTCTCACCTGGACGTTTTCCTCTGTGACTTCAATCTCAGCTGTGTAAATGTAGTCGACCAGTTTCCTCAGTGTCTCTCCATCTACCTCTCTGATCTCCACCTGATGAGCCTTACTCTCACTCATATCACCTACAAAACACACACACACATAAAGAATGGCAAATAAACATCGAACGAAGCGCCACGGAAAACAGCTGTATGTGTGTGTGTGTCCCTGAGTGTGTGTTACCTGTAAACATGGCACAGAAGTATGGGCTGCACGACGCCAGCACCACTCTGTGAGCTGGCACTTCAACGTTCCCCGCCACCAGCTGAACGTCACAGAGCATCTTTTTACTGAGGTATGAGACAGAGTAACAGAGGGAATTATGATCAGTATTTATTCATGTGTTTGTGGTGAAACTTTTGATAACACTGCTGTGTTCTAGAGACCGACTGATATGGATTTTTGGAGGCCGTTGCCAATACCGATTATTGGGAGGAAAAAAAATCATAATACCGATTAATTGGCCGATTTTTAGATTTTTTTAATGAAGTTAAAAAATATATATATACCGTAGATATCTACAGTATACTATGTCCTGTATATATACTGTAGGTTACTGCTCTTCATGCTGACAGGAAGACCGACTGATCAAACTCGGACCAGAAAAGCGTTTTCAACTACCCCCGCGTCTTAACTCACGTTACACATTTCCGGTCCGGTCTCATCTGGAGACATGCAGCTGCCTCAGTAAGAGAAGTAGCTCGACCACGTAATGTGTACTGTTGTTTATTCTACCGTTACTGACACGGCTAACAGTGTAGCAAGGCAAGCAGGTGGCTAACTCTAACTTTAGCTTGCATATGACATGGTGCTTCACTGTTAACTCAGCGTGACCGAGACCAGCACAGCGGGGAACATCGTGAAGTGGGTTGAACTGAAACTTGTTCACTTATTGTGTATTTCACAAACTGGTTTATTTACCGTTGAGGCGGACCACTCTCCTCCGTGCGTCCCTGAGCTGCCTGCTTCCACCACTCACTCTCACAGGATAAGTTGGGGAACTTTTCAAATGGCAGAACATTTTCGAAATGAAACCGAATCTTTTTCTCCGCATTTTATTTCTGAAAATATCTGCGAAAATCGGCGAGTTCTTGCCGATTACCGATTATTCTCAAACAGGCTAAAACTGGCCGATTTAATCAGCTCGACAATAAATCGGTCGGGCCCTCCTGTGTTCAAATCAAGAAAAGATCAGGGGGAGGGAGGCGTCTTTAAAGCCGAGTATGGACAGGACAAGAAAAAGTGCCGGTAAAGGTGTTAATGTTCAGGAGTTAACAGTAAGGATGCTTTGTAAAATACAGACTTGATGCATTTGGTGCTTTTAGAGCTCATTATGAGACAGAGAGGATGGTAAAATGGACTGACTGGAGAAAAAGAAAAACTATCGAGCTTTCTCAGACTAAAAACTCTGTGTGTTATCCCCTTTAACCCATTATTTCACACACACGCTGACTCCCAGGAAATGTTGGTTTACTGTCCACAAAAAGTGTCTTCCAGCCTTAAAAGCCTCAACTTAAGAACTGATCTTACATGTTATTGCACCTTCCAAATAAACCAGGTTTTCTCCCTCACTGCACGTATCACTAAATTGGTTATTACAGATCATTTCCACCATCATCCTCTTTCTGAGTTTGTTGATGCCAGCGTTTAAGGTGAAAGCTGTATCTGCAGCAAACGTCAGCAGTCGAGGCTCACCTCCTCAGGTCGTTCATGAGCTGAAAAGCTTTCCTCATGTGCGTCTGGTTGAAGGTGAGCATCCCTCCATTTACCATGTCCTCCTCTGAATCCATGGTGCAGTTTGGACGTGGCGAGGCCGGTGTGGCCACCAGACTGAGGGGAAATGAGAGAAAGAGTCAGAAAGGCTCATTTTAAGTGTTGTGGGAAAAAAAACTCTTATGTGCCTCTTTCATCATGGTTTTATTTGTCGTATCATAACACAACATTATTTTTAAGCTAACGCCCAGGCCCTGCCTCAAATCAGTCCCTCTCCAGTCCACTGCAGCGCACATGCTGAAGTCACACATTCAAAACTTGTGAGTTACACCATGAGACACTCATCGGTGTCGACTCACTGTTAGAGGGTCCAACAATCCTCACTCACTCTACATTCAGTGTGGCAGAAGTGTGTAGGCAGAGGGTAAGGGGGGAGATTTAGAAAGGTCGTCACTGAGTCTCCACAGAGGGTCTGCCTGTAGGCCTCACTGTGTGTCTGTGTTAGCTATTTTTGAACCCTTGTGTGACGCCACAGACCCATCATCCTTTAATAATCCCAGGTTCTTCACGCTAATCTACTTTGGTTGTAACAGAATTTAGCTGCTGTTGCTCACCACAAACACCACGGCCAGCTTTTTGAATTCGTGTCGACCCACTGAGGGTTTTGCCAAGTCAAACACGTCATACCATTTCACATCCTCATCGCTCAGCTTCGAACAAAAGGATCTACAGGGGGGGCTTATTTCCAGGTCTGTAGCTGACAAATGTTTTCCCGATTTCAAATGATTGTTAGTCCTGAAGATGTGGAGCCCGTTAAGTATGACATGTTTGTTTGTCCCAAACAACATTTTCAAAGACAACTGAAGAACATGATTTTTTAACAAGGTTGTGGTTCAAACTCTTTGTTAAAGAATATTAAAGATAAAGGAATCACATTTTAAACACTGGACTGGGGAATTAGAAGATTGGTTAATCCCACTTACTTATCCCTTTAAAAACATGCTGCAAACTAGGGCTGGACGATATGGGAAAAAGTTTATCACGATATATATTTTCTATCAGTCGATATCGATATATATCACAATATAAAAAATGAAATTTAACAGTGCTTATTGGTTGCATGTCTTTTGCAATACAATAAGCTTCGGCATCTGTGAGGTCTTCGTGTTTCTTTGATGTTTTGTCGTAAGGCGTTGCGCTCGAGAAAGCGGACTGCATGGTTGTCTGTTTCGGCTGCACAGGCGCCATGGGCTCCTTGCTCTGCTCAGGGTTTGTAACCTTTTGTGCTCTGCTGCGTGGCACTGCTTCAGGTGGTGAAAAAGATTTGAGGTATTCCCAGACTTTGCGAGAACATGTACTTGACATAATTTGCAGTGCACATTGGTCTGCTTCATGTCCGACCTAAAAAAAACAAAAATTCCTCCACACCACCGACATTTTCGTGCCAGTCTTGTCAACAATGTCGTCATCTGTGGAGCCTTCATCTGCATGTCTGTCTGTTGGTAGCTCTCATTTTCTTTTTTCTCACCGACAGTGCTGTCAGGTTCACATGTTAAAGTGCTATGATTGCGTGTAGCTGCAGCCTGCTATGACACAGATGTTTGCTACTTGGTTCTAATTCGGCAAATGATTGGTTCAGCGTGAAGCAGACCCGGAGCAACTCCCCCTTTCATTGGCTATTCGTATAGTCTACTAAAACATGGAAGAATGCTGACTATCGAAAAGCATACTGACCATGTTTTATATTGATATTGAGAGAAATTAGTTTTCGATTTATATCGTTGTCATTTTATCGCCCAGCCCTACCTCAAACATTGAAGTATTTAAATTAATACATAAGCCAGTTAAGATTTTGGACAGTGATGATGACAATGGTATAGAGGATTAAGCATTTTAGTCTTTTGACTGGACTTGGACTTTAACTTCAAGGGGATGTACTGACAATAAAAACACAGACTTGCCCTTTAAGACCATCTCAGACAGGCCTACAAATAAAAGAATTTAACAAACAGGTCTCAGCACCCAAAAGCTCACGGTCCAGTTTGAATAAAAAAAAAATACAATACAAGAATACAAAAAAGCTCGTCAGACTTTTCAGCTCACTTCAGCTCTGTTTATTTTCCACCTTTTATACTTATGTGTGCGTTTCAAAGGGCTTTACAAGAGGAGCAGACAGATGAGAGAAAAGATCAGATATCAACACTGAAACACGACAGAGCAGCATTACAAAATGTTATCTGATAAATACAAAGGACAACAACAGGGGTCTGTTGCATTGTCTAATGTCTCACAGCCCCACAGAGGATATAGTCTGAGTCACAGGGGTCACTGGTTTAACTCCCAGCCTTGACCCTTTGCTGTGTCATCCCCCGCTCTCTACTCCTCACATCACCACGTTTCCTGTCCCCCATCAGCAGTCCTATCTAAAGCAAGACAACCCCCTCCCCCCAAGAAATCCCCAAGAAATCCCCATGAAAATAACAGTAATATAGTATCTAAACTCAGTAAAATAGGTCAGATTTAGTAACAATTATATAAAGCTAAATAAAAGTAAAATGGTTCTACATGAACTGACCAAAACATTGACAAAAATTGTGGAATTCAAACCAGATTCAGATCACCCGCTGAGCTTCCACAGCACAGACGGTCACTTTCACAGTTTAGGGGCACAGAGACACAAAGTTCTCAGGCTGTTTTTGGTGTCAGACACAGACATACCACGAGCGGTCAGTGAGCTTGAGCCCGCCGGGAAGGTAGGACTCTGTAGTCAGTGACATCAGCGCATGAAAACACTGGTAGATGTGCAAAGCAGATTTACCGTCACATTAAGGCCAAATTCAAATTTTGATATGCTTTTTTTAAATTTAACATTTTGCTCTAGATCAATGAGTTGCTGCCTTTTTTTGACCCAATACTACGATATCTCTTCAATTTTCTGATTGTGGTTTTGCAAAAATAACTCAATATGCTGTGATTTCATGGTTGAATATATCACTCCCTAGGAAAATTTGAAGCAGAAAAGGTACTAAAGCTGTTTCTCCAGAACGCTGTGAGTCCTGTCAATTGCCACCAACATCCTTGTCGTGTTGGAAGTCACTAAAAATTGCAATTCTTCTGCTAAATAGCAAATCTGAAAACCCAGATCTCTCACTCTGCTTTTCAGATGTACAGCCACACACTCTGATGAAATGACAGCTAAAGAATTAAAACTGTCTGTTCAGACATGAGCAAACCCAAATAAGCAACTTCTAGTAAAAACAAGCCCCAAAAAGCGCACCCGTGACTCACGAGTTTTACGAGTGACTTCTGAGAGAAACAAGCTTAAAGTCTTTTATCATAAGCAGACTTGGCAACTCTAAGGTGTCTACGAATATTTTGCAGATCTAGGATGTACGCACGTGCGTCCAAATGGAAATAAACAACAGTCAGGTTTTCAAAATAAAAGCAACACACTTGTATAGCATGTTGACGATTTGATTGACGGACCTCACAGCGGGCCGGGCAGGGACATCCAAGGGGCCGGATGTGGCCCTCAGGCTGTAATATGCCCAGGTCTGGGTTAGACATTTATTTCCAAAAAAACATTTTTCATTCTTGAAAGTGATTTCAGTCTGTCATAAGTTTTATTAGAATTGTGTTCAGACCAAAAAAGATCATTTTAAATTTGTTTTATACATCAATTGTGGTAGCTATGAGCTACAACATGAGGTCAAAAACCTAACAAAAACGTCCACCATTTTAGCTTACAGGACTAATAAAGTCATAATAGTAGTTCTGGGGTAAGTTGAGCCTTTGGGCCAGGGGTAAGTTGTTTAAGTTATTATTGTATCATATTGATCACAGTGCAATAAATGAATCTTTTATCAGTGCAATAAAACTGGGCTTCACTGTGTAATTATCGGGTTTTCAGATCAGTCCTGTTTATCTACTGCCTTTTACTTGTCTTATCTTTGTGCTTTTAGTGGCTTTTATTTTGATTTTTTTTAATTTAAATACTATTGTTTTGTACCAAAGGGAGCGGCGCTCAAATTTCGTTGTACTGTGTACAATGACAATAAAGGCGATTCTGATTCTAAGCCAGTGGCTCAAGTGAGAACGTAAAGGAGTCTGATGAGAGGATCAGAGTTTCAGTTCAGATTGTTGAAATGTTTTACTTTTTCTTTTCACAAATGCAGCTGTGAATGTTCTGAATCACTTAAAGGCATTCTCATGTTAAAATGGATTTTTACAAAACAGCTTTTTAGCAGTTATATGCAATAATAAGAAAAGAATTATTGTACCAGTTGAATAGCGTATCATAGATAAAAATACACATGAATGTGGAGAAGTGACTGTTATTTTGGGAGAGAGAAGGTGAGGGAGGGCTGGGGTGGAGTGTGTGTGTGTGGGGGGGGGGGGGGATACGGCTCAACTTACCCTGCTTCTATGGTCAACTTACCACTTACACGGGGTAAGTTGACCATAGGAGACCACTTTTTTGGCATGCTATATCATTAAGACAGTTATGTTTACACTCATTCTGTTGGTTTACGGGGATGCACAACATCTTGAAATACATACAGATACACTAGTTAGAGACAAAACTATAGTTGTCTTGATGTAGTGATCTGAAATATTAAAAATGTCTCATCTTACCCCACTCTCCCCTATCAGGATGCATCACTATCAAGGCACTGATGGTAATTCAATAGAAAATGTGAAAAAAAAATCTTGTTAACACACAGCCAGTAACATTTACAGAAAACTTCTCTTCTGTCTAGAGAAATGTCAATAAGGTTCCAACTCTAGTTTGTGTTTTTGAGTTTGTTTCACGGCAGGTTGGCTAGCTCTTAGCATCGCTAATCATTCCACTTCACAGCTACTCAGAGCTTTTGACCTGACAGCCGTTAATCGTTGTCCAAATACAAGTGTGTCATTTTGAAGTCCAGTCTGTCCTCAGTAGACTATTTGTTAGCTGCACCTTGATGAAAACCCCTAAATATCAACTCTTGATGACTTGGAGTTTGTTTAACTGCCTCAGCTGTTCAGCCACAGATGCTAGCTTAACTCACCAAAGCTAACTAGTCAAGAGGGCTAGCCTATGATGCTAACAGAGAGCTGTTCGGCTATCTGTGTTGGGTTTACAACTGGTGGATCATGTGTGGTCAAATGTTACCCAACAGATGTAGAAGCAGCGTGAATCACAGCTTTACAGAGTAATCCCCCACCACTGCTGAGCCAACTCACCCCAACGACACACCGTCCATCCTCACGGAGTCAGACTCCACAGCAGGCATGAGCGCTTAACAGCCAGGCACACGAAGATCGTCTATTCACAAGATGGATCACTCTGGCGTTTGAAAGATGTGTATGCAAGAAACAAACACCCGAAAGTGGGGGAAATAGATCAAATATAAATCTACTCACATTACTTAAAAAAATGAACAACTTTGATGGAGGCTACATGGACAATTTTCTTTTCTTCTCTGTGAATGACACCATTTTTTGTGTTTGTTTGATTTTATTTATATTTTTCTTTAAATGACCGTATGTCTTGTTTCTGTTATGTTTACAAAATGCAAATTAAATTTTATGTTATAAAAAAAGAAAAAAAAGAAAAAGGAAAAGAAGAATTATTTAGAGGGCACTGTGTGTACGTTTCTTCCACGTGATTTCCATACAATGAGCACCAGAGATTGGCATTGTGCTGTGTTTGATCAACTACAAATGCATTGAAATCAATCATTGGTCTTTGGATCACTGTGATTGGATATTGTTTTGCATATTATTTTGCATTGTTACCTCCGCCAAGGAGGTTATGTTTTTGGTAGTGTTTGTTTGTTTGTTTGTCTGTGAACAACTTTACGGAGAAAGTTACAGACGGATTGACCTGAAATTTTCACCAGAGGTGCGTCTCAGCCCCAGGAGGATCCCATTACATTTTGGTGGTGATCTGGATCACCTTCTGGATCCAGGATTTTTTTGAAGTATTCTTTATTATTGTGAGATAGGGCAAATTTTGGAATTTTTGCATTCAACTCTATAAAAATGGGCAGTCTTTAGTAAAAAATTGCACCAAAGGATCTCAATGAGTTTTATGAGGTGTCAAAGGTTGATCCTGATCCAGACAAAATTCCGGATACTGCGATCCAGAACACACAAAAATAAGAGTGTTGGAATTTTCACTGCTAAAAGATAACCAATGAAGATACAAGGAAGTGTACGCTTACAAATATTGCATAATAAATCATGCATTTATGTATCTAATATGAGCTTTGTTGTTTTAGGAACATTATGAACAGTGAAGATACCAGTCGGTTTAAACACAAATAAAAGTTAATAAAAGACACGTAACAGTAAAAGTTTTGGTGTGAATCACAATATAATGGGGGACATGAGCTGCTTGGGGGAGGTCTGCGCTCTCCGAGTGCTTTTCTATTTGACTGATTTGTTTCATTCCTTTTTTTTTTTTTTAATTTTAATTTTCCTGATGTTGTGTCCTCCCTGTGGGAAAATAACATACTTCCATTTTGCATGTATTTTCCTGTAACCATGGATATCTGAACATTTAAGGGATACATTTTAATCAAATCATGAAAATGAAAGTGACTTTGTAATAGATTGTTTTTTTTATTAAATCAGGATGTATTTGCATTTTTTTTCTTTCATCAGTGACTCTACTAACTTACTCCTAACTACCAAAATAGTAGACATCTTCCAGATTTCCCAGTTTTGAAGGTTTTATCTGTGACCGTCTCATACTTTATGGTAAAACAGGTCCGACTCTAAGATATCCAGGAGAATAATTAGCATAATGGGAGATAAGAAAATCGAAACAACGAAGAGTAAGGCCTTTAGACCAATGTAGTGGCACAAAAAAATCCACAAAGGATTACCTAGCTTTTGTTGAATTATTTAACAGTTATTGATCATTACTAACCTGTAGCAGTCTGGACAAGGCAAACCATAGACCATTTGGGAACTAAAAAGGCTGATATAAATTTATGTTAATTGGATTTCAGTTGTTTGCCTGTATCTTTACGCAGTTTGCACCCCTAAAGTGAAGTACGAATTAAGACTGTCACTGCACTGTGGCTAATTTTGGAGGTATGTTTTTCATTAGGCAACAACACTATATTGTGATAATTTTAAAGGTGAAAGGCTTCACTAGTGTTTTTAGTTTCTTTGTTAAAGGGAAAGTAAACACACAGCACAGATGAGGCCAAATGGTACATTTTTATCCCCAAACGCACCCAAAAAGGTAAGTCTGGTCAGGATCCTGGGGCCATAACAGTGAAGTCTTTATCTTTTCTCAATAGAATTATAACTGCATTTTTGCACTCTTTGTCTGTGATGCTGCTGTGACAAAAAAAATTCCCCCATGGGGGATCAATAAAGGAATATTCTATTCTATATTCTATTCTAGATGCTGCAATGCAAAATAAAAGATGAACTTACACTGTCTGCTAAATTAATTGTTTAGTTGCAGGGATATCATTCCCATAAGCTGGTAAGATAGCAATATTTAATTCCATTGTTTGCATATTTCTGTTGTGTCAAATAATGTTTTTCTGATGATGATGGTGTATAGTTGAGGAGGCCCCAAATGTTGATCCAGCAGTGACAGTACACATAATCCTGACCTCTCAGATTGTCTAGGAGTGTTTCCTTTCAAAAGTGAAAAAAATAACAGATGACACAGTTACAAGGCCACTCAAATGCATCAAACATTTAATTTTGTACACAAAACTATAAAAATATAGTTGTATGACGCATTGCAATGCAGTGAATCTATCCTCTAATTATAATGCAGTTTTTGGTTTATTAACAAAAAACGTCTCCATTAAGAAAGACAAACTTTTTATGTATTTCAGGCTTATTCTTTCATTTCTATAACATAGAGGGGTTGTGCAATTTTTGCACCCAAAATTAGTGTCAGAGTGAGAGCTCTTGCTTATGTTCCATCCTCATCACTACCAGCGTATCTACCCTTTCCAACGAAAACCAAGCGGTGTTAAAACAGCCCTCATTTTATCACTTCTTTGAGATTTTGTTTGACACTATGAAGCTTTATCTGTTCGTGGCCTCCCTAATATTATCGGGATTAAGCAGATTAATTGGTAGAACAAAAGGTAGGGAAGAACGTGGATGAATGTATGAGACCAAGTGGGGAGGATATCAGCCTTCTTTAAAAAAAAAAAAAAAACATTCAGTTTTTCTTATCAAACGAAGCACTGTTAATTTTCGTAATGCTCACTCACTATCAGGTTTTTCCACCCGGTTATTCTTGGCCGGTATAAAATGGCTGATCAACTGGAAACGATGGATTTTGTATGCAACACTGCTCCCTGGTGGTTGATTGGGGAATCAGACCACAGTGTGGTTACTAACCGCAGGTAGGCTAAACCTGAAGATATGAAACAATACTGCGAGATAAGATAGACTTTTCGAAACATTAAAAACTTTAATAAAAGCAGAATAACACATAGGGGTGAACTGAACACTTCAATTTAACTGTTTTTAATCCAAAATAAAAAAGAGAGTAATGGGACGGGAATAAATGATTACAGGTAATAAAACAGGTCGGGACAGTTCGTCAAAAATACTTTGTCACGTTAACAGATCAAGACACTCATGTTGTTTAGTCCCACGCTGCCCAACTCTGCCACCAACTTCACTTAAAACCCTGAGTTCATGATGAAAGAAATAGAACAGACAAATGTGTCTGGTTAGCAAGACAAACTCTGAGAAAAGCAGTGGCTGACATTTTACAAATGTTTCAAAACAAGTCCATCCCGAACATAACAAAAGTACAATACAGTAATTCACAATTCTTAGCAATAAAGTCCATAATATGTGGAATAAGAGGACAGATGGAGACCGAACGGGGGGCAGGGGTCCCAGGGGGGACAGTCTCATTCATTCTGCGTGGGTGATGGGCTCTGTTCCCTTTAACTGAACAACAAAGACCCCTCACCCCCACCTGGGCATGTGTGTTAACGTGTGTGCATTCAAGTTCGTTGAAATCAGAAAAATTCCCCATGATCATTTCAAAAAAATTTAAAGGCGGATCTAATAGCCGCCGCCATACCCACCACCTCCACCCCCCCTGCCGTAGCCACCTGCGCCGCCTCTGTTATATGGAGCCCCGCTCCTGTAGGAGTAGTTGCCCCCCTTTACTGCACCATAATTCGATTGCTGCTGTCCGTAGCCGTCCCCAAAGTCCCCATTGCTGTACCCGCCACCCATCTGGTTGTCGTAGTCGTCGTATCCCCCATAACCCCCGTATCCACCGCCACCTCCTCCGCCTCCGTTGTAACCCCCGCCGTAGCCGTAGCCTCCTCCGTAGTTGCCGCCGTAGCCTCCCCCGTAGCCACCACCTCTTCCGCCGCCATAGTTCTGCATCCCTCTCCCTCGACCCCTGCCTCCTCCTCTTCCTCCGCCGGTAGTCATCTCTTGTTTGGTCAGAGCTTTCTTCACCTCCACCTTGTTCCCGTTGATGGTGTGGTATTTGGTCAGCACCGCTTTGGTGGCGGAGTCGGTGTCCTCGAAGAAGACAAAGCCGAAGCCTCTCTTTCTGCCGGTCTGCTTGTCGGAGATGATCTCGGCCTTCTCCACCGCGCCGAACTGGCAGAAGTACTCGGTCAGGTTCTCCGCCTCGATGTGGTCTTTCACACCGCCGACGAAGATTTTCTTCACGTTGGCCACGATGTCCGGGTTCTGAGCATCCTCTCGCGCAATGGCCATTTTCAACTCCACGCTTTTGCCGTCAACGACATGTGGCTTAGCCGCCATTGCTGCGTCGGCCTCCTCCGGTGTCGCGTAGGTGATGAAGCCGAAACAGCGGGACCGTCCCAGTTGCTGGTTCTGGACCACAACACAATCTTGGAGGGTTCCGAACTGTTCGAAATGCGCGCGGAGGCCATCATCAGTGGTCTCCACGTTCAGCCCCCCGACGAAGAGCTTGCACAGTTTCGTCGACATGATTCAATTTCTTCAAGGAGGAGGGCACACCGAGACCGTCCCTCTTCTTCTTCAATGAACAACGTTAGGGCGGGCCGTGTGACACGCTTGCGTCGTAAGACGTGGCAGTCGCCTATTGGACAACTTGAAAAAAATCACACCCCCGGTCTGTCTTTAGCGAATCGCGTCGCTGCTGCCTTCGAATGCTGTCGGAAATCCTAGAATTTAACAGTTGGTGAGACCGGGGAGCGAATGTATGGCGGTTTCGCGCGTTAAAGATGTTAACTTGGTGATATCAAAGTGCTCATCTTCACAATAAAAACAACCGAAACCTCTTACACGCGTCTTTAGAAGTAACCCCTTCATCATTTTAACGCTTATGTGGAGTTGTAAGCCCATCATGCTTCTGTTTGTGTTTTGACCTTGTGTTCTTTGAATACACCAGAAACGTTAATTCGATGAGGGTTTGAACTGAATATAGATAGGCCTCGGTGTACGCTCCTCCTTGGACATGAAACAGGCGGAAACATATGCCCGTAAAACGAAACCTGACAATATCTTTGGTGTTATACGTGCGGTTCCCTAAAAAAAAAAAAAAAAAACTCCCCGAGGTATCCACTGAGCTTCTCTAACAATTGTTTAAGGTGAAACATCGACGAAATATTTTAGCGCGCAAAGGCGTCGAGGTTCTGTCCACTGGTTATTTAACAGCATTATGTCTTCAGAGAAGAGGAACTGGTCACACTGGTCTTACACAAACTGGATCACAGTGAAAGGAAATACCAAAGCCTGTAACCATTCAAACGGTATTGTTTCTGAATCATAACCCATAACCATGGAGACCATGTCCTCAGAGCACCACAATAAGAATCAAAATTAGCTTTATTGGCCAAATATGTGTGCACATATATTCTGGTAAAAACTTGGCCCTCTATAAACACTAATAAAAAGTGTTCCAAAAAATTAGTGGTTGGCATCTTTAATAATTTACTTAGGGGTGTTTAAAATGTGCATCTCTGAAGTCACATCAGGGTATTTCTGTTTAAAAAAAATCTGGAATAAAGCAGTAATCACAGTTCTCGACACCTTACTATTTAATTCTTGAGTAATAATTTAGATTACATGCCTGTTGATGAACACGTTGTGGTGGGTGAAACTACTCTGCTTCTCCCCCAATCTGACAAAAAGACAAAGGCTCTCAATATGCCTTTCCAATGAATCATTAAGGTGTCAACTTGAGGACCAAGAAGTTGATAAAGAAACTCATCATATGAGGTCAAAACAAAATGGCTTCTCACACCATCACGGCAATGTTAGGATAGACAAGGATCCAGGGAAGCTGGAGAATAGATTGAGAATACCATCCTTTTATTTGTCTTTTCCTACTTGAGCTGGGCTCATTTCCACAAATGCAAGTTAAAATTGTTGAATAATTGTTATTTCAAAGGGAGAGTGCCCCAGGAACAGGACTGCCTTTAATATGAAAGACACCAAATTTTATGCAACTAATGGATTCACACCCCAGACATAATCGGATGGTTTCCTGGATTATTTACCATCATCCTACCATTATTTATATCAACACTGTTCTCCTTCTCGGGGACCCCTGTTCTTGTTAATGTATCTCAGACAGCAGACTGAACTTTGGCCAGAATTACAGCCCAATGGCGACAATGAAAAAACTCTCGACAAGCTACAAACTAGGACTATTTATCAAGCTGTGAGACAAGAGCTGCTAGTTATGACTCAAATATATTCCTCCTGTTATTTAAGTGGAGGTATTATTGCAGGATCTGAGCAGCTGGACTTGGTGTTAGGATTGCAAGATAGAGAAAAGATTTCTGGATCACCTTCCTTTGTTTCCAATGCACAAGCAATGGAGAAATTAGCCCAAAAAAGTGTGTTTAACACTCCCACTGAAAGTCTGCTCTCCTCCATGGAGAAACCAGTTCCTGGTCCTTGAAATGACTTCCACAGTCAACAATACTGGGCCACTTTCAACCTCTTTTCCCTGACTCTTTCCCACATTCCCACTCAGTCCACGTTCCTCCTCTATAAACACCTCCCTTCAGCATCCAGGGCCTATCAATCCTTGGATGTGGGACCATGGCCCTTGAAGAAAAACTCCCCAAACACCTTAAAGATTTTATCGATCTGGCCTCCTTTTCAGATCTGTAAAAAGTCAGATATTGCTTTTATCCTTCATACTTACATATCTGATGAACCTTTGGTTGATAAGGGAGGTGTTATGATTTGAATCCCACCTCTCCTATACACAACCCCCTATTGAGAATCACGCCGATGTTTTTTTTTGTGGTCGGTAAACCACCCAGGGCTTCTTGATTTACCAACGCTCAGTTTTTCGTTTGGATTGAGAAACCCACCCGCTTTGGCAGCTCCTGATATAAACAACTGTGTGCACGTAACAGTTCTTAAAATACACAAGGTTTTCAGTAGTTCATATTACAAACTGACTCTTGACCCACATTTAGCAAACGTTCTGTTGACCCTCAACAGGTTTGACAAAGGAACGCTTGTATCCACATTTTCAATTTACATAAAACCACTGTAAAGAAGTACCATAACAAGAGCTTTTGTGTATAAAAATAGATATTTATTTAAAAAGGTTCAAAGTAACAGCAGCTCCCTTTGATTCCTGTGAAGTCATCATAAATTGAACCACCATTTTCCTAGAGGTAAGAAGAAATTAGAGCAGTTTTAAACTTCTGTCATGTACATGTAACATCTCACATCCCGATTGTAATGCCAACCTTCATTTATGCTTGAATTGGTGACAGGGTTGTGAATACTGCCTCACAGTTGAAACCATTTCTGTGGTGAATTACTGCAGCATCAGTCACTCTTAATTCTTATTCACGTGGCATCACGACTATTTGCGTTTACTTGCATCATGTAAACAGAGCACTTAATATGAAACAGACTCCTGCTGTAATGTGAAGCTAAAGTTCATCTTAGAGTGGATCAGCTCAACTGTATGGGTGGTTAACTGTAGTGGAGGCTTGACTCTTCCTCAGCCTTGAAGATTGTGGTTATTTCAATTAGCCAAAGGCAAAGTATATTCAAATACATCTCAAACAGTGCCTCTAAAGCCAATATTCACCACATCTTCTTGAAATGTTCAAAACAAATAGCCAGGATCAAACATTGAGAAACAAAAGAACACATTTTTTTGATTTTCAATTCCTTAAGCAAAAAGTGCTGACTCTGCTCCCATGGTAACAAGGTAAGTGATATATATAGTGTAATACAGAGACAAAGATGTCCCTGCAAGTCACTGTGATAGTAAAACCAGAAATTAATTACGCTCTCCGGACAACATGTGTACTTAAATAGCACTTGCAGCAGAAAGATGAAACAGGATTTGGTCTTTTAGGCTCACAGGGTACTGAGGTCTGAATGGACTGAACATTGGGAACTCTGGCACAGTGCTATCAAAAATCACAATTTAACCATGTTCAGTCTGGCCTTTGTACAAGACTTCACCTGAGAGGAAGCGCCACCTCTGTCCAGTCTTGCCCGTCTGCATGGAGACAAACACCCCATCACTTTGAGGGTGATGTCCTTGTGCACAGGTTACCATAGCAACCTGGAGGAGATGGGAGAGAAAAGAGAATGAGAAAATGGACACAGCAAGCTTCCCAGGATGAGACACCAATTAATTGTTCCATGATTTCATTTAATGCTGGAACAAAATTTGGGTTCCCGTCCACCCACTTAAAACTAAATTAAAGTCCGAATTCAGTAACCCCCCTTTTTTGGTTTTATTTTAATATTAGCTAAATAAAGTCTTTGAGCTTTTATTAAGGTGGCAGATAAGTTGTTAAATATTAAATAATGGCTTACTTGTGCGCCATCTAATGAAGATTTACCATACATAGTTGACCAACACAGAGTGAAGACAGGTTGATTTACATACCTAGTTTGCTGGGAGTGGATATCCTAAAGAGATATTTCAGACTCCTATCACAATCGACCCCAGGTAATCAACAGGGTCCTGATGTAGCCTACAAACAAACTGCTACGGCTATATTGGCTGGGATAGCCTACAGGAATACGAGTAAGAACACCTAAATGTAGGAATAATCAAAGGTAAATAACAGAGCCCTCAATTCCACATATATGTATTCAAATATGTAAAAAAAATAATTATAAGTAGTTAGCAATGATAATTTCAAAGCATGGTCAAACCCTACAAAGCCTACATGCATTGGCTGTGGGTAGACTACATCCATTCATTGCACCCACCTGGCAGTAAGGGAATTAACTGTGGTAAAGTTGCCTTGACACTAAAGATCAAGATGATGTCTTATAAAACCTGTGAATAAACTTAAGGAAGCCTGGTTAAATAAGTAAAATAACTAAGCTAAGTGGTATAACGTTTTATTTAAAATGAACATACATAAGCATACCAAAGTGTTTTAACAGTAGGTTTTGTTCTCAAGACATAAAAGTATACAATATACATGAGATATTGCTACAGGTATTGAGAAATGAACAATAATTAGGTTGAAACTAGAACTACCCATTAGAAGAGATTTCTGAACAGTTTAGGGAAAGAAACAGGGAAGATGGATCCTGCAGTGTCACGAGTCCGCCTTTTTTTCTGAATGGCCCAGGTAGATAATTATACAAATGTCTGTAATCATGACAGCTAATCATAAAAAAAACACAAAACATGCTTACTCATCCTCATACATCAAATCACACTAAATTTACTTCAGATAACAAACTAATTAAAATGCAAATATTAGGATACCTGTCGGCAAAACAATCCTACAACAAGTGTGAACGCAAATAAAAAATAAAAAAAATATTCAGGTCTTAACGACGACTACATCATAAAGAATCACTGCTTTATAATCCGTCTGAACGAGTCCTAGTTGAACGGCAACACAGCTGCTCGTTATAATCAGGCTTTCTGGGAAGTGACCTTCCTACCTGTGAGGGCTTTTGAGGTCTTCATTATGAATAGAGGGGGTCTCTGTGTCCGTGTCTGCCGGTGGGGGTTTTGACGGCAGACGCTCCTGAACTGAATTTGTGATTTTGCGGAGGTAACCAATGGCAGGGGGGTCGTGGGCTGGTGTGATTTTCCATCGTGCAGTTTCACTTAATAGCCGCCTCCGTAGCCCCCCCTGGGGTAGCCACCACCGCCGCCGCCGCCTCTGGAGTAGGGAGCGGCGCTTCTCTGGCCTCCGAAAGGTGGGCCTTTCATTGGGCCATAACCAGACGAATGCTGGCCATAACCGCTGCCGAACTCATTGTAGCCGTTTCCACCACCATACCCGCTGCCCTGGTCTCCGTAGCCACCTCCGTAGGGCCCACCGTAACCTCCATAGCCGCCACAGTTTCCGTAGCCTCCGCCATTTCCGTAGTTGTAGTTTCCCCCATAGTCCCTGCCGCCGTAGCCATTTTGATTTCCCCTCATGCCTCTGCCTCTTCCTCCTCTCGGCGGCATTCCGCCTCTGTTAGCTGCCTGCATTTCCTGCTTTGTCAAAGCTTTCTTTACCTCAACCTTGTGTCCATTGACAGTGTGAAATTTGACCACAACTGCCTTGTCAGCCGCATCGTGGTCAGTGAAGTACACGAAGCCGAATCCCCTCTTCTTTCCGGTCTCCTTCTCTGAGATGACTTCGGCCTTCTCGACCTCGCCGTACTGAGAGAAATAGTCACTCAGATGGTGCTCTTCGATGTCATCCTTTAGGCCCCCAACGAAGATTTTCTTCACTTTGGCGAGGGCCTCTGGCTTGTTAGCGTCTTCTCTCGCCACGGCCCGCTTTACCTCAACAACACTGCCGTCGACTGTGTGCGGCTTGGCGTTCACCGCTGCGTCGGCCTCCTCCGGCGTGGAGTAGGTCACAAAGCCGAAACAGCGAGACCGCTGCAGCTGCTTGTTCACCACCACGACGCAGTCGTTCAGGGTCCCGAACTGCTCGAAATACTTTCTCAGGCCATCGTCGTCGGTGTCGACATTAAGACCACCGACAAAAAGTTTGCAAAGCTGGTCACTCATTTTGGAAAAATTGTGAGACGGTTCGGTGATGTCGGCTGTCACTGCGAACAAAGCTCAAGATGGCGGAGATGAAGAACGCAGTTGCGTTTTATAATGATTATACCGTTGACGTCAGACCAGCTCAAATTTCAGTTACACCTCTTCCGGATTCGTCCTTTTGTGTTACTGAAATGTGACCGAAATCCAACAAAAACAGCTAAATGTTAATTAAAACCACATTATAATATTGTTTTAAACAAACACTGATATTTCTCAAATGCGTCCAGTCACGCAATATTATTTCTATTGGTGTAACCGTCATTCGTGCGTGTTTTTTAGTCACGCTACGTGATACTGCATATACCGAATGCAGTTTATCCTTTAATTAAACCATTAGCTAAAGATAAAAAAGACACGTTTTTACATATAACTGAAAACTTCTGTAGGTGTTGCAGACTCGTCTTATTTGTATCCAAATTAATGTTTGTAAACCATAAAATATTGTAAACTACAGGGACAGGTCAGGACATATGGCCAGTTCTTTTGTCAGCTAAGAGCTTATTTTCCATTGTAAATTAAAAAAATAACTATTTTAAAACATTATATGAAAAAGTGGCAGTATAAAAACATTTGCCACTCAACAAGTACCATAACAAAGATAACAATGGCATTAATAGTAAGCATTTTCTGCTTACATTTAGGCTCAAGAGTTAAAAAAAAATACCATTGTTGTATCTAAGCTACAAAATGTAACCTTTTGGGATTGGGAAGAGTATTAGTTTTGGTCTAATTCTTTGCATTAAACTCAAATCGATCTCCCACTGTGTTTTGGAAAAACTAATATCACTTTCAGAAATAATTTACTCAATTTTCTTTTGTTTTATGCTTATCGCAACACACTTTGTCTTTAAAGATGTGTGAAGTCTGATAATCCCATATTTTTTGATTTTTTTCCAATTAACCCAAATTATGGATAAGAAATCTTCCTGACCATTATAGACAGTTATGATGCAGTTTCAAATTAAAGACGTAACACCTGGTTTGTACTTCATGTCAACAGAGCTGCGGCGCATCATAAACATCCACCGCCACACCTCCCATGGCATCTGTTAATGTTGAAACCAGAGATCACAGAGCAAAGCAAGTACAGCAAATAAAGAAACGCTGAAATCAAAGTTCACTGAAATCTTTATGAGACATTTTTCTCATGAAACATTCCCTTTATCTATTCTACCGACAAGAACACACAGGACAGTCTGTGTCTTTACAGATACACTTCCAACTCATTGAAGGACACAAATGAGGCAACTTTTGGTCTGTCAAAAAACAAAAATGGAAGAGGTTATGGACTGATGGTGTAATGTTCACAATTAAGCAGTTACTTGTGCGTTAACTTTCATGGAAGTAAGTTGTCAAGGTTTGTGTATATCCCCTTGTTTTGCCCACATTCCCTGTCCATTCATAATCTTCAGTGGGTTTCCAGTCAGAGATGAGATGTTTTAGATGACCTGTCTTGGTGAGGTTCAGATCCTGCCTCTTTCTGCGTTTCTTGTATGAAGGCTGGCATGTTCATGAAAAAACATACAACATTAAAACAGTATTTGTTCTTTCTCCTGCTGCAAACCCATTGGAGTCTGTGCAAGGAGCATTACCAAACTAATAGAAAAAAAAGAATCGGCACTGCCGTCTGTTATTTTCGAAGAATGAACTCATTGGGTACGTTAACTGATATCAGCTGGGGCTTCATCTCTGAACAGAAGAAGTTCTGTGAAATGTACCGTTTTAGATGAAGAATGAAAGAGAAATGTAAAATTAATGTAGTGAACTGAAAATGATAAACCGCACAAAAAAGGAAGACAATTAGTTTGATACTAAACACATCAAATATGGGTTTCTTCCTTGAGTATTGCCCTCAGTTTCATTAGAGTAGCATTTATACCATAATGAATGTATCAAAGTCTGTGAAACTAACAGCTTCCTCCGTAATTACAAGTTTAACTGAACAACCAGTTAACTTGAGGATGCTATGGACTAGATGGGCGAAGAAAAGACTCAGCTCACACAGCAATCTTTCTTGGAGACTAATCTTGTGTCATGTCTTTTCTGAATCTTTTCCTCAATTTACACGAGGATGATCGATTCCTATCTAATATTTACACTTGAAAAGGAGCCTACTGGATCAAACCGGGCTCTGGTTTCACAGCCAAACGGGGATCAAATGCAAAAAAAAGAGGCAGTTAGAAGGATTCATTCTACACATTCCCCCCCCGAACACAACCACACAAAAACATGGCCAGAAGACAAAGGATGTATACAGCATGCATCAAAGAATGAGATGCTACTTTACGACCAGGAAGCCAGCCATTTTTGTCTGAAAAAGACCAAATCTCTGGTTAAGTCTGGTTAATGGAGCAAGATATCTCGACTTTGACACACCATGTAAGTAAAATGTAAAGAAAAATACCACTAGTAAAAGAAAAAGATCAAAGTAACCTCAACAAGTTTTTATTTGTTGTAGTAAAAACAAATCTCTACCTAGCATTTTTCAGTTCCTCAGCCCTTTTCTAGAGCAAGAGACTGTGAAATAATGATGATGATAGTCCATGTGCTTGAATGGAACAACTTGTTATCTAGCCACATCTAAAAGTCTGAAAGGAGAGGAGTCCAGTTTCTGTGTGAAAATATGGGTGGGGCAAGAGAAGAGACTATCTGCTGTTGATCATGTATTGAGAAGTGTGGGGTTGTGGGTAATGTTTGGTGGGGGGTTGGGGGGGCACTGGATCACAGCTCCACAGGTGGCTCTCTGTTCGGCCTGGTCTGAGATGATGAATAACGGGCCGTATTCAATCATGTTAACGCTCAGACAAGTTATCTGGGTGATCACATGATATAGACTTTCTCAGCCTGGGAGAAGTTGAAGACTTCTTTGGTTCTGGGACACACCACTTTGTCATCTTGGCGGATGGACAGCAGAGACTGTAAGAGATGAGAAATAAAGGAACATAAATTGAAAATTGTTTTTTTTTTTTCTTGCTTCAGTGCTGACAACAGAAAGAGTTCCAGCTTAACCTAATTCATCTTGTCGTGTACTCACATTGTATCCATAGACATATCCATTAGGAAGCATCATTGGAGGGTTGTTTTCATTCATGACCTCCCCAGATATCTTGCAGACTAGTCTGGAGTTGGCGCAGTGGGCCATGGGTAGGGGTTGGGCCAACTTGTTGAGGGATTTACTGCAGACTGGGCAGTCTGGGTTCTTTGAAGTACCATCCTCCTTGTAGCACTGACTGAAACGGATATAATTAAGGAATAAAGAACACCTATCAGGGTGGATTTTGACTAAAATGTAGGAGTTAAGAGAGGAAAGTGAGAAGTTACAGGATCAACACTTCATATGACAGATGTTACACCAGAACAAAAGTGTGGAAGGATACGGTGTCTTGATGGCAGACAGTCCAGCCTGTAGGGTAATAGTGAAGACAGAGTTATTTCCCAGTTGGTGCAGTCTGTAGTTGTCATATCGAAACTGCTGGATCAGCATCTTCCAGCGGGCTGGATCCAAGAGATCCTGATGGGAAACAAATGATGGACACAGACACAGAAGACAGTGAGTTACGTAACATTCAATATTAAACAACAAAAACTGACCCAGACATTTCTAATTCAAAAAGACTGTTTATCCTATCCCACACAAGCTCTGTTTGTTCCCCTCATATACTGGATAACACTGCAAACACTGGAGCAGTGTGAACTCAAACACACAGCCTCATTTTCACATGGTCACACTAGACTTGGCAAACAGACACTGGCCTAGTAGTCACTTCCGTCAGTACATGGTTTCAGGCTTTTCAGTTAAAAATCATTGGTTAGGATATCAAAGCTCTGTGTTTGTTTTCAGCAAACTGTGATTAACGACCCACCCCCCTTCAAACACAGCTGAGTGTGCTGGAAGGGGGGTTTCACTCCAAAGATGTTCCACAAGTGTAACTAGAGTAAATTCTTAACAGTTAAATTTCTTACTCGTTATCACAAGTTAACCTGCACTACATAAAGTGGACTTATACCTTAATGAGAAGTGAAAGAGTGATCGAACAGATGAAGAACTCAAATCTTTAAAAAATAATCATGAATGTGCTGGCAGAGATTAGTTCCTCTTCTGACTTTTTTGCCTCTCTTAGCTGCTTTTTTAGATAAAGTTTTGTTGCATTAGTCTAGCTCATGAGTGAAATCTTAAAAATAACAACTCTCCTGCTGAAAGGAGCCCTCTCCAAGGACAACTTTACAGAGGTATGAGAGAAGTGAGGTATTTTTTGAAAGACAACAAATGCCCTCTAGTGGCCTCAATGTAGCTATAGCACTTTACTGCTTAGAGAGATGGGAATTCCTCAAATAATAGTGTGGTGTAGCTTTTATAAAAATAAACTTGACAATAAAAAAAGTGTTATGCCAATTATTGATTACCTTATGAGTATTAAAACCTTACTTTGGATTATTTTCCTCTTAGAATTTAAACACTGCTTTAATTATTGACACGATTGGCTGGCATGCAAGTTGGATGATCAGTCTGCTTTGTATTATTAACATTTGTCATCAAGACATTTTGAGACAAATACTCTTCAATGATAAAAATCCTGATTAGTCTAATGGCTGAATGTTTTGTATGTGTTTTAAAGGCTCTGACCACAAAGCATCTACACTTCATACGTCTTCAGATTTACCTTGTACGGGGAGATATGTGTATCTGATGGGAAGGCCAGCATGCCCATCACCTGCCGAACCTCATCAAGCTGTCCACCTTCTGCTTGGCTGAAGTGCTTCCTTGCATGTCTGATACACAGAAATACACAGATTTGTATTTACAGTTTAAGTTGGTGTGTTTGATTTACAGTGAAAAAGTAATTGTATATGAGAGTTGTTCGATGTGTAGTACCTGACAGCATCCATGCGTTTGTTTTGTCTGATCAGCTCAATGAACTCCTGGATTCTCAGACTGAACTCAAGGCAGCTCTGCAAAAGAGAAAGATAAGAATGCCAGTGAGAAGCTGAAGCTCTAAAACCTCGTAGAGGATCTTTTCTGCCCCCTGAATGAACCATCAGGGAGGAAACTGATCTGTTCAAAAACAGCTCCTGCCGCACTGGCAGGTTTTTAAGCTGGCATTTGATATTTTATCAGCTTAATGGAACTTTGGGACTTAAAAAAAAAAACAATTATCCACTCAATGTGGCTGGCAGGACTTAAAAAGAAAGACCATTTTGGAACTAAAATGTACCTGGTACTCTTACTGAACTAGAGCCAAAACAAACTGCTCTTAAACATCCTCTCAGAAAAAACTGATTAAAATAGCACCAGCATTTTGAGCCTTTGGGGGAACAGAATAAACAATGGGTCAACATCAAAATAAGGTTAACCCCGAAGGGTTATCATGCCACTGAAAAGATCTGAACTGGGCTCAGGCCTCCAGAGTTTAAGGCTCCTATTTACATGGGGTTGATATCGTCTTAATGACAGACTTAACTTCTCCTGTATGAATGCTCCACAACGAATACTGACGTCAGGGGTAATTCACAAATTACCGGAGGTCCCCAGGTTATACTAATCTTCTGTGGAAAGTGCTTAAGATGATTATCTCAGGATTAACACTCAAACATCTTGCTACTGCTGTAGGGGCAGAATCAACAGGAAGTCCAAATTGACTAATCACAGGTATGTCTCGGAGCACCACCTGTGCTGCAGCTGATTGACCAGAAAGTATTTGTGCAGTTTTGTCCTTCAATCCTTAACTTGAACCCTTGGAGTTTGTTGATGATTTGGTATGGACAGTACAGTAGCTTTATGAGATCTGTCAAGACTATAAGACACTTTGGCTCCAAGAGGCGAAATTTCCAATATCCCGTGAAAGAGTTACCTTCATCTTACGAAGACGAGATTTATTGTCATGGCACCAGGCTAGACAAGTGGCTGTCTCCTGCCTCTCCAGAGACTCCTCCACCTCTTTAGCTGTGAGGAACATCTCAATGTTCACCAGATCCTACCAACAGAGCAGAAAAGAAAGAAATTAAATATGTTTGAGCCACAAAGTCACAGAGTAAATGTGATTTACGATAACTGTGGGTTTTTTACAGGGTCAGTGAGTTCAAGTTTCGCCCTGTTTTCAGAAATTAAGTCCCTATCCATGTGACAGGCTACAGGTCAAAAAACAAATACTTCACTGATCATTACCTCTATACCGCTCTGTCTGGCCAGTTTAACAGCTGTGTTGTAGTAACCACATCGCAGCAGATGTTCCACCATCATGCGGTCCATCCGTTTCTTCTTCCACAGGTTGACTGAGGCTGGCTGGTCGCTGCTGTGCTCCTTCAAGTGCTCGATACGACGCTTACACAACTTGGCACTCTCATCTTCTGCCTGAATGGACTCGGCAGCCTGCAGGTCACACAAGAGAAAGCAGGCATGAACAAAAGGTTGATTAAGCATTGTGTAGTCCAGGGACCCCTCAGCTATCTCCTGTCAATAACATAAGCCCCGAGAGCGAAAGCTAACTTCTCCGTTCTTCTAAGTTTGGTTGGTGCAGAGACGTCTTTATCTGTTTAACCAAGAAAACATCTGTATCTGTATAACTGGAAGTGGCTGTGGTCTCTACCTGAAATCTGCCTGCCAGTCGCAGCTTTTACTGCTACTACTGATACCTCATCCCAAATTATGACGCAGTGACAGACAGCTTAACTGCCGGTGTGAAGCCCGCTGCATGCAAGTAGAGACAAGGTCCACAATGACTCCTAAATAGCTTAGATAGTTGTGGACTAAGTGAAATGACCTTGAATGAAGGCTTTTTTTAGTGAAGAAATCAAACACATCCTGCTAAAATGACCGTTTCTCTTTTTTTTTGTGCACATTGCCGGGATATGACTACAGCATCAGTGAATGAATCCAGCAGAGGAGGATGCAGCTGCAGGGCCTCAGGCAGCACAGGCTGCATCAATTAAGCTCAACCATAAAAATTAACGATAATGAGCAAATCTATACTTAAAATATATCTGTGTCCATCTCATTATCTCAGCCCTTCCAATTCATAGTGGAATTTGGGCCCAACTCCACTGGCAGAGAAGCCGGCAGTTTACGTTGAAGGGTTTCCAGAAATGAATTCCCCTTCGTTTTAATCAATAATTACAGTCCAACTAGCTGCTTTAGAAGCAAGAATGGAGTTACAGTTGAGAGGCAACATGTGGTGCAAATTGTTAGCTGGATTAATTGAAGCCAAATCATCATTAGATTACAGCCAATATTATCCTGGTTTACAGTGCAGCTTCTCTCAGCACTTGACATCATGGCTGCATACAAGACCGGGACTACAAACAGAACCAAGAACAATTCCAGCTGCATTTTTCCTCTAAATCTGAGAACAGAGGATTGTACATTGTGTGAAACGGAACTACTGGAAGTGAACTGGCACAGATTCAGTATCCATACTTCTTCGTTGTTTTATAACATCAAATGCTTGTCATGAATAGGTTTCCAAGAGGGAGGAGCGTTCATGGGATTTTTGTCTTCCTAACAAAGAAAATAAATCAAAAACAATCTGATTTCATTTGCAGTAAATTATCAATGAAGCACTTTTCCAGAGTTGATTAAAAGAGTCTGAAATTATACAGTGCATGGATGCTTTCCTTTGTGCACAAGCCCTTGCACTTGTCATTTCAAATCAGACATATGCAACATGGCCCACATCTACACAAGATTGATTTTAACCCAACTTCTCTTTGTTCATTTCCTTTTCAGGCCTGGGACTAAACCATCAAGATTTTATTTCGAACATTTGGCCCACATTGCCCTGCTTCAGGTGAGAGACTGTGTATGTACTGTAAAGTATGTTCTTGCCTTTATAACAAGAAATCGTATATGTTATCAAATTAAACAAGAAAACTGTTGGGCTAATTGTTGATACACAAGAACAGAAGTGTGGTTTAACTGGAGAACCTGACTGGTAGCATTCCACCCCTAACACAAACAGTCAACAGAGGCAAAAACCATGGCCACATTAAAGTAATGCTGTCAATATTGGGGGTAATGATGTGGTTGTGCTTGCTGGCAGGAACTTTGGTTAGCACTCATACTATCAGCAATCTTTTTAACTAAAAGCAATCAGTGCAAGTTATTCACAAATTTCCAACAATTGTGCTTTGCTCATAGCTTCTCTAAGGGTTTTCATGCACGATGGCGTTCTGTTGGCCTGGTGCAAACTGAGCACAATATTTAATTAATCCCAGACCAGCTGAATTTGTTGTCTGTTCTGGCAGATTTCATGCAGTTCATTTTTTTTGCTAAAACGACTATCCACCTGTGCAGGAGGAGAGCACCCACTGAATGATTTACCCGTTTGAGAGTAGATTTACTCACCAGGAAATATGAGTGTTTGCACACATAGAAAATGACTTCAACTGTGCCAAAAAACCACCTCTGTTGGGTGCCCCTGTATCCCTCACCTTTCTCTTCAAAGCGCTGAGTTTCTCCACCACACCATCCAGCAGTGACACCACAGAGTCCACCACTGGAAAGCTGCTCAGCGTCTTCTCCAGCTCTGCAACAACCATCGTCACGTGACTCGTCTCCCTGTCGATGTTCTTCTGAGCCGCCCTGAAGCGTTTGTTCAGGGTCTCGTAGGGGACCTGCAACCACAATGCCTTGTTAACCTTAGAGTATCAGAAATCCATGGTAAGCGTGCAGCTAAATAGATCTAATGGTGTCACAAATGCTTGAGACAAATGCGAAGACAAATTTATACTATGTTGATAAAGGCTTGCAAATGGTTGAAGGTTGGTACAAAAAATCGCCTGCAGCAACAGTTGGTGTTTAGGTAACTTCGAAGGAAAAAAAATAGTTAGGACAGAGGCGCAGGCTTGTAAAAACTAAAGAAAAAAAAATTGCGGTCGTTTACACAGGCCATTCACAAGTGGCTGATCTACACTGGTCAAAGCAACACAACTGAGACTCAAATAGTCAAAAACAAATTTCTTTCAGTAACTTAGGATGCAACTGTGAAATGAGAAATTATGTATCCTGTGTTTGGACCTCTTTGAGGAAAAAATTCTTACCACAAGTGGTTACTATTGCTGCCATTAGTGCACAGCTTTTTGAGTAAAAATGTGAATAATTAACTTTGAATATCAATCCCATTAATACAGAAAAGTTCTTGTAAACAGTTCCCAAACAACATCTTGTACTTTCATTTTTATTTGATTGGAGTTTTCTGTTATACTAGATTCAAAGACCCAGACCATGGCAAAAGCTCTGAAACAGTAATTGTGTAAATCATTGCTCTTTTATCAATTTAAAGAAACTGTTTCCCAAACTTTGACACCATTAATGCGAAGAATATATCAGGAAAATAAAGACCTTTCATAAACACTATTCTTATCGGAGAAAAGGTGTTTGATGTGAGATCTGAGCTCAGAAACATCTTGAGCTGACAGCACAGTGCCGTCCCACTTAGAAATAAAAAAGGAGATTGGTTCAGATACTCATTTGTTGAAGAGCAACTGCTGTGGCTCATTTTCTTAGATATTACATTAAAAAAATCTGTGAGCTTTGATCCACTGAGATAATCCTTTTTCCTTTAAACAGAGCCAGGTTCACTTCAAAGACCATTAGCATTTCAGAAGAAGATGAAGCTCACAGCCAGTAAATCGAAACAAAGCTGTGGACGTTTTTCTACAGAACTTTGTATGAATTATAAAAATTAAAACCATAACTATTAAATGAAAAATTCAACTCTTAATTTGCCTAATTTGAGCTCAGAACAGGACTCAACGATTAATAGTGCAACAAGACCGTTTGGGTGCTGTTGTAAATAACAGAGTCCAGTTGGCAGTGAGAGGGGGCCCATCCTGCTCAGGAATGTGCATACTACCAAATGAAGAGCAAAACATCGAAACAGCATTAGCTTGATGTTATTCTCCAGTACATTTGTTCCCAGACAGGCCAAGTCAAATTACATTCTGCCACGAGAACACTGTGCAAATCAGTTGTTGGGACAGAGTTGGAGAGCAGATCGACACCATAATTGAGAATTCATCAGATTATAGCTGTAGAAGTCATAAAAGCAGATCATGATGAAAAAAAGAAATGAAAAACATTAACTGTTCATTAAATTTGCATCAGTGTATGCAATCTAACATCTTCCAGCAGACCTCAAAAGCAGAGGGTTTTCAACTTGATTACATTTACCTTTCATTTGAAGAAATTATGATATTAATATGTCTGGTGTGATGAGGGCATGTGGAGGATCATTGCAAATTATTATGCAGATCATGATTTAACTTCTTGCCTTTTCTGTATTTTACTCACTAGATGCACTAAAGCAGAATAAACTGATATTTTGCAAGCCAATTTCAAGATCATTAACATAAGCCTTCACCACAAAAGTTCAGACTTTTTAGGCACTTTCTTTACATAACAGTGTCAAGCAGGGCCTATAGATGATCATATTTAAATAACATGATGATTCTACTCGTCGAAGTTGGTTGGAATATAATATTTTCTGTGTGCAATTAGGTTTATTGGAAAATTGACATGTATGTCAAATATCCTCTTTAGTATCCAGGCTGAGTCTGTGTCTGAGGTTGTCTTTCATGTTTTTTTAGGAGGATGATCCCTGCAAGAGACATCTACAGTCTAATTACAATCTCTATATAACATATAAATAACTACACTGAAAAAAGCTATAAACTACAAGGATAATTTAACATGTCTGGATTATCACTGCTACAAACACTGAATATGAAGACAGTTTTAATATGCAGGATTATGTTATCAGTGAGTGCCTGTCATTTCTTTGTTCAAGTACCTACCAGAAAAATCTCTACACAACCACTGGATTATACTCATAGTCATAAAACAAACCCTCCACAAATATATATTAGGCTTAATGATTTTCTTTTAAACAGATCATCTGACTGAGTAAGGACATAATAATCAACACCTACTGTCTTTGGTGATGAAGATTAGCAGATTCCACTATTAGACAACATTGGGGACATTAAAATTCTGCTCAACATAGCTCCAAATGTAATCAACACTGCTCTTCCCATGTTGTAAACTCCCATTTGATGCCAATTATAACCATCACTGGTCTTGTCTTAAAATGGTGCCCACCATCCTTACTGCAGCATCCAAGCAAAGGCAGACATACCCCCAAACCACAGCCATGCTTTCTCAACGCAGACATGTCTAATCATCGCCAACTACACCAAAACGCCACGCTACATACAACATTACATCATGCCGTTAGGTACCCCCACAAAAGCTGCCAGTATATTGCTACTCACAAACGTGCTTTGATACGACGACACTGTCTTTGCCGTGTGAGGCGGCTGAAACACAGGGAGCAGTCCGGGCTTGTTTCAGCTCGTCTTTTAGCAGTGGTGTCGCAGTAACGTTATGTGGAATGGAGGAACAGTGCGTGTGTGCGGCACCGGGCTGTGATTTCTCTGGCTGGCCATTTTGAAGAGCAGAGAGGCAGCAGCAATGTGATGACACTGCGCTAACTCGCAGGGAGCTGATTGTCTGACAGCGTTACGGCGTTACAGGCTCAACCCCCCCCGTGTTATCAACCACATTTCAGCCAGCACCTATTTGCATGCTCGACGTAACGTGTCTGGTTGGCTACTCGTTTTGAACGACGGTGAATATGGCGAACACTAGGTTTTTGCCACAGAAACTAGCTTGCTAACAGGCCAACCAGCAATTTCTTTTATCGTCATACCTGTTTGATAAAAAACAACAGCAGCGTTTTAATGTTTCATACCGATATCGATGTTTGTAACGACGTTTACATCACCCTGTAACGCTCCAACGGTCAAACAGGTTAGCGACCGTAGCCATGGAAATAGTTCAAACAGATCAACGGTCGTTCCGATACGTCTCGAGACAATTTAATAACGTTCATGCTGCGTTCACTGGCCGTATAGAGCTGCGTTAACTGACATGTCAAAGGTTAATTCTGTCAAAAACAATACGCCTCAACTTGAGCCAGCATCCCTGAGGCCTGCCAGACTTCACCACAATTATCAGAATTCATTAATGCGTTGACAAGGAAATCCATTAACCGACTGCGCTATAATCGGTCAGTCTAGTGGATTTTTGCGCTTGCTTTGTCAAACCCAGCAGGTCGTAAAGTGGACGGATCTACCTGGCTAAGCTGCCCCTGCTAACGTTAGCCTCCCTGACAAGCTCGCTGCTCTCGCGATCACCTGAACTAATAATCTCCATTTCCCCTGCACTATTAAAGTGTACCTCTACTGTGGACACGTGAGTATCAATAGACTACAAATATATGCCACGATTAGTTTTTGTTTACCTTCAGGGTGGGATATTCTTGGACTTTGAGAGCCATGGACAGTTGAGATGCTGTCTCTTGCACCGCCATCTTGGTTTTATGGTTTTCTTGTGGTTGTTTGTGTTTTTTTCTATCAAGTCAGAATGGCCTGGCTGCTCACTACCGCCACCTGGCGAGACGGTGTCGGCATTAACCGTGTGTATGTGGTGCTTTGTTTGACATTATTCGATGTTTTTCTAATCAAATGTGACTCCAGAGGAACACTTTGTTGAAACTAAGTTAAAACAGCGGGTTCATTTACTAACAGTCAATATCAGGTTGCCATAGAAACAATCTCACTAATAGATTGGCCATGTTTTATGACAATTCTGGAGCTTGTTTAAACGTCACATTTTCTACATGAGCAGATTGCTGGAGCAAATCTCCTGTTGCCAATAATTGAAATTATAGGAGTTAAATTTACAGTTTTAAAGTGCACTTCATAGCCTCTGTGAGGAGACTGAATGAATACCAATGCCTCTTGGTAGGGCAGGGCTATATGGACCGAAAGTCATATCCCAATATATTTAGGCTGAATATCGATATATGATATATATCCTGATATTGTTTTCACAAAGTGAGAGCAAATGTTTAGTCACAGTCAAAGCCAAATACAACATGTCACAAGTAGTTCTATTTAAACTGGCCAGATGAAATTATGCCCAGCTGTTCAAAGAACAATAAAATGTAAACATAAATACTGTATAACCACAGGTGTACCTTTTTTTAAAAAAATTGGAGCTCCATAAGGTATACATTTAAATGAAAAATATATCATAAATAAGAATAGCCCATAAATTAAAATAGGCCAATCTTTTTCTGAAATAAATGTATTTATATGGGAAAAGCATCAACATTTTGACAACTATAAATGGCCTATTAAAATCAAATGGCAGATTTTCTTCTCCTCTTTAACAAAAGAATTAAATATGACAAACCCTAGTAAGGGCAGCATTTACATGTATAAAGACAGAACAAAATAAAGTGCTCAGTTTAAGAAAATTGTTTGTAAACATCATTTTGAGATTACCTGTCTGTCTTTCTTTTCTTCTTAACAGTCTCAACCAGTTGCACGAGACTATGAACTCGTTAAACATTTCCCCCTCTTCTTTCTTTTTTACTTTGATAAACAGTTAGTGCTGTCTTAAGGTCGACATTAGAGGACAGACAAGTGTGTCCTTCTTCGTTTGAAGATTTTGTGTGAGAAACACCAACCTGTCAACAACAGCATCTATATATTCGTAATATCTATATATGCGATATGGTCTAATTCCATATCTCATTTAAAAATATATCGATATATTTCTTATATCGATATATCGCCCAGTCATACCTCTTGGGAGTTACAAAAGCAAGTGAAATCATCAGCAAGACTATTTCTGCAAGGTTACTTTGATCATTGAAACCAAATCACACAAAGGCAGAAAAAGACAAAACAGCACCCTGAAGAAAAAGCCAATTAATATGCTTCAGTGGTTTACATTTGTTGAGCGAAATATTTGACTGTTAACTCACAGCAGTCTGCTTTTTTGTTAGAATAAGAAGGAGCGAGAACAATCGGGTATTTTTAAAGGCATTATTAGTCAACTATATAAGGTGGTGATGCTTGACATCAGTGAAGATGAAGCAGTCATTAATCAATATCAAGAAACAAGGTATAAATGTAGTTGCAGACAGCCACCTTCAATTAAGTGGAAAACTTATTACAGAAATATATTTATCATCATCAATATTGTATTTCATCAACTGACAAGAAATGACTTTTAAGTTTGAAATCAAACTTTCCTCCTATAATCAGCCCCCTACATATGTATTTCCCCTGTAATTAAAATGTATTATCTCTAGTGTGTGTATATAAACAGGATATACAGTGGAAACAGTATGAAAAACCCCTACACATTTCTAGATCACAGCAACATTTCTTTTCCTGTGTGAGCGAGAACACCCGCCCCCCAGTTGTGTTAAACATATTGCCACTGGGTGCTGTCCAGTATCACACTGTGCCGATTGGCCGATGCAACCTACAATGCCTTACAATTGGCCCATTATCTGCCTCATGGCCCTCCCTCACACAGCTTTGGAACAGCATGTGTAAGAGAGGACATAAACACAGAGGAAGGAGGTGTAAGGTTTGGGATATGTATTTTTGGCCTATTATCACAAGTTTCCTTTGTGTAATTTTTGTATTAGTGTATATGTGTTCACAAATCTGTGAGTTTAGGCGAAAGCGGCAGCTGTGCTAACAATTGGCTCTGGACTATGTTTAGGTTTGGGGGAGATAACTCTGTGCCAAGTCAAACAAGAGGGACACGACTGCACTTGTGTGTTCTTGCACTGTGAATTTTTATTTTTTATACAGCTATGGTGCTTTTTTGATTTGAAAAGAGGCACAAAATCCTTTTTTGATAGACCTTAAATCAGAATTATAAAATGTCACACAGAAATCATTGACCTACAGAAAAGCCTTACCCTGACAGAGATAATTCCATATCTCATCACATTTAAGGCTTTATTCTGTTGATTTTATTAATTATTCTTCATTCTGGCTATCTTCACAAGCACCTCTTAGGGCTCAAAAATACATAAGATCTAGAGCCAAATTTACTTAACGTTGTTCATAAAGAGAAAGTGCTTCTTATTCAACAACAGTATATAATCAATAATAAAACAACGAAAAAATCAAATTGTTCCAGGTTTGCACCATAAATGCAAACCTGGAACCGTTTTGCAAAACAGTTTCCTACCCTGGTCTTTGTGAAAAATGTCCCAATTTAAATATGCATGATGGGAAATTGATAATGAATTAATTATTTGTAATTTTAGGCAGGGGCAGAATGAGCCAACACTGGCTTTCACAGGCACGACACGAAGTACTGGGAGTGCAACTAACTACTATTTTTAAGGTCGACTTGTCCTTGAGTGTTGAAATGATAAACTGACAAACAGCATGAAGAACTGCTCAATCACTCAGGCCTAACAGCTTGGAAATCCTCGTTAGCTTGGCTTTTAAATATGGTGGTAATGTTAAGACTAATTATTTTTAGTTTTATGTGTAGGATGGTTACTATTTCAATATCTATGTAATTATTTTGTAATTGTCCAACAAAGCTTCTCGCCAGGTGTGCTCACTCATTATCTTTTGTGGTACCATTATACACACCTCACTCCTCTGCAATTTTACAGTAGAAAACAATGTAAGGAATAGACAGCATGAAAACACATGCCATGACTAAGATGTTTGATACAAAATTTGCCATCAATTTTTGTTGACGACATCTGTGAAGTTCATGTGCACACATAAATTAATCTATAGTTCTGATTTTGTTTAATTATACCTACTTAAATGACTGACATTAAAGTATCACACAGAGTATATCAGCAGTCATGAGCTGAAGCTTTGATGAGATAAGATGCCGCATTTAATACCATTTCTCTTGGTAAGTAAATATATTGAATGTACTTTGTTTTGGACTGATGTGATTGGAAAAATAACTTAATAAATACCTTTGAGGTTTTGAAACGTCCTATGAATGTCCTAATGGTAAATGATTTTATGTAAGCGACACCTTAATTGTCATTACAATCATGTTATTTAAGATAAGATTTTAAGGAGGATTGATTGTCCTCTGGTCCTGCTGAGGAAGCTGACATGATCTCTAACCTTAAGCTTTTGTATAGTAACATTGTATTGAGTGCAGTCGGTTCATTGTGTACATAAAACCTTCTATGAGATTGATCTTCATCCCATGCTCCCCCCTTATCCTCCTCCTCATCGCTCACTCTGCTGCAATCCACCTTCTTTGTTTCTGCTGTTTTTCAGCTCTTGCCCTCTCATTTTTCCTCCTGTGACTTCAATCTGTTTTCTGACAACATGTACCTTAATTCATCTCTTTTGTTTCTTTCCTCCCGGTCAAACCTATTTTATCTCCTTTCGCTCAGTTCATCCTCTCTCCTCTGCTTATCTTTAACTCTTGGTGAGATCCCTCATGCAGGCAGCACCTGTCTCCCCTTATAGCAGATTAGATTTCTATTTTCTCCTCTATCTGTTCCCTTTCCTGTGTAGTGGCATCCACATTGTTCTGCAGCATGCTGTCAGTCTCTATAAATCAAATTTTCCGTCTGTGTGTGCCTGCATCTGTACGAGCTGTAGGGTAAGAGTGCATCTGTTGGGCTGGGTGCATTTCTTGTAATGCATTTTATCTGTTGCTGCATGCTTGGTTGCTGCTGTGTTTATTTGCATTGTGTATTTGATTTGAAACCTGTATCCACAGTTTTCCTGTGCAGTTGTTTTTGCATGTGACTGCTTGTGTGAGTTAACATTAATTTCTCTGCGAACAAGCTTCTATCACTGTAATTATGTGTGATTGTGAGTGTGTGTGTGTGTGTGTTTGTGATAGCTCCAGGTTTAGCTGGCTGGCTGTCAGTCTTGATAAGGCCAGCGGTTGGGGGGTGGGGGGGTTAGTCGGTGCTGCGGCTCGCCTGGCCTCCACTTGGTGGATCTGCTGAGAAAGAGCTGAACCATTAGACACGCTGCAGTGACTACTGAGAGACGGAGAGATTGGGTAGGAGGGGAGAGGAGTGTGGGGAGGGGGTGGAGATGGAAAAAAGAGTTGGAGAGATGCGGGAACGAAGAGCTTTTTTTTGGGGGGGGGGGGGAGCGTTGATGGAGTGTGGATCAGATTGAAAGAGAAATTTAGGAAAGATAGATGATGAAAAAGCAAGCTGGGCTGATGGAAAGCAGGAGGTAAGGAGATAGAGAAGACAGAGAGAGGGAGGTAGAAGGCAGGCAGGGGGGAGGTGAGGGAGTGAGAGTAGAGAAAAGATGTGGAGTGATAAAATGAAGACAGAGTGTCACTGTTAGAGTCCAAACTCACACATTAATAGTGTGACTCTCTGCCTTGTTTGCACCCGTTTAACCCTGAGCTTTGTATCGAAATAAACGAAATGTAAGGCAGCCAAATCGCTTTCCTTGCCTCACTTCCTATGTACTCCACTTTTCCCTCATGAGCAGCATTAAATAATCTGCCCATCATGATTTGTTTCTTCCTTCTATTCTTTCACTCTGTGCAGCTACAGAGGCGCTCCGGTATTGTCTTTCCACTCTGTCGTCTCCTCTCTCCATCCTTATTTAGAAGCACTGTGTTTCATGTGTTCTTTATCTCCTGGGGAACATTAGTTTCTTGTGTGAAAGAAGTGGTTGCCATCGGCTCTGTCGACACAATAAATGTGTCTGAAGCGTCTCACATTACTGGCTCCGGGTTGTCAGTTTGGATTTAGAATGAGAACTCAACCTCGACCAGCACCTTGTCTTTGTTACACAGGTAACTGGCACTGCTGGTATTGAATCCTTTCAGACATGGACCTTACAGAAATGTGTAGAGTAATAATAAATATAGAGCTGCGGATGTAATTTAGGGACTGCAGGTATTCGGCCAATAAAACAGGCATTATTTGTTGGTTTTAATTTAGTTGTTGTGGCAGGACACCTCCCACCTATGAACAGCAAGTGGCTAACACGTTTTTCAGTGTGAATAAAGTATTTAACACTCCCTCACAAAGCTCTTAAGTCCCTCAACATTTATTTGTAGTTCAGTACAATAGCTTTTTTAAGACAGACTATAAAAACCCCCCCACATAGTCTTGGCGAAGTCAATATTTATTTTATGCAGCAACCTACAATGGTTGGAGTAATTTAACACAAGGAATAAAGAAGCACAGCGGATGCAGAAGAAAGAAAAAAAAGTTCATGTAGAGAGGCTGGCAAGAAAGGTAGAGGAGTAAAAAAACAAAGACCTGACCTAAACCAAAGAGAGCAGCCAGAAATCCCCCTTAAGTTATTTAAGTAGCTAACAAAAAACACACTTATGTAACCAAGATACTTATTTTAATCTTTACTGAAGATTATTTCAGCAACACTTAAACAAAGTGCTTAACATCTACTGAATGTCAGACTAATAATCAACCTACGCATCGTACAGGTATGAGGTAGTGTTGGCTTTCTCCTCGAGGAATAAAATCTTAATGACCTTCCAAGTGTTTATGTGACAAACACATTTTCAAAGTCTGAAACCTCAGACTTCACGTACATGTTCTCAATGTCCGAACCTCGAGTTTATTCAGAGCGGCTGTCACTGCCTCCTAAAGTTCAAAAGGTGACTGCAAGTCAAGTTTTGCAAGCTAATTTCCTGTTTCCACTCTTGCTACAGATAATGATTTGAAACTTCCCCTCTTGTCAAAGTCTACTGCATTGTAAAAACTGGCATTAAAGTGCACATGTAGAGATAATACATATACAGCATATAGATAAAGTATTTTGATATATGTGTATATATGAAGGGTTTGTGACATGTAATGTTGTGATGAAGTGAGCATGGTCTCTCGGACAGTAACAATTAATTAGTGAACTGCAGTTTTGAGGCCAAAGGTCAGCTGTTACCGTATTGTTTTTATTGGACCCATAGGCGACTGTATTTGAATTGGTACTAATATATAGCAATGCCTGTATAAAGGAATATGAAGGACAACACGTTGTTGTAGTAGCAACCCAAAGTAGCCACACCTTGACAGATTATTTTACTCTGAATGGACTATTAATTAGAGAAAGAATTGAAGGAAATTCGGGACTACTGATTGTAACCAAAACTGTTGAATATTTGTTTACAAAGCTAGTAAATCAAGTAAGGAAAAGGCTGATCTATCCTATATCTCCATACACTCAGATTCTTACTCGCAACCAGTGTGGGCTGTTAAAAGACGGCTAATTTAAGGCAAGTTCAGACATGCCACTCTGATTAAGAATACTCCTCAATTTAAGACAAGTGACAGTGACCAGTGAGGGGGTTGGTGAACGTCTCTGTGAATCGGTTGCAGGTGGTGCATCAGTCAGTACTTCACAACTGTCACTACTAATGTAGGCTGAGCTCCGCTACTGGACTCTATTTAGGAGAAACTGGTGCTGGGAGTGAGAGAAACACAGCTGCACAGAAACTGCACATTGATGAATGCAATAGGGGTCTTTATGCAGCAAGGTAGTTTAAACCTTTTATTTTTTGGGAGATCTCAAGAATAGACTGTGTCTTATAAACTGGAACCATTTAAATTCTGGATTCTATGTTTTCTTTTTTTAAATACCCAGAAGTGTGTGATTACATGTTTTGTGTTACACTAGATTAGCTTGAGCATTTTCTGCCTGTTTGAGGAATAACTGAGTCAGGTCTCCTTCCTCTGTGACTCCTCTATCTGTCACCATCATTGAGTGAACACATGTAGAGTCACAGTGAGTAGTGGTGTTGGTGGCATTTGCCTGCAGCTCTCACAAAGAAAGCTGTCACAAAACATGCCAAATGCAATTTCCTTTTGAGCCGTACACAGAGTTACCTCCTAGAGTCTTTCTTAGGCGTTATCCCCATCAGATTCCTATGCTCTGTGACTCAGTCATGAACACAGCAACTACAGAGTAGTGCCTGCAAAATTCAGCAGGATTTATTTATCAAAGAAATATCCCCTCTTCAAAGGGATCGTGAATTCTTTTGCAGAGACCTGCTCCACTGTCTAAATAAAGCAGAGAATAAGGAGGAGCTTGTTGCTGATGTTCCTTTGAAGAGGAAATTTAACATTTCTTAAGCTAAATCTGTTTAATTTTGTGTTTATGAAAAACAGCAGCCGACAGACTGGCTGAGGAGAATGGTGGGGGTGATCACATATGACAGGGTCGTGAGTCACCCTCCTAACAGTGTGGAAAACAACAGTTTGTCTGACCCTCTGCCTGTTTTTTGGACTCGAACCACTCGCCCACCGGCCGTCTGTGACATTTACCAATAGTGAGGATGTGACGTAACCCTCATTGCCTTTCAACTAGGTTAGAGCCTGGCAGTTGGGGTGGGGGTGTCTGAGGCTGATTATATCACTGTGGTTATCAAGTGGCCAAGTGGAGAAAGAGTAACCGTAACATCAGAGCAGCAGGAATAGAAAGAGCCTGAGCAGGTGTGAAAGTGATCGCCAGACAGAAGCAAAGAGAAGAAAAGTTGAAGAGAGAAAGTGATAAGATGCCCCACCTGTCATATCTTCATATCAAAAGTACAATTATATATCAAAGGAGTCAAAAGAGGAAGAGATACTGCCCATGCCAAGTCACACATAACATTTTTTTAGGTTGCTGACGGCTTCATTATTTGTCTTTTGGCAGTAATCGGCATCATTTATCATTATACAGAAGTAATGAGACGACATCTGACTATGTGTTATTTCAAAACAGTGTTCTCAGGTGTTCTGTGTGGAATTATAAACCTGAATTTGTTTTGGAAACAGCCACAAAATGCGCAGATGAAGAGAAAATATTGCGAATACGACAGAAACTTTTTTTTGGACCTGTTTAATAACACAAGTATTTAAAGGAAAGTGCTTCAGGTGATACTTAAACAATCAGGTGAAAGTAATGAAATTTTAGGACCAAGTTAATTCTGACCTATTTTACTGAATTGACCATTTCTATGTCACGGGTTTGTCTATAAAAGTTGGTTTGACAACAGCAAGTGAGCTTTAGGGTGATATTGATATTTTCAGTCAAACATCAGTATCAGCAAATATCTGCTCTGTTGACAGTCATCAGAACGTCAACAAAAAATGTGTCATGTACCAATTTCAGCTGGCGATGTTAAACTGAATCCTGTTTCCTCCCTTTATCTATTACATCAGTTTCAAGCTGTAAAGCTATTATGCCTTGCTGTCGTTTCAAAGACGTAATGCAGAAAACCCAAGTATTGGCTAAACAGCTCATTTTAACATCGATATCAGCCCCAATCTTCACAATCTCTAACATCCAATAATGTGACTGCTGATTCTTGAAAACACCTCAGTATGACCAACATGGTGAAGCTTGTTGATGGTGTGTGTCATTCATTATTGTGTGGACTCATCACTGCATCACCATATCAGCCTTACATTCTTGGACAATACCGGGAATTTACTTTTTAAATCAGTATCTACCAATATTGAAGTTTCCTTCGGAGATAAATAAAGTTCTTCTAATCTTATCTTTCCAGTATTATGCCAATGATACTGCGCATTATACCTCAGAGTAACTGTAAGGCCAGGTTTATATGACAAGTGCAAGTTTTGATCTTCATGCCCTTCTCCTACATACCTGTCCTATAACAAGGTTTTCAAACTGTTCTGTACTATGACGTCTGAATGAGCTCTCACACATTTTGATGTCATAACTGATTTGTGTTTTCATAAAGGTACAAAATAGACTGTTTGAAAAGCAAAACCACAGATTAAGTTTGGGTTTCCCATTGTTTATTTAAAACATGCTCTGATTTATGTTTCAACACGTCCTTGCCCTTTTTATAATTAAGTTTATGAGCTTTGATAATAGTTTCCCTTGGAGCAGAAAGAACAAGTTTTTCCTCTCTTGCTACAGCCTTGTAATTGCATAACTCTTCTTTCTTCTTCCCCTCCCTGTCGTCTTTCAGGAAACAAAAGATGAATTTTGGCCGGCGTTGGCTCCTCCCCATTCCTGCCTTCTCTCTCACACACACTCTCTCCCCTGAACTGACTCTTTTTTTGCTCTCCTGCTCCTATAAATGCTGCATTTGGTGTGCGCAACGTGTTTTTTTTTGGTGACAGAGACAGAGGGGGAGACGGAAAGACAGAGAGATTAGCTGTTACAGAAAGTGAGAAAGGGGAGGGGTGGGAGGGAGCTAGAGACGGAACAGTGAGTGTGGGAGGGAGGGGTAAGGCAGAGATAGAGAGAGAGAGAGAGAGAGCAGGCGGAAGGGGACGGAAGGGAAGGGAGGGGAGAGAGAGAGAGAGAAAGAGGGGGAGCACATGTGTATGCTTGTCACTGAGGGGCTGGGAGAAGGACTAAGGGAAGCGAGGTAGCTGGCCACAGCCGCCATATGCTGACTGGATTCCTGTTCATGTCTGCTGTGTGAAGACTGCAGGTTTGTGCTGCGCGCTGGCCGGCTGGGGAAAGCACCATGGGAAGCTCACATCTCCTCAACAAAGGCATGCCTCTAGGTAAACAACTAGCACTCTGCTTTCATGTGTGTGTGTGTATGTGTGTGTGTGTGCGCCAATATTTATGTACTCAGAGTACATTATTCCTCCTTCCTCCTCCCCCCTCCCCCTGCTCTCTCACTTTCTTCCTCTCCTTTTTTCCGTCTCCTCCTCCTCCTCTTAATTCTCTCCCACTCTATTATCTTTTTCATCGCTCAGCCTCTCTCGCGCCACACAAGAATGGTTAGCCTTTTCTCTAGCTCCCTCAGTGCATGTGTGTAAGAAGTGTGTGTGTGTGAGTGTGTGTGTGTGAAGAGGTATATCTCTGCTATTGAAGGCTGCTTGAACACCTCCATTTGTGGCGACAGAAATAGATCGCTCCCTCTCCTTTGAGGGGCCAGCAAGGACATGACACATATTTTTCTTTCATTCTGCTTCTTTATTGAACCTTCACGCACACACAAATCACACACACACACACACACACACACACACACACACACACACACACACACACACACACACACAGATTAGGCAATAAACTGACACACATACTCAAGCCTGCACACAGCCGGATTCACACACAGGTGACAGATGCATCTCATGATAGCAGCTGGGAAAGAATCTTCTAGAAAATGGGATCCAGGTAGGGTGGCGAGGGAATAAGAAGGTGGGGTGTGGGTGGGGGGAGTAGGTGGAGGTTTGGGTGTGGAACAGGAGGAGGAGAAAGAAGAGGAGGTGGAGGAGGGTGTGAGGATGAATGATGAGCCACCCCTCAGATGAATCACTGTATCTGTGGTCACCTATTCTCTGGATTTGTGGGGCAATCTCCCCCCCAAAAAAAAGAAACCACAGATTGTAATCTGTGATGTCATCAACCCGCTGCAGGACTCGGCTCTTGATGACATCAAAGATTAAAAACTGAAGTGGCGATCTTTCCTTTCTCTTCCCATCCTTGCTTCTGATGGATCTCTGTGGTCGTCGCTAACTATGCCCCGAGAGCTCGAGAGTCCAAGGTCACAGGAATAATGGCCGTGAGTTATGATTCAGGGGGGGGGGTCTCCTTTTTAAGATGCTCGTGCACCAGTCAATGATCGTGAAACTGATCCGGTCATTGGATCTGTTTCAGCACATGTAGGGGATCATTGAACCTTTGGGGTAGTGAAAGCAGGCTGTGTCTCTTCCTGATTGATGGATGTTTGATTGATGTTGTAGAAGCGGGGGTCCTGTGATCCCTGAGCGCTGACTCTAATCTGATTACAAAGGTGTCACCGGCACATGTCAGTTACCCCCCAAATCTCTGTGATTCCCTGTGCAAAAGCCGACATTATCATCTTTTTGTTCAGTCTAGCTTCTACCTGGTAAATTCACGTGTGTTTGAATCCGGAGAACAACTTCATGAGCCGTTTTAAATGTGAAGTATGACGTGATTCTTCTGAACAGCTCCAGGCAGTTTCCCACCAGGAGCCTTCACGCAGACACTTTTTATTATGTCAAAGGACAAAACTGAGCAGACTGCTCATGTTATGACACGCCGCCGACTTAGAGGAAACCCCAACCTGGTGTCACATAGAGGAAATGTTGGCTTTCTAGTCATAAAAAAAGACAGGCAGACTAAATGAATTAGTGATTTGATACGAATGGTTACTGTCCTCTTGTCTTAACAGTTTTTTTTTTCAGCTCCCCTTTTGCAGAAAAATTGATGACTCAGTGTTGTTGATCCATCAAATATTGATCATCAGCTGTTTGACAATCAGTTGGTAGACTGAGCAATGTGCAAGCAAAAATGTTGTCCAGCTAGCTTCAGCTTCTTCAAAGTAGGATTTTTGCTTTCATTGGTCATTTATGGTGCTAAATGAAAAGTCATTGAGGCTTAAAATGCAGACTCGACTGAGATTCATTACACAGACATTAATGACTAATTATTCAGGACTATGCAGTCGTTTCAAACAAGGGGCTAATTTCACTCAACTAGTCTGTAACACTAAGCCTGTACAAGGTTGCTGTTTGTGGTTACTTTGTGTCTTGTTTCCTTTAATTTGGTCAACATCTCTATCACTCATCTCCTCCTGTGTTTCAGTCTCCTTAGTTTTTCTTCCTCTTGGTTTCTTTCCTCTGCCGCTGACTGGTCAGCCATTTACCATGAATCTAAAGTTTTTTGCTTTCTGAATCATTTCAAGGCAATGTGAAAAATATTCCCCATGATGTGAATCAGTGCTATCTGAAACAAATGGGATCTGATTGTTGCTTGCGTCACTTGTGCTATTAAAAAAAGATTATAGTTAGGGGGTTTTTGTCCAATCAGAATCAAACATTAAACACAGCCTGGTGACTCATACGACAGCCGGTATTAACGCTTGTTGAATCACTGATCAAATGATATCAAAAATTTACATGCATTCCCTTTTTCATTGAGTTAAAAATTAAATTAGCTCAATTATTACAGATAAGGGTTTGAATCCAAATTTGATTCAAGCAAGAAACTTCAGAGATTGGGCTGCAAGTTGCATTTGGGTATTGATTGACGTGTCTTCTATTTTAAGTAAGCTCTCTCATTCAGCAGCTCCTTATCCACACATGAGCCGTGTGATACCCTACAAATGGCCGTCATAGTTGGAGATTTTGCTGTTATGGGTTTGCCAAAGTTTAGAGGTATAAGGAGGTTCAGTAAGTGGGGTTAGCATGTAGCTTGAGACAATGATGGTTTACTTCTATAATACTTATTATTTTCTTTCCGCTATTTAAAAACATCTTTTGAATTTTGCAAAGACAGGCTCGAAAAGGTGGTTTGAGAAGCACGACAGTCTAGACTGGTGGCTTAATAATCATCATGTATCATCATGTTGAGACTAGATTACAGGTCTACAACATATCATACCAAAATAACTATTAGTATCTACGCTACAATTTAGATTGGATCATTATAAGAAGTATCAATTATGTGATTTGTCTGCACAGCCAGGTGGCTCTTGGCTGGAACTCAGAGTTAGAGATTGACAAGCTTTGATACACAAATTTATACACAGTGTCTCCACTTAAAAGCTTAAAGAGCTGAATTTTAGATGATCATAAGTAGATTTGGTCATTTCAAATAGACTGGTTACAGAAAGTGGATCTACTGTGATTTAAATAATCTCATCCAGGCATGATAAATGCTCACATGAGTAACTATTTAAACTCAATTACATAGTCAAATAGTCCTTCTGTTGAATAAGAGGCTTTTCATTATCATGGGAAAGTCCGCCTATTCATGAGAGCTAGTTTGGGAACTCTCACACTGCACTGTAATAGGTTATAATTCATTTATTAAATACATGTACTCCAAACTGAGCCCAATCCATCTGAACCTCCACAATGATCGTGACTCGTTTTTTTCTGTTAACCTAATTATGAAGTTATAAAGTTACATCCTGCACTCAAATGAAGTATTTCCTGTAATGCAAGTTTTACTGTAGCCTGTATTTCTAAAGCTTTTAGATTTGGAGCAGACTATAAATCAACAATGCTAACAGTGAAACCCAGCAGCATGAATATTTACAATATGGGGGCAAAGAGCTTTTTCCTCTTTTAAGGTTGTAAAATTTGAATCGCTCCCAAGCCAGGTCAAACATGCTTCAACTTTCACCACTAAAAATTGCAGCCGAATAAATAATTGGCATATACATTTCAATATTCATCACTGGGTTTTCTTTTGCCACGGCAGGCTTCATGTTCAGCCTCTGGAGTCTCTGATGCAGTGCAGGGGAGTGTGTGTAATTCCACCCTAAAGCTTTATTGATCTTAGCCTATGCAGCAGTTTCCATAAAGCTTTAAAGCTATTCACTGTTTATCTCACAAAAAGGAAAATGTGCAACTACTTTGAAAAATTTGACTACTGAGATGATAAGAAGACAATTAACTGTACAAATGTACAAGTAATATTTCAAAGTCTGACTGTAGTCTGAATTAAGTGGCTGTAACTCATCTGCTGTCAAACATTGTTGACTGTTATGCTGCTGGTGTTGATGCAATGGGAACAAAAAGCTGACAAACCTGAACTGGTTTGCTGACGCTGTACCTGCAAATCAAGACCTTGTAAATCAGTGTGTCTGTGTGTGTGAAATGTTTCAGAGTATGTGTGGTCGATGTGTCAGAATCCTTGCAAGGTTATCATTTCTGTGTGTATGCACTTAATAGTATCATTTGTCAAAGCATATTATATTTGTCAGTCTGTATGGATTGGTGCGTTGAGTATGCACCTGTGTTGGTGTACATGTGGGTGGGGCAGAGTGTGTATGTGTGTGTTTCTGAGAGGAAATATCAAGAAGGGAGGACTGCTGGAGTACAATATGTCTGTCGTCTCCTCCTTCCTCTTTCAGAAATAAGGTGTAGGTAGACAGAGAGGAGAGAATAAAAAAAACAAAAAACAGCAGAAACATCAGCTGCCTGAACACTGAGTACCTGCATATTTAGGCGTTTTAAGCAAAAACATAAGAACCTGAGCTTTTTTTTTGTAGTGAACAGGTTCAAGCGGAAAATAAGAAATGGCAAGCGAGATAAGGAGAGCCTGAAGAAATGAGAGACGGAGATCTGAAAACGAGGCAGCGAGTGATGAAGGGACAGTGAGATCAACAGTGAGTGGCTGGGAGACGGGGATATAGGGGCTTTTTAACCACGCGGTGTTGCTGCATGCCACCAGAGCCAGCAGCATCATAAATCACCCCGTCTGTGCACAATGGACGCAGGCGGGTGACTGATCACAGGTGCAGACGGCGACACTCTCTTCTCTTCTCTCCTGAACAATAAGAAACACAAACACCGGAGCCTAAATGTGTCATCTTGCAGCAGTTCGCTTTTCAGATCAGTTGAAAAAGGACCTAAAATAGATTTAATTCAGGATGTCTAAGCTTATTGCTGGAGTAAAAAAAAACATGAAGACATTTTTTTCCATCAGCTAGTTGTGTGGGATTATTTGGCAACAGCTAAAAATGTTTTCTAGAGCTGTTTGAGAAATGTGGTTTGAGTCTATTAAAAGAGAGGGATTGCTTTGCCTCTAATACATCTGAGAGCACAGATTTTTGGACTGTGAAAGTGAAATTTTATGCATGTCTTTGTCGACTTCATCTTCTGACCAATAACGCAGAAAGCTTTAGACACTTGAATAAGATCAAAGAAGAGAAGCAAATGCTCCTGTGTTTGAATCCTAAACTAGCAAAACTTGTAATTTTTCTGGATGAGTGACACAAAATTGTTACAACTGAATTTGAAGTAAATTGAGTGATTACGTAATTTTATCTCAGTACATCACTGATGAATCAGCATTTTATATGAATCTCATAATCCATAAATATCAGAATATTTAAGGCTCAGAGTGATGTCTGCAGACACTTCTCTAAAACAGAACAGCTTCAATATGGAAATTCTGATGCAAAATAGCGAACTGTTTCAAAAATAATTGCAGATATTTTCTATGTAATTTGGTAAATGTTTATTTTTTACAAATGTTTAGAATCTGAATACCAACTATACCAACTATGACCCATAAAGACATTTTCCACAGCCTGTCCAAGGTAGAAATAATGCAGTTACTTTAACCCCTATTGTATAAACAGGAGGAATACAACAGGTGGAGGCATTGTTTCTTTCATTTTAATCCTGCAGCTCAGACAGTAACACTACAACACAGGGTTTTGTGACATGAGTAATATCTTTATGGCTGCATCTATTAAGGAATATCTATTAATACTGTTGCACTGGAAATAAAAGTGTTTGTATTAAGACAGCAAATTGCTGAGTGCCTTTAGTGTCGACCACACAAAATTGATTCCATCCTGAATAAACCCAGTCTTAACTCATGTTGTCAGATTGCTCTTTGTTGAGGCTGGCAGACTTCTCTTTTTCCTGCATATTTAAACATAAAAAAACTACCATGAGAAATTGCTGATCTTGACATCATGTCCTTTGACTGACAGTCTGAAAACAATGTCGCATTCCTTTGAGACAAACCCCAGCTGTTCTATTTAGCTGTCCACTGACAGCTGGATACAGGCAGGCTGCAGGGCTTTCCCTGACTCATGGTTATGAAAGTCAAACAGCTGGAGAAAGATACTTGTTATATCTTAAAATGTTAGTTAAAATTTTATAATTTTCAATTAGATGGCATGGATATGTTTTTTTGAGCATGATTCTTGGGCTTATATTCAAAACCAGAGATGTGACAGAAAATGATACCATACCATATAGTATGGTACGGTACTGCCTGGAACGATACGATGCGATACGATGTGATATGATGCAATACGATATGTTACGATGCAATATGATACGATGCAATACGATACGATACTATGCAATATGATATGATACAATGCAATACAATACGTTATGATGCAATATGATACGATACGATGCAACACGATACCATACGATGCAATACGATATGATGCAATATGATACGATATGATGCAATACGATTTGATATGATACATGATATGATACAGTGCGATACGATGCAATATGATATGATACAGTGCAATATGATATGATACGATGCAATATGGTACGATATGAAGCTTAATGATAGGATATGGTAAAAGTATAATCGGGTTCAATACGGTTAAGGATAACTAAAGATACAGTGTAGTCCATTATGATACAGTATGATTGAGTATAATGTGGTATGTTATCATGCAGTGTGGTTTGGTTCATAACAGTAGGGTATGGTGCAACAAAGTGCAAAGTGATATAATTTATAGTCCTTGGGAAACTTGTCCATGCTGCAACAATTTAACTGCCTCCACCGTGGTATGAATTATCCTACTGAGGAGGCAGTGGTGTTGTTACTATGCAGATGTTAAGGCCTCATTTTTCTTCCTTTCTTTTTAAAATTTTTTGATAATTTGCAAATCACTGATTTTGCATCGCCTCAAAGTGTTTACCAAACACAACAGTAAATCTGAATTAAAGCTTAGCTACAGAGAAACCCTGGATAAATGGTAAGGAGCGAACTGGAGCTGTGGTCCCCTTTGGCTGTCGAGAGGCCTGTTTGCACTGTGAAGGCTCCCAGCAGTCACCCCACCCCAGGGCTACTGGGGGGTTGAGAGAGAGAGAGAGAAAAAGGGGATGAGTGTGTACTGGAGCTTTGAATATAATGAGAAAAGAAGGGTAGAGATAGAAGAGATAGATTGGGTTACACAGTAGAGACTGAGCAGAGTGGAAGGAAAGTCTGAGCAATTATTCAATATAATGAAGAATTTAATGAGGCTTTAATGTAACTAGAGAGAGAAATGCATTAAATAGAAGAAGATGAAACAGATATTAACTACTTGAGTTTTTTGGATTTCTCAAAGAGCGGGAGTAAATTCATGTTTTAAGTGTTTGTACTGAGGCCTGAGTGTGTCTGTGTGTGGGAGTGGGAGAGACAGACAGAATGAACGGGTGTTTTATCATATCGTACTACTCAGCAGTCAGAAGGGCTAGTCCTCTCAAGGTCACGCTCAGTGCTGGAATGAATGCTATTTCCTTTTTAACTCTGTGACTGAATGTGAGCTGGAGAAATGTCTGGAATCTCTGCTACTTTCCAGAAACAGCACTCTGCCACTGAACTGATCAAATTGACCCCAATTCATTATTTTGTAAGCGAACATCACCTCTGATTCACAATTTTTCAAGGGTTTGCTGCTCAAATGAAATCTTCAAAAGGAGGACTCTGTAGGCTAAATAACCTACTACAGGCAATTGTGCTGCTCGTGATTAAATCTGAGTTACAATGAAGGCTGTGTTGAAGCCTGAAAGTACTTTTTGCACTTGTTCAATTCCAATTTCTCAGCTATGCACCATTGATTTTGTATTGATGTTAAAGTGCAATGGCCTTCAGGCAAATCCTATTATGGAAAGCTAATGTTTTACCAGCTCACTTAAAGCATTGTGAGCAGGATTTCAGTTTCACGTTATTGGTCTTACTGCTCCACTACATCAGATTAGGTTTCATGCTGAAATCTGACAACTTGACTTGAAGAAATCGAATGGTGGATTGTTCGACATTATGAGCTTCAACACAGCTTGTAATGTATTTCATCAGGGGATGTTGAATGGCTGTACAAGTGTCTTCATCTTTGTGTAATAAGGTTCAAATGAAATCAATTGTAAATTACTACGAGATGCAGTAAAGGTGTGGTGATTTTTCTAACACACAACTTACATACAAGCTTTAAACAAGGCAACATATTTGTGTGCATTTTGATATATGCATTTTGATAAGTGGTTGGAAATACAAGGAGGATATTGATTCATTTCGAGCGACACAATAGGATAGATTTAATTTAATTGGATTCAATTGACTTGAAATTGAAGCATTTAGTCAGTATTTTAATGTGTGACAAATAACTATACTGGATATTGCAGTTACAGTTAGTGGTTATTTGAGTTATCTGTTCACAGGGCAGGGTTCTTGTCATTTATGTCCCTCCCTGTGCATGGTTCACGCAGTAAAGTAACTGTTTCTTTTACCGGTATGAACTTCATTTACAGTCTTATTTCCATTCCAGACCAGTATGATGAGAGGTTAACAGTTACATTTCCCCGTGTTGAGTATGATGGCCACTTTTTCAGCTTTTTAAAGTAATGTTACATTTGTTTTCACCAATTCATACAATGCATTGTTTTAAGGAGTGTGGGCGACTTGGTTTGTTGAATTTTTGCTCGAAAGATTGGATTATTTAACATAAACCAAGATTTTCAACCACAGTGTATGGTCGAATATTTTCACAGATAAATCTGGATGATAGCTTTCGCCCTCCCTGAGTCTGAGTAGAAACCTCAGTGATGCTTGAGACTTTTTCTGAGGCTGCTGGCTCTGCTGTATCTGTAGAACTAGAGCCTGGCTTTTGATATTTGTACCATGTCGCTTTGATAGGTGAGCAGAAAGACTAATCATGATGTTATTGTGTTTAACTTCACCCTAACAAAATCTGCAAACAGCCACTCATGGATCCAGGATGCCTGCTATTTTGACAAATGCAAAAATGTGCCTACACTAAAGACTTGGTACCAGCTGGCTTGATAATCTCTTGTATGTTTTACCCCTCTCTAGTATTAGCTATTACTGCGCTGCTGGTGCATGCCAAGAATCAAATTAAAGAATGTCTTGGATTTACTGTTTAGATTTCATTACAAGTACAGAAATACATCCACTTAAATACAACTATGACCAGGGAGAGTACTGAAGTTTGGAGTATAGTTGTTGTATTCTTACTTGAAGTGCACACAGTGTTGTGCTTCATGGTTACAGTGGCAAAGCAGGGGGGTTTACTCTCCCACGCTCTGCTGCTGCTGCTGCATGATACATGAGAAAGAATTATTTGCATGCTTGTTCAAAATAGCTCGCTGGTATGTATGACTTTTTTTTTTTAATACTAATGAAAATAGTATTTAAAACCACTCTGAAAATGTTCACTTTTTTAAGGGGTAACTGAGCTTGTGTCTTTTCTCCAGATACAGATTATGTCAACTGTTTATGTCATACCCTTTTCCAGAACACTGCAGCACACTGGAAAATGATCCAGAGATGCATGCAAGCTCTAAATGCATTATTTCCTTATGCATGCACACTCACCCCTGAGCCTGTTTAAAATAAATCACCACATCAGAGAGCCTGAGCGCAGTCTTTCAGAATGGAGTCAACTTTCTTTTCCAGTAAAGAAACAGGAAGATCACCCTGCTATAACCGTCCAGTGAGGTTTATTGCATATCTGTATTCTCTGCAGTTACTCACACCTGGCAGATGTCCAGTACGACACAGTCCTCACCTCCTGGTCAGTGGGCTAGTGAAGCAAAGTTGCTCAAAGTCCAACGGCTAAAAGCAACCACAGAGTCAGCCGAGTGTGGCTGTGGCATTATGTCAGTGTATTTCTGTGCCATGATGATGTTTACTATTCGAACACTTGCGCTAAATGTCAGACATTCAGTATCAGAAGCAAACCTCTCAGACTCAGTGCTAATAACAAAGAAGAAATCAACTGGTTTAATAAAAAAGTAAACTGAAAACATACCTTTTTAGTCTTAACTAAATATTACATCATTAACTTTAAGTGTTTTAGCATTTATCTATTCTCGTTTTAGTCACAGGATCGTCTTTTATTGAGCTACTTTGGTGCTCTTATTTTAGTACCTTTTACTGTTGTTTTTATTTTAATTTATTTATTATTTCTTAAATTTCATCTATGTTTCTTTGTTTTTAGATTTTAACCTAAACCTCCAGTGTTTCCTTATCCTGAGTTTTATAATGACGTTTCCTCACTGGGCACATTCCTGTTTCCACAAAATCAAGCCCTTTTTAAGTTTATGCATTTTAATATTGTTTCTGTTGCAATTAAATCTTGGGGTGGGTATGAGGGGTTGGGCTGGGGTAGATTTGGGTATTCTTTTAATCTTGGGTTGGGGTAGATTTGGGTTGTATGAAAAGTGCTATAAAAATAAAGACTAATTGATTGAATGAATAAGCGGAGTCGGATATGTATCCCAGAACGTAGACTTTATTTTACCATATAAGGACAAATACCCAACAACGATACCAGAGCTTGTAAATTAGATCACCCCAGTGAGTTTTAAAGAAGAGATTAATTTAAAGTACCCTCATTTTGATTTGATTGAACTATTTAAATATTATTTATCTGATGGTAAACACCAATAACTTCCAAACTAACAAAGAGTTTGTCGCTGCTTAACATCCTCGCATTGATTTGATTTTCAGGAACATTTCGTATTCATAATTATTGTAACCTTGATGAGGTAAAGAGGTGGTAATTTAGCTGCTTTATAATGATGTAAACTTGTGCAACCTGACAGCAGTCTCAAATTTTGGAGATTTCAGTCCTGTCTGTGCATGTCTGAGTTGTACAGAATAGTTTTTCAGAGCTGTATTTTCAGAGAAATGACCCGGTTGGTTGCTATGATGTTAGCCTGCACATCCCAGACAGAAAGCTTCAGGAGTGAGTGATGGATAGTCAGCATCAGCAGAAACTGGAATCACTCTGCGCTTAGTTTATCTACAGGGTTTCAGAGGGCTGTCAAAACTCAACATGTCATACAGACCCAATTACATACAGTGAATCTACATCTGTCTGTCTCTCAGATGTCTTGAAGCTCGGTCAGTACGGCTGTCAAAGATTAACCCTTCAGCTGCTAAAAGGAGAAAAAAAACAGGAATAGAGGAGACTGCAAATGGAGGAAAGAGTCAATGGAAACTAAAATAGCAGGAACCGAAACATACACTGCTCTTTCATTAGCCCAAAAAGGATCAGTCGTGGGGTGCTGTGACATATCTGCCTTGTTAAATGCCACTTATCTTTCTGTAAGGCCTGGCAGCACTCTTAAGGTAATGGTATAATCTAAAGAGGTGATTCAATAAGACGTCCTAGAGAATGGTTAAAGGGAGGGCTCGCACCCTCTGTGGAAGCCTTATTTCAGTCAATCTGGGAACTCACCATCTTAAACTGTCTCGTGCATTTACTCATCTGCTAGAGTCAGTAAAGACAATATTTGATTGTTTTAGAGTGACTGTATAATAAAGTCAATTTGCATTTATTTAATACTTCACCTTGAATTTGGGATGAACAACAAATCAAAGAAAGTGTGATCATCTTTAGGGACTGTGCGTTAAATGCAAGTGTGTATAATTCAGTCCTGTTATCACTCATATGTGCACACGAACGATTATACTATTCAATCACCATGGCATTTTTTCTTTCATCATTGGGGCTCTGCTCAGGAGGACCCTTTCCCTTTTTTTCCCTTGACATGGCTCTCAAGGGTCACTAGTCCATGGAGGAGAGCTCTTACATTCACCATGAATACATGAGAACCTAATCTTTGTAAATTTAACAGGGAAAAATACAAAAGGGTACTTTTCTGGTTACCATTATGTTTCAGTACCTCCTGATATTTAAATCTACAGTTGTATTTTAAGCATTTGAAGACAACTATGTTTTTAACTATTTGATACAAGCTTTTTTAAGTACCTTCCTCATATATATTTCTCATAACTGCAAATTTAAAGAGTCAGCAGATTCTCAATAATGCATCTGAAACAATATTTTGTTTTTCTTATACTGAGAAAAACATTTGCAAAAACAACCCCCACCCCCCCAAACTGGAATTCACTCTCTCCCAGAAAGACAGCTGAGAATTTTTGATTCTCCTCCTTGTTTTCTCTCACAGTTGTCATAACAACTGCATCTGTGCAGAGCTAAAATATTATGGGATGCTGCCTCAGGAACAGCAGCATATTTTAAGTTCTAGGTTTTACAAATACTGAGACTTAAAGATCTGACCCACAATGTGCACGCCCGTGGGTCTGAAATTATGCAGCAGAGAAAAGCTGCTCTTTTTTTTCCTCGAGAGGGTTTCAAGCTTTTTGGAAGGACAATGTTGTGTAGGTGTTTGATCACAATGTTCAATTATTCTGATTATTCATTCTGTCTGACACTTTTTTCTGATGTTTTGTGTGTTTGTATAGGCATCAGGCCACCCATCATGAACGGCCCTATGCATCCGCGCCCCCTGGTGGCGCTGCTGGACGGGCGTGACTGCACTGTGGAGATGCCCATCCTGAAAGATGTAGCAACTGTAGCTTTCTGTGACGCTCAGTCCACACAGGAGATCCACGAGAAGGTAACACACTTCAACGAAAGATCATTAAATGTGGACTAACTATGAGTGAGAACACGTCGCAGCCGGAAAACATTTTCATCTTCTTGATTCAACTGACATCAGCTTGAGGCTTTTCAGCAAAGCTTCACTTTTACTGGCAATGATTGATGATGGTCTAAATATAAACACCACAGTGCTAGATGCATGAAACTCCCTGGGAGGGAAAATGAGCATGATTTGTATTCCAAAGAGCAGCAACACCAGTTTGAAAGAAATAAAAAACCCAACAGCTGTACGTTTTACAAGAGTGGCAGTGCTCATCAGAGCTGAATAGAAGACGAAAAAAATAAAAAAAAAACAGAAACTTCAAATCCAAGAGGGAGACAAAAATAGCACCATAATGACTGACTTTTACAGCCAAAACAGCAAAAATTCCACTTCTCAAATGAGCTGTTATGCATCCAAATAATAATGTCTGCTATTAGCATCATATATTATAGTTTTCCATGGTGCAGACGACACTCAGAGCTTTTCTTTAGTGGTTGCTTTTATTTTTCCCTCTTTGCTTTATTGACCAACGAGAAGTTGAAACCAATCCAAAGTCAAGTAAGGGTCCAAACATAGTTGATGAAACAGAGTTTATACTAAAGGAATTGAGGCCACTGTGTTTAAGAACAGTGAGGCTGTAGGTGTAATAAACAAAAAAAGGCACCATTAGAGCCTTTGAGCATTTTTGCTGCAATATGTCAGTCATAAGTCTCATGGTTTTGTTCGGGAGCTTAAATCAGAAATCTGGACTCAGATCAGAAAGAGGTCTGACTTTGCATTTCAAAGCACTACTAATCAAAATGCATGTCCGTGCATCTCAGTAGCAGAGCGTTTTTCTAACATTCTCAAAGAAAAGTTTTTGAAAGCCTGACTTGACAAAAAAATAATGACTGTTTTTACAAAAAGTCCAGTTCATACCTGTGGGGGGTGGTCAGAATAGATCACAGTCTATCTGTGATCCGTTCCAGTACTGGGGCTGAGGGTTGGAAAGGCAGTTCTTCAGCTTCCAAAGGTAACAATGATTGAGATTTAATTGCTGTTTATTTTGGCCATTTAGTTGATATGACTATGCAGTGGCAGTGGCTGTTACCATCTCAACGGACAATTTAATGTATTTTTTCATTCACTGATGTTGCATTTGTGCAGTATTAGCACTGATTCTGACGCTTTCTCATATAACACACTATTGGCTCTGCATAAAGGACTTAAATACTAGCTGCAAAAAAAAGGACTCTATGAAAATCAAATCAAATGAATGAACCCTGAAACAAAGAGAGAAGATCAGCAGGAAACACAAAAAAAGAGGTGAAGACAATGAAAGGAGAGTGCAGAGAGCACACTTTCAATGTGGGTCAGATCTTGCCACAGTCACTATGGAGTGTAAATGGGTTTGTATGTCTGGCAGGGTTACGTCTGGTTCTGGGTGTCTGCCAGGCACACTCTCTCTGAGAGCACGCTCAGTAGGCCACAGCGTGGGAGAAACAGATGGCTCTCCCTCGCTCACTATCTCTCCCTGGCTGTCTAGTGAGCAGCCACCTCATTGTGTAATTAAAAGGGCTTCTTTATTGTAATTGAACAGCATGTCATTTTTATCCTCTCTCAAACACATATCGACAAGCCTGGCGATGTACATTTAACTGTGAGCCAATCAAAGGGTGACGAAAAACGATTTTACCACTGACATACTACATTACAATTTGATACAGGAGACAAATGCTCTGCCTTTGATTCATCATATTTCATTTTCAGCTCAAACAAGACAAAACAATGTCATCCAGATCAGCAAGCAAGAAACCAATAAGATTGCTGCTGATCTGAGGCATCTTTGTGACACGAGGAGACACCTTATCTTGATCCCTGTGGTTATGAAGGATTAGTTTCCATGGTAATATTTATGAAAAGCAGTGAGTCTGTGTTATTAAAAGAACAGAATATGAGTCTGCTATAAACAGCAGATCCTAAAAAAAAAACTCTAGAGTTTGTGGAAACACTGTGAGCTCAGTGAACTCTCACACATTGATTTGTGTAAAGTTGCACTTGACTTGTGCTCACCCCGACAAAAACCCTGCAGACAGCTTGACCTTAAAATTTAGTCTCAAACTTTAGCGAGTTGTGCAGCAGACAGAAAGAGTTTAATGAAGAAACTAGTGCGAGTACTGCGCCACGAAATAAATGAAGAATAATTAGACTAGAAATAAATCAATGCATGTGCAATTTCATTTCTAAACGAGGGGGCACAAAGTTAAAACAAAGCCCACAAGGATTTCTCATACGCACTAAAGCGTACAAGGCAAAGGGTGAGAATCACAGGGTAACTTAACTTACAGTCCCGGGAATATTACAACACAGGGATTCCCAGAGGCCAGTTTGATTAGGAGTATGTGTGATTTTGATTGGTACGCTCTATCATTTAATCAAGAGTCTGTGTCTCCTTTTTTTCAGGTGCTGAATGAAGCAGTAGGAGCTCTGATGTACCACACCATCACTCTGATGAGAGAAGACCTGGAAAAGTTTAAAGCACTGCGTATCATCGTCCGCATCGGCAGCGGCTACGACAACATCGACATCAAATCTGCAGGAGAACTCGGTGAGAGCACACAACACTCACACACACTGTACAGACACAGTCAGTTAAGTGTGTGCACTCGTGGTCAAACAAGTATCAGTATCAGATGATGTTATGCCAATATTGTATAGTTGCCTTTTTCTGCATTTGACAAAAAACTACAATGTAACATTACTAACAAAACGAACAAACTTTTAAACCTGAGTGAATATTTAAATTAAGAGGAGATAGTTTTTGGCTCAGTGAAATTTTACCATAAGGGACTTTTGGATTTCTGCTCAGTAATCTGAAATGATCAAAAAAGAAACAAATACAAGGTCAATATTTTTGATAGCAAAAAAAATAATAATGTGGAAATCCATCATCGAATGCACATAAAAATCTAATAAAGGTGGAATCTTAGCAACATGCATTAGATCATCTTTTAATGAATTGATAGAAAAAGAAAATGCTTTGAGTTATGCTGAAGATTCCAAATTACGGCAGATATTTTGGGTGGCAGAAGAAATAATAAATGGCATCACTCTACACATCATGATAGCCTTTGTATTAAAAAACTGGACAGTGACTAATTTAGAATGGACTTGCCATCATCTAGGATGAGAAAATGTGTTTTTATTTAGTTAGGACAACAGTGATATTGGGTTTGTGAGGACCAATGCCAATAATGTCAAAAGGTCGTTAATTTGTTCCATTAATCAGCCGGCCTATGAACTGGTCTGTCTCCTGTGTGCACTGTTCTGATAAGGACTTCATTAAATTAATTTCCGGATTCAGTGAGTCTTTATTAAGTCTACAAAATGTCTGGAAAGTGGTTATTAAAAACACTCATAAATGCACTTTGCTGGTGTGAAATAATCTACCAGATCCAAAAGTTATTTTCTCAGATTGCTTTTTTAATCCAGACAACTGTCCAAAAACAAGATTCTTCATTTACCACCAAAATTTACAGAAAAAACAACAAATTCTTATTTTTGAGCGGATAGAACTGGCAAATGTTAATCATATGTCCATGAAAAATGACTGATACTATGGGACAATTATCAGAAAAGCAGATGTACTATATTTTAAGAACCTCAACACCATCATTCATAGTTCTATTGCTGGTGGTGCCTTATTCTTTCTTTGCTTTTGCCTTTGGTGATGAGTTATCTCAGAGTCCACTGACTATTCTTTAACAACATTACAGCCTCTGGCTACAACTGCCAGTCATTCAGGTGTAGCCAGCAATTATCCATATAGGCCTCAGAGGCTTCTGTTTTCATGCTATCGTCATTGTTTGCGGTCCAAAGGGTCACTTAAGGCTTGAGAATGGAGTGTTACAAATAGTATGACCCAAGTGTCAGTCTTTCCAAAATTACTTTTCTGCTGCCAATAGGTATTATCCTGTTTGCAAAGAAGTCAGTTACATTTATATTCAAAAACTGCAGGCACTATAGTTTCTCATTTAAACACAAATCCATCCTGTAACAGGCAGACCTTAACTAACATCCCCTATCTCCATCCACCAACAGGCTCTGCAATTTAAAAGTTTCCAGCCGGGTTTTATAGAGGAAACTGCTTACACACAAATTCATTCTTCAGTCCTTTAAAAAAAAAAAAAAAAAAAAAAAAACTTTCACCAAACTTCATCTTGCTCCCAACTTCCCCCCTCAAAAAAAAAAGCTATTACTAATCCTTATCTGCTCTCTGGTCCAACAGGCATAGCTGTGTGTAATATGCCAGCAGCCTCAGTGGAGGAGACGGCAGACTCCACACTGTGTCATATCCTCACCTTGTACCGGCGAACCACCTGGTTGCATCAGGTTTGTAAGACTGTGAGATTCATTAAAGGACTCCAATTAATTGCATGTAAATGAATCCAATCCCAGAGAGGCGCATTTAGTTCTGGCAGTTTCAGTTTTGATGGTTACTAATATTGTCTTTTGAGAAGTCAGACAAATTGAAACATGTCATTTTCTTTAGAATGTCGCTGTATTTGAAAGACGTTGATGTAAGATGTAGAAGGTACAGTAAAATGATTTGTTCTTCAAATCAGACATTTAAAGACATGATTTAGACTCTGAGTTTATATTCATGATCACCTTATTTTTAAGATTTAAACTGAAGACTGCATCTAGTGCAGGCTTCATGGAATACACCTGGTTTGACTTGGACCGCTTATTTTTCGGTGTGTGTGATACGTGTGCGACTCAATGAGTATTTGTTATTCCTGTCAGGCTCTCCGGGAGGGCACACGGGTTCAGAGCGTGGAGCAGATCCGAGAGGTGGCATCAGGAGCCGCAAGGATCAGAGGAGAGACACTGGGACTTATTGGCCTCGGTAAGCAACAACATGCATTTCACCTAATGCTTCAATTGAGACCTAACTCACGGAGAGTCTACAGTTGTGCTAGCTGTAATCGCAATTTATCAATCTATCCCCAAAGACCAGATGCTAAACCAAAAACAAGGGTTGAAACATTTTTTTCTCAGAAACAAATGTCGACCAACTGGTAAAGCCAGCTAACACAGTGATTGAGAAGCTAATGGTTTATTTCTCTGACGCATGCTTCTGTTTAACTCGTCTATTTTACACAAATTCCTATCTTAGCTGTTTTATATTAGGCAAATACAATGGACCCTCATTTTGGCTTCTATTTTTGAAGGAGCTGTGAGAGTTTTTGTAACTTTTCTTTGATGAAAATTCAGTTTTACATTCAAAATGAAACACTTACTGTTCCCCTGCATTTTTGTGATTTATTGTAAAACTACCTTTATATGTGTAAACTAAACCCCCCCAAAAAAAGTGTTAATCAGCCATTTAAATAGATGTGCTTTTGTCACTTAAGCTGAAATTGCAGACACCAGCCAGTAGATAGTTGCACCTCTGATATTTGATGATATTTTATAAAGACAACTGATGGTATTTGAATGAAAAAGGTTCTAAATATTAATAAATGAAGTAGGAGTTGCACAAGCTGACAGCAGAGCTCTGAAACCAACAATGAAGTAAGTGTTTCGAACAAATGATGTTAAGTCATCCAATAGTCTAAATCAGTTATTTTAGTCTGGACACTATCCAAAGACACTACAGACCAAGACTGTCGCACACAGATTTCTTGTTTTGGATGAAAATTTCTATCTCCTTCTTTTTATTTTATCTGCTACATGTTGACCAGACTGGCTTGTTGCTGATTTCTCTGTTGCACAGGAATGGAGCTGAAGTTTTTAATCAAAGGATTTGGCAATTTTCATTTTCATTTTGTAAAGTTGTCCTTAGCTCAGCTAAATTGGCTTCCTAAGGAGTTACTGCCAATAACATATAAGAGGATTAACAGGAAGCTGAATGTAAGTCTCCTCCCTGTACAGTCTGTAAGCTTTTCAGTAATAATGAGCAGATGTGTGGAGACAGAGAATTATGTCATTTCTACAGGGAAAAAGTATGAGAAAATTAATGTTAGCAGTAGAAGCACTAAAATGTTGACTTCTGTTTTTTGGGTTGCAAATGCATGAGCATTCCTGGGTGTCCATTTTGTCTTAATATCCCTGTTTGTTCAATAATGTGTGCTCTGCTCCATGCCTGTGTGTATTCATGTGTTTCTAGGTCGAGTTGGCCAGGCTGTCGCTCTGCGAGCCAAGGCCTTTGGTTTTAATGTGATCTTCTATGACCCATATTTGGCTGACGGCGTAGAGAGATCCCTGGGACTACAAAGGGTCACCACACTACAGGTATGACACACAGACACACATATCTGAGTATGTGTGGGGCCATATTTTGATGTATGAGCAAACCTTTAAAGGTTTCAAACGTCAGTGTTTGGATGTTGGAAGATGAAAACACATTTTAGTATATCAGACAAAGCTTCCTCTCTTTACAGCCTGACATCCAACTTGCAGAGTGCTAAAAGGAATGACAGCCAATCGAATTTTAATGCTTTTCTTTCATTTTTACTGATTTTGGTTTTAGCCCAGATGGTACAATAATGGTAGAGTTTGTATAACACGACCATAATGCAACTTATGGTGGAATTATTGTCCTCCATGTTACTCAGTCCAGGCCTTTCTTTTGCACCTGATAGCCACTGATTTCAGGCGCACTGCTGCAAGTTTTTACTTAACTGCTCTGCGTTTAACATCACTATAAGCAAAGTATGTTCGTCATGACAGCAATACACATTACTGCTGCTGAAAATACCCTTTTGAATAAAACATGAAATTTAAACCAGTTTCGAATAAATCAAATGTCTTCTGCTTTACTTTGCTGACTTAACGCTGCTTTTCCCACATCTTCTATGATAAATATGGATGCCATTGTTTGTGCTCACTAACAGGGAACATAAATGCAATTGTCAGAATTGTAAAACAGCTTGTATCTGTAATATGGGGGCATGTTTCTAGCAGTTATGGGCTGACAAAAATGCAGTTATGTGATGAGATAGTTATGATTATCAGCTTTTATGGCTGCTCTGAAATGTGATCTGGTTTTGTGGGCAATTTCACTTAATTATAATTCTACTTTATTTTAAACTGACTGTAATAAAGACCCTGATGTAGGAAAGCAGTCTTTTGAAGGGTAAACATTTCCCCTGCAATCCTCCACAGGACCTGCTCTTCCACTCCGACTGTGTCTCTCTGCACTGCAGCCTCAACGAACATAACCACCACCTGATCAACGACTTCACCATCAAACAGGTGAGGGCAGCAGCACAGATACACCGCTGACAGGACTCAGACACACACCTGAATGATTTATTTACCCAAACATGGACTTGTTTGGACCTGCATCCTATAGTCATAAATATTTAAGAAGCAGATACCTGTAAGCCCACTGCCTACATACAGATGAATGAGGTTCTCTGACCTGGCCTCTGTTTATGACAACTGACGCATTCAGGGAATATCAGTTTGTCTCCAGTGCTCTGCCTGGATGTCAGATTTCCTCCTAAAATAGAAAGCCTTTAGTCTTTATGTATTTCAGATAAAGTTTCTGCTTTCAAGTTTGTTGCTTCCTAAAACAAGGTGCCAATCAATTGAAGACTATAAGCTGATGAAGGAAAATGACCACATTTCATGTCAAGATGAAAATATATTCACTTAAAATTTTCTTAGAGCTGAATTCAGTTGATCTAAAATGAAGTTTATACACAGGTTTTTCTCAGGAAATCTGAAAAGTTTGATACTTTTTGTCCGTCAAGATTTAACATGTGTAAACCAAAATGTTTCGAGCACTGTTTTATTTTTGATAATAACAGCCTACAGCTCGAAAATGTAAAAATGCAGATTTCAAAATCATGGAGTATTTTATTTTGAGTTTGAGTAATTCAGCATTTAAATGTACAGTATAAGTACTGCCTCAGTCTAATTCAGCACACCGCAACCATGGGGGAGACCGCAACAGAAATTTCTACAGCCAAGAAAGAACTGTCGATTCAAGAACTTGGGTGAGCCTGGGGTGGATAAGAGCGATGTCAGTAAATCAAGAGCCACCAAGCACAAACATCTTTGGGAAAAGGGCTTTAACGGTCTATTTCCAATACTGATCCAGTTCAGAACCAGAGAGAACATTGGCAGAGTCTCGCCTGAGCTTGGGAATAAAAGAACTAGACTAATGCTCAGTGGTCCTTCGTCCTCTTTTCAGCTGAGAGTAAATTTTGCATTTTGTTTGGAAATCAAGACCCTCGAGTCTGGAGGGAGAGTGGAAAGGCACAAAATCTGAGGAGTTTGAAGTACTGAGTGAAGCTTCAGCAGTCAGCGAGGGGTTTGGGGTGCCATGGCGTCTGCTCATGTTGGTACACCAAGTTTTATCAAGTCCAAAGTTATGCGGCCATCTACCAGGGGATTTCAGAGCACTTCATGCTGCCATCTGCCAACAAGATGCTGATTTCCTTTTCAAGCAAGACTTAACACTTACCCACAGGGCCAACAAAAACAACCAAAGTAAAGAAGTAAAGCAGTCCCAACCAAGTACTGAGTATAAAAATGATCATACTCTTCAGGAGTTAGACATTCCTGTGTTGTAAATCTCTTTTTGTACTGGCTTTATCGAGGTATACGTTTACATGTCCTTCTTTGTCCTAGACTGTTAATGTGTGCACTGTATGTTGCAGATGCGTCAGGGGGCATTCCTGGTGAACACAGCCCGTGGGGGTCTGGTAGATGAGAAGGCCCTCGCTCAGGCTCTGAAGGAGGGGAGGATACGTGGAGCTGCTCTGGATGTTCATGAATCAGAGCCTTTCAGGTAGCACACTCATTTTATCTATAAGACATCATTTCTAAGTCATGTCATAAACATTTTTCGTTATGTGTGCACATGAAATTTATCTTTTATAGCTCAACGAAATGTCAATAAAGTTGGACTAACCAGTTTTGAAATAATGACATACTTATTTGGGAATAATAGAGTAAGTTAAATGGGTCGCTGATCAACAGTATATATATATATATATTTTTTCAATTCTAAATTCTTGAACTAAAGAGAAAATTCATCAGCCGTAAATGTTTTCATTTTGCTGTGTTGTTAAACTGATTGTAGTCTGTTTGTTCACGCCTCAGCTTCAGTCAGGGTCCGCTGAAAGACGCTCCCAACCTAATCTGTACCCCACACGCTGCCTGGTACAGTGAACAGGCATCACTGGAGATGAGAGAGGAGGCAGCCAGGGAGATCCGACGGGCTGTCACAGGTAGTCTCTCTCACACACACACACACACACACACACACACACACACACACACACACACACACACACACACACACACACACACACACACACACACACACGTATGCATACAATCAAAGAGACACAGCTGCTTTGAAGGAAAATATTCGAAAGATATTTTGCGACGCTTCTGCATAATGATCTTTCCTATTCCCGTCGCAGAGATTACAAGGCCGGTTCCTGTTGCTTTTTAATCTCACAACCTCCAGTCTTTTAATTCTTTCTCCCCGTATAATCCCTACTTTTGTCTCTGTCCAGTACATCAGTCTTTTTTTCTCCGGGCTTGTTCAAACTTGTGCAACTATTGTGTCTCTTTATTAAATGTCTCAATGATGTTAATGAAGTAAAAGAAATCCCCAAGAGTTGCTCTACACTAGTGCTGGACGATAATTCGATAACAATATATATCGATCGATAGACGTGTGCTGCGATAGAAAAAAAACGGGTCGATAAAAAGTTCGATAGAAAAACACAGTTTCCCTTTCTTTTTCATCATAGCCTATCATGTAGCTTTTGCTACAGTCATTACTTCCTCCCAACCAATCACAAACGCAGACCCAGGTACGCTACGGCACCAAGCCCAGCCCCTATCAAACCACAACAGACAGCACGTGTATTAGAAAAAATGATACAGCAAGGAGAAGCGGAGGACATTGTCAGTAGTTCACCAGCATGGCAATGTTTTGGTTTTTAGAAGTCTGACAAAAAGCGAACAGCGGTCGTTTGCAAAATTTGCAGAGAATTAGTAAAAACCAAGTCTGGTAACACAACCAACTTGTTTTACCATCTAAACCGGTCGCACCCACAGGAGTACGAGCTGTGTCGGCCGCGTCGCGGCTCCACGTCGTCGTCGGAGGAATCCTCTGGAACCGCTGCCAGCACCAGCACAAAGCAAGTGAAGCAGACCAAACTGGACATCGTTTCTTACCAAAATACGACAAAGCGTCCGAGCGGCATAAGGACATCACCCATGCAGTAACATGCTGCATAGCGAGGGACATACTGCCAATAACTACCGTTGAAAAGCCTGGCTTCGACCAGCTTCTAGCCACTCTCGACCCGCGATATGAAGTGCCCGGCCGCAAGTATTTCTCAAACACAGCGCTTCAGGCATGAAAATGGGTCAGGGGTTGAAAAGGTGAGAAGAATGCACCCCTGCATCCCGTCCACCCATTAGCTTCTTAAAGTGGAAGAAAATGAGCTCATATTTTACAAAGACGCGAGTATTTGGATCATGGCTACTAGCAGGGGGTGCATTCGGCAGGGGTGCATTCTACGACACAACACCGGCGTGGATAAGTCCTGCTTCTCGTGCTCAGTTTGCGTATCAAGTCAATCACATGATAATTAAAAAAAATAAATCTCCCGACCCCGGGAGAAATATTTCAGTGTTCAGACACCAGGCTGTGGGCAGTTTCCCACACAGTTAAAACTGGTAGTATGCTATTCCCACCTGAAGCTATTCTGTTTATTTATATATTTGTTTGTTTTGTTTATTTTCATCAAAAGACTATTTAAATATTTATTTATCAGATTTTCTGGTCACTTTAGTCTTTATGTTTGTCAGTATTTACTGACGTCACTCAGGCCACTTAAGTTGATTTCTTTTTTTTTTTAGTTCTTTTTTAAAAAACTTTCAGTTGTGGTAAAATAAAAAAGGTGGTTGAATAAAGGTTTGAATTTGAATTCAGTGCTTCTGTGTTCTTTATTAAAAGTAGGTCATTAAGCAATAGCATAAAACATCCAGGGCTGCAATTAAAATATATGTTAAATAATTATAATAATTATATTGATAATTATCGATATCGATCAATATAATTTATTTTTTATCGATATGCTTTTTTTCTATATCGTCCAGGCCTACTCTACACACAAAAAATATTCACCTGAATACTTTTCTTTTTTCAACAAACATTTTTTTACTATTGGGTTGTCTTCTTTCTAGGTCGTATCCCCGACAGTCTGAAGAACTGTGTGAATAAGGAGTTCCTCACCCAGAACAACCACTGGGCTGGAGTCGACCCGGCTACCGTCCACTCTGAGCTCAATGGGGCTTATAGGTAATCAAGAAAGCTGATACTTTCTTTCCTAACCCCTGGAAAAAGCGATTGATCTGTGTTAGAGTAACAGTGTGTGATTGATTTGGAGAGTCAGTGCACGGGTGAATTGTTAGAGTGGACTGTATGTACATCCTGATCTTTGCCAAGTTATGATGAGTTAATCAGATTTGTGTCTAACCACTCGATAGTTTCAACATTGATCAAGGTATTTTTGATGCATTTGTATTGACAAGTTAAAGACTAATCTATTGCTGATCTTTTGTTTCCTGTAAACCTTTGAACTCAAGCAATCCATAAATTCCCCTTTAATACTCTAACACTGCATTAAATTGTTAATACAGGTGGGCAGTTAGTCTATTTAGTTCAGTTAGCTGGCTGTTGAAATTGTAATGAGTGTGTGTTTAATACTGAAGGAAAGATTTGTAAATGTTAATTTGGATTATTTAGTCGTGAACCTCTTTCTGCCCCCCTGTCCTCTCAGGTATCCACCAGGTGTGGTCAACCTGCCAGCCGGCGGCCTCCCACCGCCTGTTGAAGGCATCGTGCCCAGTGCTGTGCCCATGGCGCACACCCTCCCGCCTGCTGTCACACATCCTCCTCATGCCCCGTCTCCTGGACAAAATACTGTCAAGCCACCAGAGGGCGACAGAGAGCAGCACCCAAATGACCAACTGTAGCCGCACACACATACGATTGCCCCGTGTTGTCTGGAGACTGGAGGATCATGGCGATAAGTTCCCTAGTGACAGGTTGTTGTCAGACAGGTTTACAGAGTGTCAGATGGACAGGTTGAGGTCCCAATTATGATCGATTTACAACTTTGGCATTGGTTCCCAGCAGCCAGTTCACACTCCAAAGAGGAAGAAGATGATGACCATAAAAAGGATGAGGGTGAGAGGATGTCTGTCTGATTCTCAAAAATAGAGCAAAGACAGGCGTCCAGAGAAAGACTGTTAACATGCACACATTATCTTCTCGTTACAACTACAGAGCGGTCCGCTTTTCTCTGCCAGAAGTTCAAAGATAGATGAACTATCTGTTGATTTGGTAAGAAAAAATCTGAATCGAGTTCTGCTGTTTTAGACTGTAGTGAGTCTGAAGTTAGAGGGGCCTGTTTCATGTCTTTCTCTCTTTTTCTGTGTCCTTTCCTTAGTTTGATGTACAAGCAAAAGTAGTAGGTTATGAAATGAATGTAACCTGTCTGTGTACAGTTTTTAGACTTACCACCAGAAGATTCAGATATTTGTATTCCAGTCTAAACAAAAACAAAGGTTATGTGATCTCTATGTAGCCTAACTGGTTTGAGAATACAAGATTTGTTTTTTATGTGTTTCCCCAAATTAACAAGCCCCCAATCCCCTAAAAAAAAGAGGCAGCTTTTTGCACACCATCTCAGGAAATTCAGTTTCCGCGGTTGGTATATTATTTTTTACATTTTTTTGTTTTAATGCCACTTAGTGCTTTTGTTTTTCTACCTGCTTGCCTTTTTTGTGTCCTGCTACATTAGAAAAAGAACTTTAACGCAAGCTAAAGTTTATCTAATGTCTGTTTTTGTTTGTTATGTTTAAGGGGAATGTGAATTTGCTCTTGGGACTTGTGTAAATGTTTGACCCAAATTGAAGGGGTTTTGGAAGAAAAGGCTGTAGGGAGGTGGCGTAATGGTATGCTTGGCTGGAAAGGCCCTGGGTTAGTGTTGGGGTAAATCACTTTGAAGGAGAAGGCAGGTTGTGGATGATGCACTGAGTTTGTAGCAGTCAACAGTTTGAGAAACTGTCTCAAAAGAGGTTATAAATCTTTGTCTTCTTTGTGTCTGATGATCCAGTACTTCCATCTATGAACTGTCCTGGTTAAATAAGACAGCATGCAAAGGGTTCAAAATTGATACAAAAGATGTTTAACCATCTGGTTATGGAGCAAAAAGACCTGTGAGAAGAAGCTGTATCAACAAACCAGTTTTGCCACAGTTGGGCATTTTGCTGGAACAGCTCCTATTTGAAGTTCGACCCTCTTGTACAGATGTCACAGTCAGTTAAGGGCAGTTGTTGATTATATGGATTGTCAGTTTGATCAACTTTTTGAAAAAAGGGAACAACCCATGATCAAACTTTGGTTTAAAAGCATGTCAGGATTTACTGATTCCTTTTATTTTAGGTCTAGTATCCCTTTAACATTTCACTATGGGTCCTTCCTGGGTATACCGTTCAGCCACCCTCTGTGGCCTCTATGTCTATGTGTACATATGGTGTTCTGCCTGCCTGTGTCAATGTGACTTGGTCGTATCTGTGTCTAAAAAAGCAGCACTGGGAGGAGGGGTAAGGAAGAGTTCTCTCCACAAAGCATCATTACAAAGACTGCCATTAAAATACACCACAGGAAGTACTAAGAATACACACAAACACCAAAAACAAACCGAGCCGGTACTTGATGCATTTACTGGTTACATTCCAACAATGCAAAGAAAATGCTGATACTGTTAGATCAGTTATAAATGATCTGAAAATGTTTCCAAATTGGAATATTTATCACTGATTTCAGTTCTTGTGTTGTTGCTGTTAGCATGCCAGCTAAGTGGCGGTGCTTTTTGGATCCCCCTTCTACCAGCAGCTGAGTAGTAAAAACAGTTCACTGTTGCCTACCTGGTCTTCTTCACGGTGAGGTAGTAAGAGTAGCAATCAGGGATGGGAATTTCACTAGCCACTGGTGAGGGTAAGCATGAAGGCTGTGTTCACGCACGTAAGGTACTGAAATGACTTCTAAATCTCACTGTCAGACTAGAGCCCAAAATCTAAACTGCAATGCCGGGATATGTTGAACTTTGCTCTTACACTCTTTGCTGATACTTCCTGATCAACACTGTAAGCATTCCTTATTCAAACCGATGGGTGCCACAAGTTCAAACAACAGACTAGCTTTTTGAGAGTCAAGGTGCTCCTTGAAATTCCATCCCTGGTAGTAACACACAGTCCACTGTTGCCTACCTTGGTCCCCTTTATGGTAAAGTAGTAGGCGTAGCAATATACAGTATACATATTCTATATTCTACAGTAAATATCATTATTTTTGGTCAAAACTGACAACCTGACAAAGATATGTTTGTGACTGTATGCATTTGTATGAATTATTTTAAAAGGAAATAAACTGTGGAAAGGTGACGCTTCTGTCTTCTTTATGATGTTATTTTGGTTTACTGACTGAACATATGACCTCATTGAACAGGTTAATGTTGGCAAAGTCAGAGAAAGCTGTTTGAGAAAATCTGTGCTCAGTTTCTTACTAAGATCGTTACACATAAGCATGTGAAACACTTGCACACTGAAAGATTAAGACCTGCCACAAAGACAGAGAAGACAAAACAGAAGCAAATACATACAAGGGCAGTAAAAAAGGTTCTTCATTTAAAGGAGATCAGTTGGTACAATCAGATTTAGGATAAGTTATTCTACTCATTTGTGTTAGAGCAGCAGCATTCGGTCCAGACAGACTGTTACGAGTTGATTCCAACAGATGTCACTAGCTCAACTCCCACAGAAGCACTGTGGAAAAAGGCTTCAAACCAGCTGTAACAACTGCATCTGCAGTGGCTGCTTCTTGTGTCTGTTTTCCAGTTTACTTCATTTCTGTAATAAATCCAAATTCATCTCTGTGTTTCCACGAGACATGTACGGTGCACCTGTGTCATATCATTACAGAGGCTGTCAACACCTCCATCAGTTATTTATGGCTCAAACATGAAGACTACTGTCACCACATCTCAGCTCATACAGTAAGAGAAACATAGTTTGAGAATGAAGTATTACCTATGATTAAATGGTTTCTGTTTGTACTGTGAATTACCAAGAAAAGGGGTGTGGTATTCATGACATCAACAATACTGGCGGTTGGCAGGTTGGTGGGATGCCCACTTTAGGGGCTTCAACCTTTGTGCATGACATGCAAGTATACACATAACTGATGAGTGAAACTGGCACCCCAATCAATTTGACCCTTTGAGAATCATTTATAATTGCATGGCTGTTATAACTTAGCTTTAACAGTTTTTAAAGTAAAAAAATACATACATGGAAATAAGACATCTTTATGATACTAAAATGTAGTACTAAGAAAGTATTTTAGTTGAGAGAGTAAGGATGAATAAGTGCTCTTCATCCATCTGTGGCTGTGTCCGAAATGAATCACTGAATCCCTAACCCTTGACGCCCATATTGGGTTTCACTATATAGCTGACCATGTAGTGAGCTCAATCACCAGAGGTTTCAGACACTACATGGTGCACCATTGGGACGTCACTGCTCAGGCTGCTGCTGTTGTTTTCACATCTCTTGAATTCTATGATGTTGTATAGATGTATTTGTTTTTCAAGGATGTTCGTGAAATTGAAAACAAAACAAAAAAAAACAATAAATTAATACTTTATTTAAAAGGCCTTATATTTTTGTGCCGAATATTGTTTGCTGTGTCACATTGTGCACGAGACTACATGACGCAGCAAACAATTGTTTTTCGAAACTGTACGGATCACCTGCGAGTGAAGACAAAAAACTTGCGCTGAAAATGGCAAATAGAGCTCGGGTTCTCTCTCTTCTTTGTCTTCTGCTGGAGACACAATGCATGATGGCATGCCCACCATCGGATGGTCACTACATTTTGCAATGCTCTATGGGAAATTTTGAGTCGTCTTTATGGGGCATTGGAATTGATCACTCAGGTTTGGGATTCCCCTCAAAATGGTGCAAACCCCCATATAGTCACCCATATAGGGGTTAGGGATCCATTTCGGACATAACCACCCTGTCAAAAAAAGTCTGGACACGCCCCTGATAACTGTATATGGTATTAATAAGGGGCCTGATCTAAAGATAAAAGACACAGTAGAAGAACTCAAAAATCTATCCAGCACAGTCAAAACTCATTTAAAGGTCAAAGGTCAAGCCTTTTCTTCTGCTGTCTTTGCTTGATAGAGGAAATCGGCGGTGGCTGTATCCCGCCCATCACCTCATCTTGAACCGACTGTAGCTGACTGCTGACACAAGACACTTAAGACCACAGCTACATCTCTTTATTGTTCTCTGCATCTATCTCTCTTTTGCTCCTTACATTACCCCAAATCTCTCCATCGTTTTCTCTTTGTCCCTCTCTCTTTCCCCTCTGGTTCATCCATTCAGAGTTACAGCCACTGGAAGGGGCTCTACAGCAGCTGGAAACTCTTGATAGTTCAATCTAAACCTCAGGAAACAGGATGGGATCCAGATGTAGGGAAAAAATAACAGAGACAGGCAGTGGGCACATTTTATTCAGCTAGTGCGGGGATCTCTGTGGGGCAAAAGGGAAGATGCATTTTAATGAGGCTGCTGGAGCACTCTTGAGTGTCTGTACCGACCACCGTCAGACTTGAACTCAGAGGTCAGAGATATTGTGGAAGCACTTAAAATGTTCTAAGCAGTCACATCCTCCTTTGTGAATACAGACTTAATCTTGAAGATTTACGAGATGCTGGCTTGTTAGAAGAAGAGGAAAATTTGAGGGAAAGCACAGGTGAATGACTAACACTCTCCACTTTATCAGGAAACACAATAAGACTGCCTGTAGGCAAGACGCTTATGTAACATTCATCCATGTTTTTGCAGAAGCTCGTTTTACAGAGTTCAAGTGTTAAATTAAGGATTTTTTCTTTGCCTAATTGGGACAGCCTTAAGTTATAAGGGGAACAAAATACTCCAAGTTGAAGAAAAACAGCTCTCATACACGGATAAATGCATAAGAGAGGCCTTTTCCAAACTGTAACAGTGAAAGGCTAAGAGACTGTGGAGAAACTAGCTGATGGTCAGTCTTAGTCTTTTTTTTTCTCAAAGGGACGGTTCAGTAATTTTGAAATGGGGTTGTATGAGTTATGACTTAGTTTACAAGCCACGGTGGATGATGCTCAACTCAGCCCCTTTGTTGAGAAACCATCCAGGGAAGCAGCACGCAAGCTAGGCTGGAGTTTTCTGCAGATGGGGCCAAGGCCACCACATAAATTTGATAATTTTGAAAGACTCTGACGCAAAGCCTATTCATTTTCCCTCTATTTGTGGATGCAACACAGATGAGATCCTTCCACGCAGTGTAATGATCAGCAAAAATACACAAAAATACAACCAAACTTACATAATGAGTGATTCTTACAGCACTAATGACATGCATGGGTTATCAGAAGGTATAACAAACTTCCTAAGAGCAGTTACATCATAAACAGTGCTTTGGCTTAAGTTCCTTAAAGTTAGCTAAAAGGGCTGGCTCTTTCTGTAGCTGTTAATGGTCCAGCTTCTGTTCTGGTTCCACAGCTGGTCTCTCATCAAAGAGACTGAGCTGGACCGTGTTCCCTGTGGCGAATGTGCTTACAAGTATCTCACACAACCTCGCCAAACATCAAAGCACACTATCCCTTTAAAGGTGAATCTCTCTATCTGTATGCCACTTAAATGTTCAGTCAGTCAATAAAAACAATAGCTTTATATTCACATATATCCATCTCTTGACTGTACAGTGCCAACACTCTGACGCAGACCACAGGCAATACAACACATCTGCTAAACAAAGGGAACTCACTGCTCAACTGAGCTGTAGGAGAATGTGTGTGCTGCAGGCTGTAACCAGAAAACTCTAAATTGTAATGGTTTCTTGGCCTCAGTGTTTTGTGATAATTTGTGAGTCTGCACACTGAAACAGAGTAGAAGACTCTGTGAAAAAAATAACAGTTACAACTTCTGCCTGTTTCTCATTTGAAACAAAGTCAAGTTTGAATCATTTTAAATTTGATTAATGCTCACTAATGATGAAGCTTCACTGTGCTATACCTAACTGGAGTTACTTCTCTCAGATGTTACTGTACCTGAACTGCAAAACTCTGCTTCAGTTGCACAGAGAAGCTCCTCACTAATGCTACACATATTAGCTTCACCACAGACATCTGGACAAGGAGTCTGAGTCCTGTAGCTGTAGGCATGTTGGGCCTCACTGCCTCATGGACTGAAGACATGTAATCTACGGAAATTAGTTTTGTTTTCCCTTATTCAGTGCTTATATTTGAAAAGGGAACACATTTGTCATTTATGGTAGAAGCAAGTATTGTTTGTCTTATTTCACGTCTGTGAAGAGTAGCAAGTAAATTCTGATAAAGAAGAGACTCTGTGTTCATGTGAGTATACTTACATCAGTATTGGCCAAAATGAGTCTGAAAATATCAGCATATCTGCAGAAATCTATTATCATGCATCCCAAGCTATTATTTCAATACGAGTTTATTTTATAAAGAGGTCAAATTTACAGACATGCAGGAGTCTTGATTTCTTTCGAAAAGGAAAAATGGACTCCAATGAGTCTGAAAGCGCCTCTTAAATTCTGTTTTGAATCCAAAGTCTGCCAAATGCAGCTTCTCCTGGTTCAGAGGTATTATAACAAAAAATTGACATGCTTAAAAAAAAAGCCAGTTTCAGGTTTTAGACCACACACTCAGATCCCCTCTGACATGATAATTTGTTTCCGTGCAAAGTGACAAAGACATGAGTGTGTGCTTGCACCCGGTTGGTCCACGCTCGATGAATTGGTCGATGATTGACAAGGAGGAAATGGGTGGGTTTCCTCGCTTCCCCTTTGCATCTGCCTTTCCTCTCCCTCTGCTCTTCTCACATCTCCTCACACCTCTCTGTGGTTTCAACTCCTGACATTTCCTCTCCTCTGCTTTACAATCTGCCCTCGTCTCCCCTCCATTGGGCTCAGTCCAAATACAGCCTAACAAAGGATTATTATCCACACAACAGTGTGGTGGAACACAGTGGCTGCGCTGACACAGAGGAGGTGAGGTGCCTTGCTGAGAAGTGTTCCTCACTAAATGCAGGATTTCCATTAACATTTGTTTCAATGGCAGGTTTCAGTATCCAGTGGGTCCACATACTGTTTCATAGGGCTTTTCCACCCTGCCAAGAAAAATGTCTGGTGGCTATAAACACCAGACACGTGCTTGTAAAAGCTGGCTGCTGCCTGAAAGGTGCCAACTACATTGGCTGTCCATTGGTCACCATTATTGTGTCAGTGGCAGGCAAAAACGCTCATCACTTCTAAAGTGTCTGCTATATATTGTCTCAATTTATCAATTTTTACGGAAACTGGCTGCCAATG